TAGGGTTGAGGGCGTTTTTGGGGAGGTCAGGATGAGGAAGGTGGTGAGTGAAAAGCAGGAGAATTCTGCTTGATAAGAGTCACTTTGCTTGACGTGGATTAAGATGAGGGCGTAAGTACACTTCGAAATCAGTGACGATAAACTGATCATTCCCTGGTAAATATAACATTAGTCTATCCTATACGCCAAGTGTTTTAGTTTTATGCCTTTTCTAGTTAATAAATACATAAATACACAGTGCCGTCGTTTTGTCGCGAGAAAAGGGGGTTCCCTCGCTTAACTGTAGAACGTCAGCAGTTGGGGTCTTTTAGTCCACTACTTGCAATATCATCATATTCCCCATTTAACTTCTTTTAAATCTAGTTATTATCTACTGATACACACTTAATATAACACGCTAGTTCTTATCTCCAAGAAAAGAGTGCTCTCACTTCATTCAACACTACTAACAAAGAGGGCATTTTGTAGATTGTGATATTTACTTTAGAAAAGGTAGACACTTGTTAGTCCTTAGGGATCTCCTCTCGCAGTTGTTCCATTTGGTTTCTTATTCAAGTGGAATGGATGTTGAGAAACTAGTACTTATCGTCCAAAACACAAGACGTTGAGAAAGATTTTTTGTAGTGTGAAGTCTTGCGTTTATATCGATAGACAGTAAGAACCAAGTTTCGAGCTCGAGGGTAAGTATAGGAGACATGAGGGTAAAGAATTCATTAATCATTTAGTTTTGAAAGGGTTTAGGATAGTTATGATTCTCATTTGTTAAGATCCCTGTGCGATTAATCAGTGTGGTTTTTATTGAGAAGCATTTTTTTATACTCAATCGAACTTAATTCAACTCACAATTACCTCATAAGTAGTTTGATTAGGGCCACCTAGTTGATTTCTGGTCAACGTAAGACCTTGAATGATACCACCTGAGCCCCCCTTCTCTAAGAGAGAAGCTCTAGAATGGAGCACCTCCTTAGGGCTGCTATAGGCGCGCGCTTTTTATAATATACTTATAGTGTTAGGAGACTGTCGTATACCAAAATGTCTGCCGTCCTAATTCTTGGTGTTTAACTACTTCCGGCAGCGAAAGATAATGCTTTAATCCGCTTTTTGTGACACCCCTGTTCCACTACGAAATAATAATGGTTGAGGATTATGATTACTAATGTAAGTAATCAGTTCAATTGCAATCACGAATATAAGATATTTAATTAGTGTGAATAACACACACAACCTTTGTATTCATTCTAATCATTGCACAGACCCACAGACTCATATAAAACCAAATTGAAGAATTCATTCCCAAATACAATGCCTCTCTCTTGCTCCGATATTCCCTTCAAAATCTCATGGACATGCAAATGCCTTTCGACAACCCGTCCCATCTGAGTTCGGTGGTTTAAAACACGCCATCGGCCTTCCTGGATCCTGATTGCCAAGCGGCGTATCCGCTCCTCTATACGAAATAAATCCATTCGGCAGAGCGGCTGTATCAAGCAGAAGATCTACATATCGCGGCAGACTCCCTTCAAAGTGAGTTTGGGGGTCGTCTTTGAGCCTTTGACTGCCTGAAGAAGATTGCAGTTGTTGTCGAAAAGTGCGGCGCCGCGGTAGTCTGGAACATCGTCGTCAGAGGTGGCGATGTAAATGGTGCAGTAGCCTGGACCTGTTTTTAGACACTTGGGTACAGGCCAGGTGTCGTCGCGACGAGAGATGGTAGCGGAAGAAATGAACATTGGGGGTGCTGCCGCTGCTTAGAGGGAGTTGGTCATGATCATGGCGTTTATTTTGATAGATACGGAGATTTTCATTGTGTTGCTAGTTGAGAGGAAAGTGTGTGGGAAGCAGTCTACTCGGAAGTGACTTGGAAGTCGTGCGTTTTGATAGAGAGGAATTCCTGGGTAGGATACAAAAGGACTTTGAGCTGAGTCGTGCGTAAAAGATGCAAGAAGTATGATGAAAGTAGATTCACAATAGCGGTGCTTGTTTAAGAGCTTCAAGTTGAACTGGTTGCCACCATGGCACTTTGGAAGAATCATCATTTATATATATCAGAACAGACATGATCATTATTCAAATCCAACATGTGACTTTTATCTTTAGAAGTGCATCCTCTTTGCACCAATCCTGGTGACATACAGAAAGGCCAAATCTCTGCAACCTGATTAATGATTCATCTCAGCTAGTCTAATGGCCGCTTTCCATATAGCAAACGGAAAACAAACAACACGGTCATATTACGTCAAGAAACCGGAGCATCACTTGTTCCTCTAGCCATGCATACGAGACGAGAGCCTACACCGAGGAAACCGCGCCCATAATTGTTCTCTAGTGTCGGAGCCGAGATTGAACTCCGCCGATAGCACTATGCGGCCTTCAATCATCAGTTCTAAGTGGTCTATCTTGTACTCTCTAAGCCCTAGTGAGATGCTACGTAATTGATACACAGCCATGCTAGATGGAACCTTTGTGTGTCAGGTCATCCTTATTTTTATCAGCCCACAGAATTAATAGTGGTTTTTGAGCGGAGTCACAATAGAGAGCGAATTTCTAAGAAGAAAATGCAATAATGTAAAAAGTGCCTGGAAGTTTTATTGCACCATTAATGGCTCATAAAGAATACTGATTGCGAGACTGGTCACACTTCTTCGCTATAATGTCCTAAATATGTTAGTAAAAAAGTTCTTACACTTTAGATGTCTTCATTAGTCTTATCAATCATTCGTGCGCATAATTAACAGTAAAATTCAAACTGTCTGAAGTCGCGTCATTCTAGCTAGCTGAAAATTAGGATAACACGCTGATACATTTACTTTCAAAAGTATATTGATCTAATTTACCCATATCCTATACGTCGCTAAAACCATGCCGATATCTCTCTCTTGCCTCTCACACTTTCTCTTGCAACATCTTCCAATCCCCCTCGGGACCTCCATTCGCCTCCTTATCCTCCACCTCTACATCTCTACCTCGCACATAGAAGCAAAATCTCATCAATCTATGAATCTTGACAAGTAGCCACAGCGCACCCAACGGCCCAAAAAAGAAACTCGCCTTCCGGTGCTTGACTGTAGTTTCCCAACTTTCGAAATTGTTGTATGTGTTGATACCGAGATAGATGTTGAGGAGTAGAGTCCATGTGTCGCAGATTTCATACCATATATTCTGCCAACTTAGCCCTTCTCCATTGTTTGGAGCGTCGGTGGACATGATTGCTGCTAAAGGTTTTCGTTAGTGGATTCCAAGATCACACGGAGACGAGGAACATACCCGGTGATATTTCAGTCTTTCTGCAGGGAGATAGGCGAGAACTTATTGGGAAATATTTTCTCAATTAAAAATCGACTTTAGGGGATTTGAGCGGGCGACTTGTGATGATGATAGGGGCGGCGACGAAACGTGATGAGAGTCTTTTGACGCTGGAAATCTATCTTCGTACAACAGCCTACTGAAGACGAGCAGTCGTGTAGACTACTGTAATAAGTATTGACTGCGCTATATGTTCCCTATATTCCAAAGCTACCAAGATGCAAGTGATTAAGTGATCACTATCCGACGTGGCCACGATATTATCTTGTTGGGTGATGTTGGTGTTTGATGCAGGATTCCAAGCTCGGGATATTGTTATGACTTTGCCTCCTCACTGCCGAGCTGCACGTTTGATCCCCATACGTTATTTTTACAGGAGTTATCGGCATCCGCGTCAAATGTCTTTCCTGTACATGTCGTTGGTGCATATTCCCAACATCAACGTGTACAAAGTTGCAACGAAACTCGATGTGATGCATTCAAACTAACTTGCGCCCCCATCTGTGCCACTTGTCTTTTAAGCTAGCTGGACCATCCGAGATCAAGTGGCGTATCTGAGACTTTTGCATGCTGATTTTTATCCAAGCCTGTCGTTGGAACCGACTCTGTAAATGACAAAAGAATGGAAACTGGGAGGCTTCTCTGAATCAGCCTACGAGTTCTTCCCTTTTGGTTCAGACTTATAAGACTCATTTATCTCGCCAGTAACTTAGTGAGATAATTCCATGCTAGTACTCGACAGAATAGCAGCATATGTTTCTACACACCTCATTCATTATCCACAGAACGGCATTGGATATTTTTCCTCACAGCAATCACATTTCCTTGTAGCCTTTTAAGAAATTCATTAGAACAGTGAGAAGACGTCATCTATTCACAATGAAATTCGGAAAGATTTTCGTCATTCTGTCGGCTGCATACACCCTGGGAGTATGCTCATCATACCCGCCAGTCAACCTCAATCTCGATGATGCAAAAGCTGAACATGTTCAACAACGCGATGAAGCCTCTCTGATCAAAATCAACTCTTCTTCAGCAGAAACTCCAGTCATTCACCAAGTCAACTCATTAAGATCCAGAACTGAATTAGCTATCGCCGTTCTTCGAAGAGCCTCTGCCACAACTATGGTTGGGTTTGGCTTCTATTCCATACTATCGGATTGTCGAGGTCTCCCGGGGAAAGAAAACCGCACCACGGATGACATAGCTAAGTGCGGTATGGGCGCGCTGGCTACCGTGATTACAGTTGCCACAGAGATCCGGGCAGATTACGCTGTGTTTTATGAGGTGTTGAAGACCACGACCAATACCGTTATCGACTACACCGTGAACGCGGCGCTGAATAAGTTCGTTGGGGGTGGTGTCAGCATTACGGGTCCATTTCCAAGAGCACCACATGCGGGTCTGCCGAATCGAGATGTCGACTCTAAATACAAACGGGTAGAGGACCATTTCACTTCGGTTTTGGGTGTCAACGTTAGCCATATTGGCCACTGGGACGGCTCAATGCATGAAGATGCACATATCAAGGCCATGAAGCGTGAGCAAAACCAAGAGGGCACCATACCGGTATTCGGACTCAATTACATGGGCGAAGACATGCATTTCGCTTATGGGGGACAGAATGTCGATGGTAAAGACATTTTCAAAATCGGTACAGGTCTTGGGCCGGCGACAGAAGAAAACAAACGACGTCTCAACAATCGGAGTATTTTTCAGTATGGTATTCCTGCTTTTGGCAACATGTATTTCGAGAATGGCGGTATTGATCTTCTTGCGACTCCTACCGCAGACACTAGTGGAAACCCCAACATCTTTCCAACCAAGCCTCTCGATAGGGAAAACAACTACGAGTGGATCTATACCCAACTCGAATGTATCTTCGAGGCCCAGTTTCTGATGCCATTGGATCCTCTCCCTCGCAATTTTGATGCCATTGGTTTGTGGTACCAGATGTATGATCTCGAAGAACAGGAGACACTTTCCGGAGGTACAATTGCTTTCTTCGGCTCAACTACACCGTCGATTATTGAGGACATGCAACCCGTTGGTGATATTGCAGTTAATACTTTCTGTTCTAGATGAACGTCGAGAATCGGCTGTCCTTTAATTGTTCATGTGCTCCGAGGTCTTCTTCAAATGAAAGAGGGTTTTCAAAGAAACGAGTTTAAGGAATTGCTGGTATGATAGAAGGATGTATAGAGAATTCGGGGGAGTTGGATGTTTAAGATTTACGAGACTATGAATCCAGGTCGTGTGTTTTCATCTCTTTTTCCTCTTATTGACTAGTGAAAACATTCGCCTCGCCCATCGCATGCAACAGTATCAATATCACAGATATGAAACCCCGCAAAACTCATCCCCAAAACAGATCTTTGACTCAATCGGAGTATCATCCGAACGATGCGAATTCGACTGAAGAAGTTCGATCGAAACACCCTGCTGCTTGTGTCTTAGCTCTTTTTTCCACTCGAATGGCCTCCCTAGGTCCAGAGAGCACCCAAGCCTCGCAGCTTCGACTGGACCTTCGGAGACAAACAACAAGATCTGGTCTACAATTTCCAGGGGTAAACTATGGATGGGTGTGTGAGGTGGCCAGGGTGGTAGGAGGACTTGTAGAAGGAGAGTTATAGCGGAAGGAGAAGGAAGCGTGTGACCATCCATGAAAACTGTTGGGGCCGTGTGTGAAAAAGCTCCCGTGGAATCGACATGAGCTACCATCAGATATCGTACCGAGAAAAGTAAGTAGTTCTGTTGCTGGATCAATCCATTTGCGCTTGCTGCCTCTTCTTTCGCAATCTTGAAGGCAGTTTCAAGGTCTTCGTGTACAATGACGGTAGTGTTTCCAACACTGAACATTTCGTCCTCGCCAAGTTTCCATAAAGGTTGATCGGTAACATCAACATAGGGACTTCCGAAAAAGATGTTATTACTTTTTGACACTTCTTCAATCCGGAAATCAAGTGTTGCGATTTTGACAACTGCCTCGGCAAGTCTTCTAAGTGTGGGTTTCCTGTATGAAGATCGTAGTATATGACGCCACTGAAACGCGAAGTCTGAGAGAATCGGTGGGATGAGCGCAAGGCGGAGTACGTCCACAGCACCTGAAGGTGATTTGTACGGTGGTGGGAAGATAGCAAAATCCAACAATGGAGGCGGATCAATTTTATAGGGTGTAAACTCCGAGCGTTGCGGCAACTCTGATTTGGGCTCTCTCAGACGAGATAGTGGAAGCTTGATATTCTCACTCGCGTCCGAGAAGAGAAGGAGATCTTGAGTCAGGTCAAGAGAGCATACGTTCATTCTTCCCTGACGTATATCGCCGAAGGGCCTCACAACATCGTCCCGTTTTTCCCAGACTCTTGATATGCCTGTTACATGACCAGTGGCTAAATAATCTGTGCTTGATGTAAGTAGAGAGCCAGAAGCTCCGCGATCCATTTTGTTGATTTCGCTGACCATTTGAGTTATCTTTGAGCATCCTCCGAGCATATTTGACTAGGAATTCGAACTCTACTCTCGTACTAGTGGATATGTAGACACATTCTGCACTGAAAATTAGGGGGTATATGTTTGTACCGAAGGATTTGGCCTACCTTCCGTGATAATTTGAATAGTCGTAGACATTGCGGGACATGAGGTTTAATGATGAGTACGATAATAGGAAAACCCTCTCGACCAGCGTAATCGAAGTGAAGTAGGATATGAGGATTCAGGGGTGCTGGCTGCCTAGAGCGGTGAGGGCAGAACAAAACACCGATATGATGCAGTCTGGACATAACAATTTATTCACGAAAGGAATCAAATACCTCAAGTTACAACAAAGTAAAATCAATTAGGTATGGATATTGGTGACCCTCCTCACGACCCTGGCCTAGTAGTGGGAATAAGTTTCGACAATGGGCGGATGCAATTGGCATGGCTTATTACTAGGAAGATAATTCGACCACAGAGAAGAATGAGAAGAAGTACGCTATTCCTCCTGGATATGAAGATCAACCAGATATAAGCGCCTAGCCTTGTTTCTATCGTATTTGTGCTTCCTGATTGGAATGTGACCGTGGCTGATGGGCGGAGAAAGGCATCCCCTACTTGGCAGAATGTCTTCTATTTTCTCAGTTCGCCATATAAGAAGAGCCGCTACTCTTTCCCCAGCCTGACACGCTACGGGATAGTGATCATGTTTTCCTAGCAGTCTTAACCTCAGTTGTTGTGTTACGCCTATTCGTAAACGATCTGCTAAGCGAACAGACAACAAGCAACGACTGACCGTTCACAGGATATATCGTTAGCTGATAGTAGCAGACCTTGGCCACAATGGTACTCATTTCTTATAAATTCATTTTCACGCACTAATGACGTCATGTCTAGGAAAAATCACCGAACTGGTCGCATACGTTTAGAAGATCCTCGCCCTCCACCTCCCGCCACCTACCTCGAGGTCTTGCTGGCCGCATACGAAATTAAGAGGATTAAAAGACAGCACAGCCAACAAACCCTTTTTATCTTCATTCTGTCGACAAATTTACGCCATCTTTTCCGTTCGGTAGGCGAATACTCTTTTTTCCAAGAAGCGACGACAGGGAAGTCTTCGCCCAACATCAGCATTCTGAAGGGATTCGGGTTTCGTTGTCCTCCTAATGGAGAGCTCTATGAGTATGGGTTTCTACTTGTCGAGACACTGGATCCAGATGTAGCCTGGGACTCACAGGAAATCATGTCAAAGCCGTATGCGAGGACTGTGAGACTGAGACGAAGAATGTTTATGCCATGCTCCAGATGGGCTTTGAGGTTCAGTTCTACAAGCATGAGAACTTTGTACTTGAGGAGATGGGTGGGATAATGCATCTGATTGATGGTGTGGAAGAGGTCACTGCAATGTGCCAGTATATCAAGGCACATCAATTGCGTTCGATCTTCCAGCGAAAATTAGTAAGCTTGTAATAAAGCTTTCCGGCACTGATTTTGGGATAGTACGGTAAAATCTTATTAATTCTACTTCAACTATTCATGAACCACTCTGAGTTGAGCTGGGTTGAGTAGTGGAGCAGCGCATAGTTAGTTTGAGTAAATTAAATTTTATTACCAATCAAACGCGCGAAAGACTTACGAAACCAATGAAGATACCCAAAGTGCAAGGAAATTCACATAAAGATATTTGGGGCATTATAGCGGAGTTTGGAAAATCTCGTGCCTAACGCGTAATGAGGATATTTTGCCAGCCATAAAGGATGATAAAACTGCTAATAGTTGAGACACGATAGACAAGAAATCTTACATATCTCGTGCCTAACATGTAATGAGAACATTCGCGAGCCATTTATAAAAAAAAAAAATTCATTAGGAACTGTATATATGATTTCATTTCCTTATTAAAAATCGCGTCTACCTTGACATGCTGATGAAATAGGGGGAGAGCGAGTCGAAGGTGATGCTGGAGCGGTATAAGTCGTAAGTATAGTTTCTAAGTTGTTGCTCAGGAGAATCTCAGATGAAAGGTTAGTAGATGATGCATTATAATCTGCAAGAGAGAATACTCATGCTTTGTACCTCCTTGAATGCTTGGATTGAATCACGTACACAAATAACTTGCAATAACACTTCCTAGTGACCGATCGGTGGGAAATCCCACATCGCTGTAAAGAACATTTACCTGCTGGCTCTCCCTCACAGCATACTATCATTACCGCAATCCAAGACCCAGCCCCAGCTCATATCCATCTCACTCCCCCACCATCCCAAACCAAGCTCAGCTCGCCACAACACACATCTGACACCACAAAGAGAAATATGTCAAATATTGAATTTCTTCATATACGAGCTTAAAAAGATCAAAATACCGCTCTCCCTTGACCCATGACCCCTCGAACCTGGTAGGTAAGTAGGTAGGTAAACATCCACATCTTCATACGCCAAACCATGACCCTTTCACCGCCGCTGTTGATATATACAAACCCCTCTCAATTCTCCACATCTTACAACCCACCACCCTGCAACTCCACCCACAACCAGCACACATCACACCTCCCCTCCCTCCCCTTTAAAAAACCCATAATGCCCACTAGCGCTCCTCCCCTCATTAACCATACTCTCGGCATCACCAACCTGTTTCCGCTCACTAACCTCTCTCTCTCCCTTCCCCTTCAACCTAAGATGCATTTGCAATTTCGCCAGATGAGTCTGTTGAGCCCACAAATTCGTCAATGCAGACGAGCCCCCCCTGGGAGCAGAATAGCCTGCTCCCGAGGAGCCTGCCCGATTGACGGCTGGTTGTTATTGCAGAGGTTCCGAGGAGCTGGAGAGACGGTTGAGGTGGAGGTAGACGTCTGTCCCGTAGCTGGTTGGTGCGTTAGTTAGGGTATTAAGATGAGTTTGGGGAGGGGAAACTTACCCTTCCATGCTTATCAGTTTGAGGTCGCCGCCAAAGTAGCGCGCGTAGAGTCGGGAAATGGGTAAACCGTATCCAAAACCAGCCATTGGGGCTTTGAAATCGCTTTTGTCGAAATCGGGATCCAGACTTGGTGTGGTGTCTACGGTCGTATACATATATGTCCACACCAGAGGAATAGCACTTCGAGGAATCCCACCACCTTCATCCGAAATTTTGATGGTGATGTCTTCTTTCCCTTCTGCGACAACAACCTTTGTTACCGGGAAATCCTCCTTGTCCTGCCCATGCGTCTCCACCACGGCACGTAACGAATTTTTCAACGTCTCGAAAAGCATATGCGATAAGTGCCCCGGGACATACATGAAATTCAGATGTGGTGGGCACACGAGCTGAATCTTGGGCGCATCGAATAATCCGTAATGATCCTCGCATACAAACCGGGCGTTTTCGATGGCTTCTTGCGCCAAATCATGCACGTTTGTTTTTGTGCAAATAATTCCCACATATGCTGGATCCTTGTTATGGCTCTGATCGGTGAGCGCAATATGCTGTCCTATTAACATTCGTATGCCAATTCTCGACATGTAAAATCGATCGAGGAAGGCTTGTATATTGTTGTCAATTTGCATCCGCTGTCTTTTTCGTTTGTACTCTAATATTCCTTGCGCAACGGTCGTGACTACACTGTCATGCCGCCGTTTGATGTGATTTAACGTGTTCGCGAATCGAGTATTGTAGTCGTGTAACTCCGGCGGCCAGTCTTTACTATCTTCCACAGTTGCAAAGTATCTCCGCGCAGCTCCTTTCTTCGAATCGCTTCCATTTCCATTCCCATTCTCATTTCCATTTCCATTCTGCTGCCAAGGTGAGGAACTATATTGCCCCTTCCTCACACTGGGATTTGGTGTAGTTTCCGCTAATATTTTTAACGTTTTCCCACTGGGCTTCGAAGGCTTCATCAGTCGTTCGCGGATATCTTTGGACAAATTGGGTCTTGGTAGCTGTGTTATCTCCTTTATCACATGTCAGCATGTCCGATTTAGCTCTGAGACAAGAAGCAATGATTACCTCAAATGACTGTGCGTACCAATCCTGTACCTTCTTGATTGAAGGCATCTCATTAAGTCCATCTGGTAAATCGCCAAGTTCTTGTACGCGATGCGCGAGTCGTATAGGTAACTCCTCGGAGAGAAACTGCGAGGCCCTAAACAATGTACCTGATTTCGCCAGTATTAGCAATGGACCTTGGAATCACAACCGCAAGACTAATCAATGGCACATACCAGTAGAAGGCCTCTCGCCGAATTGGACCATCTGCCTCAAGCTCACTCCGGTCGCGGGAAAGCTCGAGTAATGCTTGATGGTATCCATCAACATCTCTGATTTCTTCCACGACATCTTGTCCGATTTCCCGGCCCTCAGGCCCTTACGCGGATTCCTTACAACGCTTCAATGTGAGATGTTCCCAATCTTCCCGAATCTACTGTCGAGTCAAGCTCAATCCCTTCCAGCGTCGTGGGATGCCCGCCTGACGTAGTATCTGAATGCCGAGGTTCTCTTGCAATTGCGGCCCAGAACAAAGGAGCCGATAAAGCAATTGGCTTCAAGACAAGTCAATTGCAAGACCTTGTGTTTCAAGAAAATGGTCAGAAAAATCAGAAACAGAAAAGATTCTTTGTCTCGTGCTCATGAGAGCCTTGAGAGTCATACACTTTGTTTTGAAAGGTTCGGCTGGCGGGCACACGGGGATCGGACACATTCGGTTAGGGTAGAGCTAAAGTGCCGTGGGGACTGGGGTGTGGTTTGCTTCCCCGCGCATGAGGTTGCTTTGGGCGTGGGTTCAGGGCGAGGATTGTATTTTGTGTCATCGGGAATTTAATGTTGGTGGGATGTTGTGGGATGTTCATAACCAGGTAAAAACACATTTGGTATCCCCACGGTCAAATTGGTCATGCTTTTTACATCTGCTCGCGAAATGTGAGCTCATATTCAGAAAGCAATCATGTGGTCGTAAGGTTAGTCGTAGCTATCACTCGTACACCGCTCTCATCGCGCCGCATTCTACGGCACTAAATACTAGATACCTCGGATGCAGAAAGTCGGACGATCAGGTCGCCATATTTCTCTTAAGATACCGGGTGGTGCCGGGATAAAGTGTAATCATCCCTGGTCTAGCTGCACTAGACAGACACATTAGTGGCATAAACTCAGCAAAGGAGATAAACAGGTTTGAAGATCTGCAAATAGAATATACGTGGAAGTAGTATCACCAGCACGAAAGATACACATGACGAAGCCGAGAAGACCTCGAGAGATGATTCGCTTCAGAACAACATGCTTTCTATCATTCCATCGTCTACGACTCTTCGTAAGCCGTCCATCAACTTGGAAGTCTTCACCTCATGGACGCTATGTAAACCTTCGTGGACCTACTTGTCGCTGAACATCAGCAAATTCCAAGGTGGGCAACCACACCCGATCTAAGCAAAATAGCCCACAACTCCGAATCTGCCATGCATTTCCTTTTCCCAACCCCAAAGCTGATAATGTATAAACGTTTTCATCATCAAAACAATGCACAAGATGCCCTTTGACCCACTATACAGCCTGCACATAATTTGCGGGTACGCTCTTCGTCACGCCGTTCCTCTCCACTTCAGCCCATCCATCGCCTGGGTCTTCTTTGATGAGAACGAATCGTTCTCCTTCGGTCATGCTATGTTCTGCATCGCTTTGTGCTGAATACTCGTAGAGCGCCTCGACATATTTCAGCTTCTTCGCTCCACGCCTTGGTGCTACTACCGGACCTTGCTTCTTGCCTTGAATACTACTGGACATCGAGGAGCCAGAATTGGAATAGATAGATGATGGGCGTGGTGCTAAGGTTGCCATCGGTAATATCTCGATATAGGCGGTAGGGACTAGACCTTCTTTGTAACCTACTTTTACCTTCGTCCATCCGCCATCTGGGTTCAATGTTAGTCTAGGTTTTCAAATAGTTGGCGAGGAATCAATACCATCTGGTTCTAGAATAGTCACTTCTTTACCCTCAGCAACTGTGACCTCGCCATCACCGTTGGCATCGTAGGCATAAAGCATCTTTCCTTTCGGATCGCTCGAAGCCGCTCCGGAACCATTTGGAGCGCTCCCAGGAAGCTCGCTGACATACGTCGACGGTGGGGGCGCAACAACTCGATTCTTACGCAGTGTTGTTGGTCCACTAATACTAGGCTTTGCTGAGGTTGGTCTCTCGGGTGGTGTCTCGTCTGCTGGAGACCGCGGACCGCTGCCCGATACTGATCGATGGGCACTAGCTGCATATCCAGAGCTGAGAGAGTTCATTGTATTTGTGCGACTCATCGTGGGAAGCTCAGCAACACTATCACCTGGCTGATGTGTAGGACTTTTTAACGAGTTCGCCGCTTCTTGACGCTCTGCTTTCAGCTTCTTCCGCTCTTCCTTCGTTTGTTCTCCTGGACATTCTGCCGGAACCTTCATCTCGCATTTACTGTGGCATGTATAACCACAATCGCGGCAGTCAAAGCCCTTGGCTGATAACCCCCAAATTCTTTCTCCACACAAATCGCAATTTGTTGGTATTTTGAAGGTCTGTGACTTGAAATTATGACTTTTTGCGCCTAAAGTCACGTCTCCCACCGCTTCTGTAATTGTTATAGTCTCTACCTCCGCCGTGAGTCGCTTGTGATCAACTTCATGTAGATTTTCCTGTAGAGCAAAGATGGCTTTCACCACTTCAACTTCATCTCGCTTGTCTTTTCCCTCGCGGATCTGTTGCTTTACTCGTTTGGCGCCCTCCACCTCTCTACGCTTTTTGTCTACTTCCCTTCTCAATTCTCCCAATTGTCCTTTGGATTTGCTCAAAACGTTTCTGAGAAAAACCTTGGCTGTGTCGTCAACCATCATAGCGCCATCGTCGTGCCATACGGGACTCGGCTCGAATTGCTTATTTGGCGGTTCCTGCCATCCAGCGGCATTATGTCTAACAAACATCATGGAATCCAGTACCGGTTGATTTCGCGGAATCTCCTGTGCAAGATGATTTACAAAGTCGGTACTACGTTTTAGCATGCCTAGCTCAAGCTGCGCTGCCAAAGCCCATATCCCATTAAGTTTAGCGGTCCGCGATTCAGAAAGATCCTGTAAACTATCCAACAAGTCCGGCACGTATTCATGGTAGTATCTCTCTTTCTGTTTGTTCGTAACGTTGATGGCGATTAAGTAGGTATTCTTGACATTGTGCATTTCGAGTATTTGCTGCTGGTACGCATTTTGCGCTTTCGATTTCGAGTAATCGAATGCTGACTCTGCTTTCTTGCGCTTGTTCTCGACTTCTTGACAAGTAGCATCGTATTTTCCCTTCGTTTTCCGTAGATCTGCGTATGTACCATCTCGTTCAGCTTCGAGCTTGGCTGCGAAATCTGCATGGCGCTTTCGCAGCTCCTCAAATCTTGTAGCGATATGTTTTAGAGGATCTGCTAACTGTGAGATTAACTCTCCGCCATATCTGTCATGCTCGGCGGCGCGAGATTCTAGCGTCGTTAACTGTGTCGTCCAAGTCGTCAACGAAGCACTACAGTCCCCCAGAATTAGTACATATGCTCAAGCTCTGTATACAATCACGTACCTCTCAAGCGACCCAGGAGTCAAGGCAGGTGTGTCTCCAACACTCAAACTACTTGACTTCTTTGCTTTCTTCTCATAATATTTCTTGGCCAATGTGTTTAGCTTCGCGCTGTACTCTTTTTCGATTGCGCTTCGCTCTCGGTAGAACTGCTGGATATCATCTAGCCAAGTTATTCCGTTCGAAACCCAGGCATTGACAGGTTTGAAGCCATCCTAATTCATGTGGTCAGTCGGTTGCGTGGTGTGTTCGGATCGGTTTGTATGCCCACCTTCAGCTCAAGCCCAAAATTGGGCGCAATATCTACATCTGCCATAGATAGTACCACAGCGACGTTCCTTCGAAAGAGAACTCATAAGCTGCGCAGACGGATACATAGGTGTCCTAAATTCAATGTTGAAATTAGCAACAATAATAGGTAGGTCTTGGATTTGAAGGCGCAGCAATAACCCCACGATTGTGAGATACGGCCCGAAGCCTCCGTCGCAAGCTCCCGTGAGGAACCAGGGGAATATTATGTTTCTGCCTCGGTATTGAGGCAACAATTTGTCCCGCTTAACCCCGCCATTGCCTAAAACAACATTTTGAAGCTCGAGCTCTCGAGACTCGACTATTCATTGACCTACAGTTGACAAAGAAGTTCGCGAAGACCCTTTAATCATTAGGGACTTCCTTTCCGGACTTTTAAATAACCATTCTCTACTGGCAACACCAATCGTTGCAACGACACGTTCCTGGGACGCGTTCTCGATCTGTCACGAACTTCAAAATATCTCCGAAACGGCCTTGCACACTGTGTTGACCAAAACAAGTCAAGATGTCTGATCCCGCGAAGTCTGCGTCTCTTGCAGACCGAGTGACTAGACCTGGACTTGACGCAAGTTCTAGCTCGTTCACGCCTGGCGCCGCGTCCACCCAATCGACTTCATGGGCTGATGAAGTAGCATCTCCTGTTGCACCCAAAGAAGATCCCCTTGTATCTACCGTAGGCGACGCGCAAGTAGATGGCCAGGTTGAGCCACTAGGCGGCTCAGGCGGTTCTTTCATTGATGACGTTCAATACGATGTTGAGGTTACGTTGACACTGGAGGAACTACAGCGCCAGGAAGGGAATCCTCTTCACTCGGTCAAGTCCTTTGAGGAGCTTGGATTGTAAGTCATGTTTCCGATCTTGATAGACCGGTACTGATTTGACCAATTAATTAGATCTCCCCAAGTACTACAGGGGCTTTTCGCTATGAACTTTAAGAAGCCATCCAAGATCCAAGAAAAATCACTCCCGCTCCTATTGCGATCTCCTCCACAAAATATGATTGCGCAATCACAATCCGGTACTGGAAAAACGGCCGCTTTCGTTATCACCATCCTTTCTCGACTCGATTATTCTGTCAACAAGCCTCAAGCTTTGTGTCTCGCGCCTAGTCGTGAGCTTGCTCGACAAATTGAGGGCGTAGTCAAGAGCATAGGTCAGTTTGTCGAGGGCCTGACGATACAAGGTGCTGTTCCCGGAGCGGTACCCCGCGGTGAACGACTGGAATCAAAGGTGGTGGTTGGAACGCCTGGGACAGTGATGGATCTCATCAAACGCCGACAATTCGACACATCGCAAATGAAGATTTTGTGCTTGGATGAGGCTGATAACATGCTGGATCAGCAAGGTCTTGGCGAACAATGTTTACGGGTGAAGCAGTAAGTTGTTTGGTAGTATTTTCTGGTCATTGCACTAAAACATATACAGAATGATTCCATCTCTCAGCCAAATTTTGCTCTTTTCCGCCACCTTCCCCGATGACGTCCTTCGTTACGCCGAGCAGTTCTGTCCGAATGCTATTCAGATCAAATTGCAACGTAATGATATGAACGTAGCTGGTATCAAGCAAATGTACATGGACTGCCCCTCAGACGATGGAAAGTACGACATCCTTGCTAGGCTTTATGGTCTTATGACTATCGGCTCATCCATCATTTTCGTTAAGGTATGCAATCGTTTACAAAGTTTGAGAAATACATCTAATATTCTTTGGTTTAGAAACGAGAGACTGCCGATAGTATTGCTGCGCGATTGTTATCCGATGGCCACAATGTCGTCGCCGTCCATGGTGCTTTCGAAGGTGGAGAGCGCGATGCTATTCTCGAAAAGTTTCGCTTGGGCGAGGCCAAAGTCCTGATCACCACAAACGTTCTCGCACGTGGTATCGATGTGCAGTCAGTGTCCATGGTTATTAACTACGATATCCCAATGAAGGGTCGAAGCGACAGTGAAGCCGATTCCGAAACTTACTTGCACCGAATCGGTCGAACCGGTAGATTTGGACGTGTTGGTGTTAGTATCAGTTTCGTATTCGACCGAAAAAGTTACGTGGCTCTTCAGTCTATTTCACAGCACTACGGCATCGAGTTGATCAGACTGGATACCGATGACTGGGATCAAACTGAGAAAGTGGTTAAGAGCGTAATCAAATCCAGTCGGGCGGGCACCAACTTCAAAAAGTAAACGGCACGAGGAGGAAAAGCAAAAGCGAAATGCTAAGGGCACATCAAGTTTTGTGGTACGCATGTGTAGGATCGGACGACGGACAATTGCACACTTCGTTGTCACACAATACTATCAGCGAACTTATGCTGCGACAATCTTATGCATCATTTGTCCTAAAGCGTTGAGACAGTGGACTATATGATTTCCCCCGCTTTATGACACACTTTTTTATTTCCAGAAATTCATTTCAAGCGTGGCGTTAGCGATAGATGAATTGATAGTGATTCGCCCTTGTTACCGAGCGATAAGTTTGGGGGGACCCTGGATTCATTATACCACAGAATATACTTTACTTGCATAGGAAAGGCTGAGCAAAAGGGCAATTTGAAGAGTGGCAGATCTCTTAGTGATGGAAAAATCATCTCGAGATTCAATAGTCTATTAGATCGAAATGAATAGTAGTTGAGATAGCATCATTTTCTTGGATGTTTGATGTGGGCTGTTGTGGACTGTTATGGCTTGTAATTCCTGCCGGAATTATTTGTGCCATGTAATGTGAGGAACAAAGGGGCTTGCAAAATGATCAAGAGATCATAGATTGAGAATGCTGATGAGGCTTATGCTTGCCAGGTCAGGCCTGGTATGACGACTCGTTAAGGTCCTAAGCGATTCCATTGTGCGGAACCCTTTGTGTTCGCTCTTTGTATGGCTGCTTATCTCTGAACTTCATTGTTATTTCTTAGAAAAAACGAAACGAATTCCTTGTTTCTGATTCTCTTTGTCTAACCAATTGGGATGCTGAACAGATGATTTACATTGAATATATAAAGACATGAAAACACAACAGTTGTTTCTCGCATACAAAACACTCTCTCATACCAAACACTCTCACACACAATACACCCTCACATACAATACACCCTCACATACAGAACGCAAAACCATCCCTCATTTCTCACACCAAATTTTAAACATGGAACAAATCAAAAGCCATATGGACGAACAACGAAGTTCTACTCAGTCTGAATCCAGTCAAAATGCTTACGACAGCTTGCCGCAGGAGATGCTTGACGCCATATACAAGCAATTGTTTACTCCACAAGATGTAGTATTAACTCGAGTTGTAAATTGGTTCCATAATGCGAAGGATAATATGGAGCATCCCGTGACTACCTTTACAACTGATCATACATTCAAACCTCCACAAGGACTCGACTCGAACCCCGACAGCCGAATCGTTACTTTGGATAACTACACGAGAATATTGGGTCACAGTATTCCGGATTCGTGGATCTACTTCAACTATGAACTTGACACACTGTCATTTTACCCTTGTGAATACACACAGTATGGGGACAAAACTTCTCGGAGCATGCTATGGGGATTTCACTCGATGGAATGGCTCAAACAGCTGAAAGAATTTCTCGAGCAGAAAGACAACAACTTAGCCGGTGTGCAATCAATAGCACTCAGCGAGTTCTCTTGGCCAGTCAGCCTGGAAGAAGATCACGTCTTTTACTCGGAACAAGAAAAGAAAATCGCTCGTAACCGCTCTAGTTTCAAAAACTTAGTCCACAACGGCTTTCAGAATTTGAAGGTACTGAAATTAGTGTTTTCTAAGGATTATGATCTTAGGGCCGACGACGATCGTCATCGTCCATTTCAAGCAGCAGAAAAGGAGAAAATTAAGGAAGAAATCAGAGGTTTCTTTGAGGAGGAAAAACTCTCTAATCCTGATTGCAGTGTACCTGAGATTCTTCTCTACGATTGTTTCGTGGAAGGTGTTGATGGCGCTCCTAATTGCAGAAAGTGGATCGATGAGCCTGAAGCGAAATCGGCGCTTGTTTTCGGAATCCCTGAAGTTTTCGATGACTGAATTAGATTGACTGGCAAGTATCAAGCACTTGCTGTTCAAGCTAGTTTACCAAGTAGAAGGAACATGTTTCTATTATAACTTTCATTTGCCGTTATTAATCAAACTGAGTTTTCAACAAACATTCCCACCATGTCTGCCTTATCAAGAAATCTTGACCCGTCTTCGATAGGATGTTTTCTAGTACCTCGATTGTGACCATAAAGCCTAGAGTAACACTAAGAGTAGGCCAGAGGCTGACATTGCTTCTGACATTGCTTCCTATTTCATAAAATAGTGGAATGCTTTAACAGCTGCTCACAAGAAAGGACACAAAGAACATTCCAATGTTGCGTGTTTTTGAGAAAGTCTATGATTGATAGACTACGAACATTGATAAATTCAACATCGCCTTCCAAACGTAATCTGTAATGTTAGAAGAACCAGCTCTTAATTTCATTGCAAGTGACTTTATTGTCTACATTAAGCTTTATTTTTTGCCAATTCTCATAATACAAGATATCTGAAGGAATTTCTGCCTTCGTCTCTAGCATACATGTGCCATCAAGTCTTCATGATTCAGTGACCGATAGCTTCTCATCACTACAAGAGAAATCAAATTTGCTTTTCTTGGCTCAACTGCTATGTTCAACACAACAAAGAAACCATGTGATTCTTGGTACCTTTTTCCAACCCGGTGATGACCTCAAATTGATACCAACAATAATTTCGTTTCAGTGAACCTTTGTTGCTCTGCTTTGGCCAAAAATAATGTCTCACATAGTTCTAGTCGAAGTTGGTCAATTCTGACTGATGACTTGTCAAGCTCTGTAGTTAAAAATGCCTTGAAGCATCTTCTGTTGGTCCAATGCGCCCATGACCTTGAGACAAAGGATTTTCATTCTCCATCTGTGCGATTCAAATTAAGCCAACATATTACAACGGCTCAGTATGGTATGAAATCAGTACGGGAACTTTACTTATATGTAGATGGTTCTCAATGAAAGTTATCTAAAACAAATAAGCAAGAACCGACATCTTAAACACAATCCTGATCTTTTTACTTTAAATTTGAACGCCAGTTTTCGTCAATATGGAAAATTATGAAAATATTTATCCCAGCCAAGCTGGTTCTTATGGGGCAATCTAGTAGCTCTGGATTTCCAATCAACAATCTTCCCACAGAGACCCAGGACTATATCTACGGACTAGCTTTGACTCCAAGAAACGTTATAATCCGCGATGTTTACGTACCATCCACCTCATGGAGAGGTTACAGGGTAGATAATACCTACACTCACCCGCCAACCTCCCAGGTGAATCAGGTTGCTCGAGCTAACGCCGAACGTCTCTACGAACGAATCCTAGAAGGTACTAACGGAGAACCACCAGATTATGAATCATACATATGGTTCAATGATGAAATGGACACACTGGGAGTTCACCCTTACGTAATGACGCTAAGAAGTCGGCATGGTCAAATTACACCCCGCTCTCGCGATCCATGGGCACCTGCAATGTCCCTCAAAAAGCTGAAAGACCTACTAAACCATGAAGGAAACTTTTTAGATAGTGTACAGAAAATTGCTATTGGCCAGTTTTACTGGAACTTCGAAACCGGAAACACTGCACGTGGATTAGCAGGCGATCACTCACGAGAAGCTTTCGAAGCCGCAGTCCAGTACGGATTTCGAAACTTACGAGAGCTGAAGTTGGCTTACCAACGCAATGCATCTCCTTACTCGAGTAATGACGAAAATACCATTACTCGCCAGATTCAAGACATGTTCTTGACCGAGCAAAGGCATACAGAATGTTTGGTTCCTAGAATCATTTTCATGGAACACAATTCCCCTGGTGCCCCAAATTTTTATATGACATAACACCAAACAATCAACAGTAGAGCATGCTGGGGATAGTCTGCAATTTGACAAGATCTTGTTAAGAAATGCATTATTGGAGGTTGTTGGGGAGAAAGACTAGCAGAAATGTGAATTACGTAACGATCATAGCGCTTAATGAAAATTGAAACCAAGAAATCGGAGTTTAGTGAACACATATCCTACTGCGAGCTCGGAATGGTAAGGTGCGTCATTGCATCACTAAGTGTGATCAGAAAATTGCAATAGCTAATCACATAATTTTTGACCCAATGAATTTCTAGGACACATGTCAAGAGCGATTGTGCTTACTTCTGTCACTTCCGCTTACCTCCTATTGCTAAGCGAACCTCCCCCCCTATTGAGAACATTTTGCAGGGACGAAATTTTCGCAAAAGCGATACGCCGACAACAAGCTTCCGTCGTACTGACTCTCGCGAAAACCGAAAGATAAGCAGAAGGAATGCGCCATGGATTCATGACAGTAAAGTGCCAAACAGATGGAGGATTGGCTTAAGGGCACAGGTGGCGTCGATCCTCGCTTAAGTTATTTAAAGAGCATGCCAGAGTAATTGGAGTCGTTGAGGCACAGAATGGACGGGCCAAATACGTTTGCGATATAGGATTAGATAGGTCAATTGAATTGGGCTCATGTGTATCTTACTAAATTTACTGTTACTGTTGTCGCATTTCTTGACACGTTAATGCTCAAATTCTGGACCAGCTTTCGAACGTTATCGTCAGGGAAACTCAAGGTTTGAAGTATACCATTGGTAATTCTCGACAACGTTTCTTCTATTTTGGAACACGGCTCATAAGATATGTGCGACGTTGGGGTGGTTACTTATTTGTTTCTCACATGTGGGCTTTTCTAGCAAGTTTAGTCTATGCCTCCCAACTTGCTGTGTCATTTCACGAATTTCCAACATGAACTAGATCTCGTCAAAGGCGATTGTTTCGTTTATTGGTTTCATTCCAGCAGGTCTTTGTTCAAAGTTCGCAGTCATAAGTACGAATGATTCCAAGGAATGTCCTGTTGGTTTCGTAGCTGGATAACAAAGAACACTTCTTATGTCCTGTTAGATCACAACTTTTGAATTATATATGATGAGAAGGTGCAAAACATTATTCTAAGGAATCTATATAAAGAAAGCTGTATCTACTGGTGATTTGAAGATATCAGCAAGTCTTTTCCTTTTGACAACCTTCCCGAATACATATCGCACACTTTAAATTCCTCAGAAACCCAATTACCTCAAACATGAGCCAAAGTGCAAGCTCCTCCGTCAACCCACAGGAAAGCGATGATTTTAAGTTGCTCCAAACTTTGATCCAAAAACAACCCCAAGAAGTGCAAAATATGATCTACACGCATATTAACGATCCCAAGACCATATTCATCGTCCAAGATTCGAACTATAGGGGACCTGAAGAGCCCGCCATAATCATCGAAGTCGACTATCATTATGTTCTACCAGTTGGACTCAGTGGACGAGAATCAGATTCTTACCGCCGCGTGCTGACTCTGAGCAAATATACGCGAATTCTGTCCGAGTCAAGTCCAGGTTCTTGGATTTACTTTAACTTCGAGAAAGAAGCTTTGGCTATTGACCACCGCGCAGCTTCAATTGCACCCCCTGGTAGTGTCAGATGAACTGTTCGGAAGGTATGGAATTTCCTGGGCTGCCTTCGAGCGCTGAACGAATTACGTAAGATAGAGGGCAACAATCTAGCTAAGGTGGAAAGGATTGCCGCAGCAAATTTTACCTGACTTTTGAGGGAAGCTCACCCTACTCCCGAGGGAGAAGCCAGATTCGAAAAGCAGAATCAGGACTTTGAAGATGTGATTAGAGATGGCTTTCCAATTGAAGGAGTTGATATTTGTTTACGGCCAAAAGAAACGGGGAGATGACTATGGCTATGAAGAAGAGGTAGAAGATTTAGTTAGAGCTGAACTCCAAAGAATCTTCGAGAAAGTGCAGGAGTCGAATACAGGCTTTCTGATTCCGGAAATCACCTTTTTTAATCCTACCGACAAAAAAGCACCTAAGCTTTACACCAGGCCAGATTTTGATTGAAACAAAGACTTGACTCTATACTTACCAGAACACAGCGTTTGTAATACTATTTAAGATGCGACACCACTGTCATTACGTAGAAAATAAAACGTAGTGGGCATATTACTTTATAGCATTAATAACAGCTAGACCAAAATGTTCACCACTGTTTTTATCCCAAGTCGCGAACAGGTGATATATTTTTAGTCTAGAGAAATGCAATTACTCTCTTTATATGAGCATGACATAGTGAGATTCATAGAAGGACAAAGTGGAAGTTGCCCCGCTAGTATTAACACATGTTAAGCGAGACCTTGCCGGATTTTATTAAGCTCAACTGAATATCAACTCCAAAGGGCTTTAAATCTAAGATCCAATCAGAATAAACCACCCCAGTGAAAGCAGAGCCTGTGAGCCTGATGTAAAGACAAACTAAGAATTAATTCTCATCAACATTGTCAAAAGGAGTGGGAGGATTGTTGAAATGGATTGGAGGTTCATCCTCGCTTAAATCTTGCGGATTTGTTGTCCCACAAAGCCCCAAAGTTCAATTCGGATCAGAGGATTCTAAGAATTAATCCCTCGTATTTTATCCCACCTCCTTCATCAGTGTTCTTACTTCCTATATCCATGTAAGCTGGCGAGATAGGTGGTTGAGCGTCAGCGTCATCACGTGATGTCTCCAGCCGACCGGTTCACAATACGGCAGACTGCTGTTATTTATCTAGTAAAAGAAGGCTAATCCAACTGTTAACTATTGAGATTGTATCGACTATGGTTATATGCAATTATGTAGATGTAGGTACATGGGCGTCACGTGGGCCGTCCGTGCACGTGTGATGTTGTTGCTTTCTTTCGAGGTGAGGAACAGTTGGACGGCAATCATCGTAGATACCACCACATATCACTACTGAACACTATATACACCCCTTTTCATCGCTAAGCTGCCCACAAATCGCAATATGGCTAAGATTATATCATAATCTCAGACGCAGCGACTACCGGCCCACAGTCCAAGTACACATCCACTTGCTGATGAGAAGCGTTTTTGGTCAAAATCTGGAGCCTTTCAAGCTCAACAAATTTAGCAGGAGAATCAAATTTGTGCTGTGAGACTGACAAGTGAGCATAGGTTTTCATGTTAATTAGGCTATTAATTTTCACTACTAGCTGACGGACCATAGGTTGAAGCCCACGCATCATAATCTTTTGCAAGCATCAATTCTTGCATGTGACGCCTTCTAATTCCAACATTGCCTCCATCGAATATTGGCAGAACCATAGCCGCGTTCAATAACTCCGCAAAGGGCTGATCGGAGTCGTAGGCAGATCTACACCAACTGGTTAGCAGGACGCACTAGTAAAGGACGAAAGGAGCACTTACACTCCCACAACGCTGATAGCATCCGTTACTGCTTTCACGCAAGCATCACTACAATATATTTTAGCAGCCAGGGCAAGTTCTCGCCTGGCATTGTAATCGCCCGGTCCATGCTTAAGGCAACTCGCTGCTTTCCAAGTTAGAGCCCTGCAAGCTTCTGTCTGCATTTTGATACCACTCAGAAGATCTGCCACCGCTTGTCTTTGCAACAATTCCACCGCACCTCTGCGGCTGTCACTCTTCGCGAAGGCCAATGCCGCGTCAAAGCTTGCTCGCATAATACCAACACTCATGGCACCGACAAGAATAGCAGAGCAATCGAAACTTCCTGAGATAATGGGCACAGCTGTGCCTGCTGGACATAAGACATTCTTAGCCGGAACTCTGAGCCCTGTGTATTTTATGTGTGGACCAGAGCAAGCACTGTGGCCAACTGTCGGGACGTGACGGAGAGTTTTGAATGATCCAGGCTTATTTCGAAGTACATCATCTTTGGTAACTAGAATTATCATGATTGCATCACCTGGTTCGTCAGAGCTTGGATTTGTGGTTCGGCAGACAACACATTGCAAGTCTGCACCTTGAAAGTCCCACCCAGCACAGTTGGTAGCCCATATCTGCTTAGATGTTAGTCGCTCCACTTCTAAAAGATACTCAAGTGCCAGATTCGAACCTTTTCTCCGTTAATAATCCATTCATCACCATCTTTTTCGGCAGTCGTGTTGAGGCCTGGCGCTCCCTTCTCCAAATAGTTCGCAACTCCGCCAGGCTCAGAGAACACCAGACTCGCTAGCGGCTCTCCCTCTCCTGACAGGAAAGGCGTCAGAAACTCATTGAATTCTGGTTTGTTCACCAAATTGAGAGGCGTTAGGCCCAGCCCGGTTGCAAAAATGGTCAGGGAGACCGATGGCTCGACCCGGTACATCTCCTCGACCAAGATAGCTGCTTCCGTAAGACTTCCACCTGCTCCACCTAGAGAGGGAGAGATTTGGCCTTTTATTAGCCCGCCTGCAACAGCTTGACTGTACAAAGATTGTGTTGATTGGAATCGCTTCTCATCTTGAAACTTCATGTAATTCTTCTTAGCATCTTTCAGCTGTCAAAAATTAGCATGCTTGCCGATTTTACTTTCCTTTATAATTAAGCTCTTCTTAGCTTAAGAACCTCATCGGAGATGTATCGAACTTCCACTTACCGGCCCTGCTGCGAATGCGGCTGCTGCATTCCGTGTCCCTTCCTCCGTCGCCGAGAGATTGAAGTCAATAGGCATGGTGTCGAACACTGGACACTAATGGGATTGGATGGGACCGTTCTCAGGGTTGTAAACTCTCCTTTGTACTCGAGAGATGATCTATTGCAAGACTTTCCGATCAATTCTCCATGGACTTAAAATCTCAGCTGACACGATTACCGACAGGGTGGTGTGGTAGTGCTGACAGTGACTATTCCACCACGATTCTCAGCCAATGGCATTTATCCGGCTCCCGGTATCCGATCGTTGTACAAGTGGGTTGGCATTTATTCTTTGCTCTAAACGATCGAAACGAGCTTGCATCGGCGGTGTACTCAACATTTTTCTTCTACATCCACTTCTAGTCCACTTAATCGATCTTTCGAAAGTATAAAAATGCTAATTTAATTGTAATGCTCTTCGATGTATTAAAGTAAAATACGTTAACCTATGATTTAACGCAGAGATTGGTATAGTGATAATATTAATAGTTTATAGTAAGTGTAACTACTCTTAAACACCCGACTGCTTTTAATTAGTAAAGTAACACTCCTGTAGACATTACTGGACGACCATGAGTGTTACAGTGAGATATCAAAAAATTCTGTCACACCATATTTGTGAGGAACGTGGAGAACTCGAAAAATGTAAAAGTCACTCGCATTGTAATTCTAAGATTCAACAAATCAAGCGAGTCGGGAAAGATAACCTGAGTGGATTACCTTTGAATAGCAATGAATCCAAATCCAACTTGTGAAGAAGTTTTACTGGTTAGTTATTGACAGAAAAGAAAAAAGCTCTGCAAATGTTCTAGAGTGGATTAAACATCTTGTAGTCAACATTGATCGCACCTCTGTTCATCACAATAGATTTCCACGGTGGTATCTGAAATTTCACTCAAATGTGACCTGGCTTGACACCACATGTGTTCGCTGAGAAGTATGCTACGAATTAATAATAAACAAAAATTATTTAATTAGTTGAGCATGAGTCCGGCCGATGGAAGCCATCGAGTACGCCTAAAATCTTACTACAGTATGTTAGCAGTGCCCATCAATCTAACTCCTGGATAATTCCGCGAGTTTGTTCCCATTGAATCCGAGGTCTCCTCCCAGATTTAATGCGTCGAAGCGATGGAGGCAGTGTTGGCTTGTCGGTCGGCAAATCAGAAAGTCACGCATTTGAGAATCAAAGAGGTCCCGAGCGTTGCATATATACAGACTGCGCATGTACTCACAGCCCCCAATTGTAACAATGAAAAGGTCGACCACACCAGGCTAAATGGCTACATGAAGGTCTTTTGCATTCTTTTGCATTTCCAGGCCAATTGAGGCGCAGGAAAAGAAATGCTGCAGGCCCACGTGACTCGGCTCGCAGTGTAGCCGCTGGTGCACCCTCTTTCGCTCTGGCTTCTGCGTAACCGCGCAACAACATCCAGTCAGCCCGCATCGACTTCCATGCTTTAAATAGGCCCAGACATAAAGACAGCGCCTCGGAAGCGCTCGCAGGGATCGGTCCCACGAGCCGCCAGGGGCAATGCTGCCTTCCATCTTCCTGGTGAGGCTCATCTTTTGCGTGTTCTCTGGGGAAATCCAGCCATCATGACGTGGGAATCCGTCTTTACCGTCGGTGAAGCGTCAAGCATACCGCTCTATTGGCGCTCCAAATAGTTTCCGCTTCTTCTAATAGGCACGGCGTTGGCCAGGGCAACTGGGCCTCCTGTTGGTTTGTTGTTCGTCTTGCATCGTGGGGTTTTGCTCTGGCTTCTTTTTCTCCTAGTTAACGCTTCATTTCCGCCCCATCTTCTACTTCAAACTCTTTTTTCTCTTGTCTTTCCATTTTTCCTGTGTCCTTTCAGTCGTCATCAAATTTCATTGCGTTTTGCGGGATTAGAATGGGTTGTCGTGTACTCGAGATTTCCTTTTTGATCTGTTAATGATGACTGGGACGCTGGTCGCCGCAGAGATAATAATTACCACAAGGTCAGTCTGCCTTTCCTATGCAAAGATCTACGACACACTCTGGGAGATGAGGGTAGGGCCTTGAAGTTGGTCTGAGGATGATGAAACGATGCTTAGACTTCGATATTATCTGCGCTAGGATCGCCACTTATGCTTTTGCAGTTGTGTTACTTTGGGTTGCAGATATGTTTAAGTGGAAGACGCCCATGCTAACATCGTCTTGAACTTTAGTCTCCATGAGAATGGCACGATGCTGGCCACTTCTTATCCTCCTGACATCCATATCTACAACACTCGTCGACGGAGCGACGACGTTGCCGTCAGAACTGAAGAGCTTGGTACCACAATGTGCCCAACCATGCTTCACTTCTTTCATAGACTCGAACTACGCAGCGAGTGCTTGCGGTCAGACACCAGACCTAGACTGTCTGTGTTCTCATGACAGTGCCTCGGAATATACGATCGGAGAGGCTTCAGTGCAATGCATTGTTGGTGCTCAAAGAACTGGAGTTTGCAGTCAAGCCGACACTAAGGGTAAGTCAAACTACAATTATCCTACGTCATGTCGTGATCTAACATTCAATAGAAGATGTTGTGTTGAAGGCACACGGAATGTGCAATGGCAAGGCAAATGCCATACCCAACACACATACGGTGATTTCTGCAACATTGGAAGTTCAGTCCAATACCGTTAGACTTCAACCACCTTCGACGACATTGTCAAACTCGATTACAGCCACGTCCACTCTCGCTGTCACGTCTATTCCAACTTCCTCTTCCTCCTCTTCGGGATTTCTGACATCAACCGGGGTGGTTCCCGCTCCAGCAACAACACAGCCACCAGCCGAATCCCAAACCACTGTGCCGGTACTCCCACCAACAGAAACTCCAAAATTGACACAAGCTCAAATTGTTGGGATCACGGTCGCTGCTGTTGGAGGAATGGCCGTCATGCTTGGAATCATAGGGATTTTAGCATGTGTGAAGAGACGACAAAGAATGGAATATGATGATGGCGATGATCTTCCACTGTCTATGGATCCTTCGTACTACCCACCATCGTTTGATTCGCAAAATAGTTATGCTAAACCTTTGAACTATGGACCAGGTGGTACCACAAGTGGAGTTGCTCGTAAAGTTGCACCACCTGTGCCGCGTCGTTTCGACGTTGCAAGCCCTAACATGTTCTCGCGGAGAAGCATGCAAGCAGATGAGATTATTGGACTTGCGATATCACCAGAGCTTAATCAATCACCAGTTATGCGGAGACCTAGGGGCGAATCAAAACTTTTACCGCCAAAGCCAACTCTAAGACTACAGATGCCACCCAAGGCAGCGGCCAAATTTGCGAAGACTGCACCCAAGCCAATGACCTACAACAGAGAAAGCACAATGACTACTTTTGACGAGGACTTTGAGCGGCCAGGGTGGGTACCTCAAGTGCCACCGACACCCAAATTCATTCCAGCTTCGCTTCAAGGTGCTGGACTTTCCTTCCCTCCACCAGTGGCAGGTCGCCCTGGATTGAGGAGAGAGAGTACAGCAACATTATTTGAGGATGTTGAGGAGAGTGGATTACGAAAATCACAAGTTGGAAATGCCAGAGGAGTATCCTATATTCAGCCGTCAGTCATTGTACCAATGCCTGTGCCACAGGACTCGGAATCTCCACTGGAACTGGATGGAGCTCCACGTGACAGTAACTGGGCAAGACAAAGCACTGCCACTCAATTTGAGGAGGATGCTGTTGGCAATATGAGTATTGGTCCAGTAAAAGGCAAAGCAGATCGTCGATCGAGAGTTGAACAAGATTTGGACAACACAATCGATGAGTGGGAACGATACACCCCAATTAATACAACTGGACCTCCAGCATTTTATTTCACAGCAGCGGATGTTCAGGGTTCTGAAGCCATGAGAATGCCTTTATCTCAAGCAAAGCCAGTAATGGTTGGACGAAGGATGGGCAGTTTCTCACAACCTCGAAATCCAATGCAATACCCACCACGAAAAGATTCCATGGAACCAGTACTTGAGGCGTTCCCGAAACCACCTCGGCAGATGGTACCATTGCAATTGAAGATTCCAATAACTGACTCGCGACCGCCTACTGTCGCTTCCTCAAATTATGCCACACCATCGTCTTCAAATCCAGCTAATTCTCCAACGCCAAGCTTGCCTCCAACCGGTTCTCTTCCTCAGATCCCTAAGGCGTATAGACAGACAGGACCATATGATAGCCATAAGGCCGGGAACTCAGTTGAAACCAATAGCGCCGCTTCTCCAGCTGGAGGTCCACGGACAGGCGAGCTCCAACTCTCACCGGTTTTCGAGTCACCTGCCAGTGGTCGATCTCGTGTCTCATATCCAAAGATTCCAAAACCACAAGGAGCAATCAAGGCAATCCCACCTCCACCGCAACCAAATTTTACACCAAACAACGCGTCCGAGGCCAGAAAACCATGGGAAGCAGCCGAAGCAGCAGCACGCGAGAAAGAACGCCGAATCCAAGTCCGTCGCCAAAGTTCCTTAACATGTCCACCGCAAGGAATCATGATCCACCTTCCTCCAACCCAAATCAAAAACAAACGTCTCTCAACCGTCGCAAACCTCGACAACAATCCACCTCCTCACTCCCCAAACTGGGACACCTACACTCCAACACCCATCTCCCCCTCCGGCCCCTCCTTCTCCTCCACAAATCGCACACCACATCCGCCTGCCCTATCCTCCCCCTTCACCTCCCCGCGCCCAAAACACACACCCAAGACCAAGCAACAAGTCCACTCACCCACCCCCACCACCCCAGGAATCCGTCTCTCCAACGCCTCAACCTCCACCCCGCCCACCTCACCCCAACCTAAACCCCTCGCCCACCGCCGCGGCAACAACAAAGCCTCAGCCCTAACCCTCACAAACCGCCCCACACAACCCACAGCCTGGGCGCCGTTAAAAAACACCAATCTCCTCTCCCCAGACTCGAGACGCGTGGTGGGTGAAGGCGGCGTCGCGTTCGAGCGCGCTGATCCGATTGAGCTTCCCGGTACGCCCGGGTGGGTGCCGAAGTTGACGCCTACTAGAAAAGGGGAGGATTTGTATTTGAGAGTTGCGTAGACATATTCTCACACCCTACTATTACTTTTGATATCACATGGTCTTTTTGTGGATCTGTAAAACACTACTACTATCGCTTTTTACTTTTTTTATTGTATTTAACTATTTTTTATTTTTGGGGGTTATATATGGAGATGGGATGGGCATAGCAATGGCGTATATTTTTTGGGATCGGAGTTTGGGTTGGAGGTGGATTATACCAGTTTTGAGTTTGTGTTTTATGGTTTATGTTGTTGAGAGGATGTGGAGTAGAGGGGAGAGAGAGTAGAAGAGAGATGAAAATTTAAAATTGACATATACATATATACATGAAATCCATCTGCTCATCGAAGAATCGTGTGAGGATGATAAGAATTGAGACAGATGATAAGTACACCACTAACAATATCATCTGCTTCCAAGATCTGTAACAGCATACAACGCTACGACACGACCAAACCCCGAATCCAAAATCCATTCAATCTACGAAATGCTTCATGCAAGATGAGATAAAAACCAGTGTTAGCCACCTTATCAGGCAATTAATCCTAATCGCTACGCAGAGTGTGGGTGTTAAACACTATCAGTATCGCATCTTGCAACTTGAATCTATGGCTACCTATGTGGTGGAAGTTCAACCGAAAGACCGGGTTGAACGAGGTGACAACATACAGATCTGATAATTCTACGAGGAACGGTAGTTTTTCAAGATAGAACGAAGTGCAAATCTCCGTCAATTGAGGTCTTTATTCAAATGGGAGATCTTGTGTCATGGTAAGCTATCCTTGATTACTGTCCGCTAGTGGAGAAGTCACAAGTGACAATTCTGCTATGCTCTGAGATACCTCAAAAGCGATCTTGCAAACCATGTGGAAGATTTAAGAATCGTGTATCTATAAACAATTATCTAATTCGTCTCGACACTCAAAATGAAACCCAATTATACAATCAATCTATACACATCGACAAAATACCTTGTTCAGGACTCACTCGCCTAAATTCTACCACTTTAGGTATACCGATCAAGAAAACGTAGCCTTGTCCAGGACCACCCCTGACGAAGGATTCCACCCCAACCAACTCAGCCCAACAAACACGAATAATCGGAAGAAGACAAAAGCAGGTTTTCGATTTCTGAGTCATGATAGGATGTTGGCTGCCTGTAATCATGTTAGCTGCCGAGCAGGGACATACATATTTCCTGCCTAGCGTCTTCTTATGGAGGAAGCACCCTTCAAATATCTGCCGAGAACACTCCTCATCGTTTGTGAAAGTAAGATTTTCGAATTTCTATACGCCAAAATCGAGTTCTATCCATGCTTGAGAGGGAAAGCCAGACGTCAGAGACAAAGAAAACGGTTTGAACGGCCAAACGCTAATTTGCAATTGGTGGTTCGGAAATTTCGAGAAATCAGTGCTAGCAGTGGACGTTGCTCTACAACACTGGTGGCCAGAATAGTACAAGGTCAGGCAAGTGACATGTGTTCAAGTTTAACATCATGAGTGTATCATGGAATCGTCGTATTTGTCAGAGATCCGCTGACCTCATTCACTAGACACGAGTCAGGGAGAGCAATACAAGTGTTGGGCTGGACAACCACTCTCCACCACCGACTCGCTTCCGTTCTGAACTGGAATGCGAGTTGATTGCCAGATGGGCCAAGTTCAAATAACCCAAACCTTTTCGCCAGGATTAGCCAGGTGCATTGCAAGCATCCATGGGTTTGATGGACTTACGGGGGATCGGACGGTTGGCCATCACCATATCGCGGAGGCTCTAACTTTTCGGGCTCAAGTTGGGTGACCTCCAGATTTGATTCGGATTTCATCTGCTCGGACTGCGGCAATGGCCTGGACACTGAGGGACGTCTTGCGGTGGTAGAAGATGTTCGCGATCCATCAGATAAAAACCTCATAAACTCATTTTTGAAACGATTCGATCCTGGCGCTCGGCCATTGACCGAGGCGAAGCCAGATCGTGGCACTTTCCTCTTATCGGTTGACGCAAGACTTTGAGCATCTGAGGGGGGATTTTGGGTACTAGGATGAACAGAGAAGGCTTGGCCATTTGTGGCTTGAAGAGCAACAGAGAGGGCTTGAGGAGCAGGTGAAAAAGGGTGTCTTCGCAAAGGGAGAGATGCAATGCTTCCTGCAATTGGGTCAATAAAAGGGTCTGCCTTGGAACGACTATGAGTTGGAGCTGGGTGCGCATCAATGAGCGAGACACTCTTGCGGGAATGGATCGTGGTAGGTGTCTCGCCGGGCTCACTTGTGCTCGACAGCGACAATGGCCCCCGACTTCTGGCCGCTTGCCGCCTACCGACCTCATTTATTTTGTCCACAGCCGATACATTCTCTGCCGCCAACATCAGTACCGCCATACAAATGTTGAGCGTGAAGGACGACTTACTTTCAGAGAGTCGATGGCGGGATCGGGTTCGACTTGCATGGGGGTTGGTGACCGATGCCTAGGAGGGGTCACATCTCGAGACGGTCTATAACTGTCAATTTTAAGACGCTTTCTGGGGCTGCGGTGGTAATCTGGGCGGTATCTATCAGTGCTCTGGCAACCTCTGGAACGAGGCGTGTCATCGGGAGAATAAGGTCGTGATCTTGGTATTGAAACTCCAGGTACATCTCCACGAGGCCATCTGTCCGTCGTTCGACCGCGGTGCTCTCTTCGCTCTCTTCGAGAGCCATGAAGTGGTTGAACAGAGTCGCATGCGGACCGACTCCTCTTCCTTCCAGACACGGCGGATAGCGGCAAAGCAGGCGCAAGATGGGGTCCGTCATTCCTGATGAGAGTCGAATGCTGGCGTGTCCGCGAAACTTGTCTCTGATCTGACGGACTCGACGGTTCTTGTTTGATTATCATCGTGGCTACCACGTCCTTGCTCAGTCAAGGTTAGTGCAGATTGTTAGTTGTGTAGCAAGATGGAAGGTAAGTTGAGGTCGAATCTCCAAGAACATTAGGATTGACTTCGATGTGGGGTGCTCCTTCTCGATTCACCAGACTTGAGCAGCAGCTGGTTCTTTGGACGATGGATGTTATGTTGTTGACCTCGAGCAACAGCGGAGGAGACGCGTCAAGAACGACTAACTCCGAAATGGTAAGCCCGAAATATAGTGTCACGTGACTGCTAACACACCTCCGCCAGAACGTGACCATGCTCGCCTCGCTTTTTCTGCCTGGACCAACCTCACTCGCTTCCTTTCTCGTCACCGATGCTCGATGCATGGATCCTGTAGAGCCTCACAACATCGAGTGTCATCGCCGGATTTTGATGTCACCAGCAGACCGGCGATATCCGACCATCAACGCTATTCCAGGCTTCCTCTGTCCTCAATTCGACCAAATCCCATTCGTCCCATGTTGGAAAATGATCTTGCAGACTTGCAGCGTCCCGCTCACGCACATGCATGCAAAGTCTGATTGCTTGCCTTCAGCCTTATGAACGTTGGCATCCAAATCATCGGAAATTCGTCATTCAAAGTTGGGTGGTTTCTCAGCACGGGAAGGAATGATTATGTTCGATCGAACTATCGCCTTCGTTTGATTTCGTGGCATGGCTTTGGGGGCTCCAAGCTGGCTCTCGGGAATTTGGTGAAGCTCCAAGACCACACCTCCCAACTCCAGCAGCCCCCAAATCCACTGCCGGAACCACGAAACGCTCCCCGTGTTTCTCCTGTTCTCTTGCCTGCTGTACCTCGTACCCGACTGGTTCTGAGGTCTCCAATCCCAAAACCGAGTAGCTTGCATTGTTGTTGGTTGCATGCACCTTTCCCAGACATTCCTACCCTGGAGGGTACATTGGACTCGACCATTCTTGGGTCTATATTCCTTCCACTGACACGTTGTTTGGAGCCTCTTCTTATCTTACACACGAGGATTCGCTGCAAGGTGACTCGCCTTTGATGGCATGCTCATCGAGGAAGTTTCCTCTTTATCACGAGTCAGACTGATTGGGGTCTTATTATCGATATGATCCCGATTGATTTGTTGCACAAATGTCATTAAGATCGTCCTCGTTTGACTGCCATCAAGTGCCATAATTCAGTTTTGTTCCCTGCATGTTGCTACAACTTGCAAGTTTCTTGGCAGCTCGGTGCGTGGACTTCTGGAGGCTCATTCGTTGCTGACTGCATCGCTCGAAATGAAGTAGGCTGCTATGCCACATGGGCGAGCGATCACTGGACGAATCATACATATCCTTCATATACACCAAATAAGCCTAGCTTGCAGGTGCTGGAACTTTGAGCCGAGCATTCAGTGCTGCATTTGTTATGGTTGTCAGTCTTCCTCGTAGAGGGATCTCCTACTAGCCTCCAATCTTCCGTTTCTCTCGCAAGCACCTCTATCAATGTTCAATTTATATGTTAGGTAGTCGTATCCTTCAGCCTCGAGGATTGAGGCATATGCAGGTTCCTCCAAGTGACTGTTGTATGACGACAATAGTTATGTGGTTACTGCACACCTTGGCTGCTTCCTGCAACTCTACGAGATCCTCAAGGCAACCTCCTTGCTTGTCAAGATGACTTTGGGTCATTCCTTGCTTTGTATTGGAGTGCTCCTTGATATCACCTCAACTAAACATTCGGAGGGCGTATGTCAAGCAACTGATTCGCCACCCTATTTCTCATCCCAGCAACGGCTATTTCGCTTTGAGCTTCGTAGTTTCGGCAGCTTCCTAGAACACAACATTGCTATCTATTTTACTATCCTTAGGCGGCATTTCCTCCGTCTGCTTCGATTGTAACATGCCATAAGCTCGAGACGTATTTGCCCACTCACGTAGCAGTACTGCTCTTGAGTCACCCCCGTGATGTGTTGCCTTACCGGTCTAGAAACCTATTTGCTTTGATTTTCCAAGGGTTGAGTTTTGCCTTGCGGCGTACCTTTTAATGGATGGGACAATCAAAAATCCGTGAACATATAACATTTAAATATCCAATGCAAAACCACACTTCGCAACGACCAAGAACGATACCACAATGATGAAAATAGCTATAGCCGGTTCCGGCGGATTGGCACGGATATTTGCACAATATCTCAGAGAGACGGAGCACATAACTATCATACTCTCTAGAACTGTACGCGGATAAATTTTCCTCCCGCAGCTACACACGCTGACTTGACACCCAGGCACAACCAGACTTTGAAGACTTGGACTGTCAGGTAGTTGTGGTCGACTATCGTAACCAGCAAGATCTGGAGTATTATCTTCGGGGAGTTGAGTAAGTCTATTCATATTATCCCTCGTCTTGCCCTAAGAATCTCGTTTGCCCCTTTTTACCAGCGACTGCGTCGCTCAAAACATCACCTCCACACAACGTCGATACCGCACACTAACATCTCAATCCACTCTAGCATCGTCATATCCACCGTTTCAGGCGCCTCCCAGATAAACTTAATTGACGCAGCAGCACACTCTCGCGTCAGCCGCTTCATCCCCGCCGAATTCGAAGGCTCACCCAGCCGTCGCCGTTCCAGCGACCCTGACGTCCGTGGGAAACGCGAGTCTCTGGCGCGTCTCAAAGAATGGAACTCAGATTCACGTCATCGCATGCGTTACACCATCTTCACTTGTGGCGTTTTCTACGAGCGATTCGCCAGAGGAGGCCTTGCTTCTCTCGGTATCGGTGCCAACAGCGGCATCCAGTATCAGGGCGATTACATTATGAATCTTGGGACTGGAACGGCGGAGACGGTCGTGCAAACGAGCACGGGGGATCCGGTGGAGTTTTGTATGATTTCAGTGTGGGATTTGGCGCAGTATGTGGTCAAGGCGATTGACCTGGGAGTGGAGACTTGGCCGACTGAGTATAGGGTTCAGGGAGACCGGAGGAGTGTTAGTGAGATTTTGCAGTGGGGGGCTATTGTTTTGAATCGTCAGTACTCCTTCTACCTTACTTTACGTTGATGTTGTATTAATTGGTATTGTGCTAGTTGATCATCTGGATACCATATATCACCAAGCTGGCAACCTTCAAGCTCATGTCGATCATGCGAGAGCGACCTTTGATTGGGGCAAAGTCGCCCGTTTCGAGGAACTCGTCGCTACGGAGAAAGGTCGATATTGCTTCTCTGCCCCGACACTCACGTTGGCTAGCGTCAACCCGATTCCTTTCTGGAATTGGTTGCAGAGAGAATGGGGATCTTAGTGCTCATATTTCTGTCGCGATAGACGCGATGAAGTTGAGTCTGACTTGAAGACATTGGAATAGCACGGAACAGTACGTACAACAGCTACGGATTTCACCTCAGTAAGGATCGGGTGGGGATTTTGGGTTTGGAATAGCATAGCGCGGACAGGACGGATGGATATCTACACTCTGGGAATTTCGAACTTGTCGTATCTAGCTTTGGCTATTCACTGGCGCTGCTATAGATTAGCACGTGGGATCACTCCCTTCTTTCTTGATTTGTTGTTAGATATAGATGAATTTTCGGTCACAATGTTGGACGATCTTGGACTTAACTTTCGCTACGTGCGTGAGCATGATAGATCGAGATCTTTCTCTTCGTAAGAACTAGGTAGGCTTCTATTTCAACTGTAACTTTGATATTCTCTATAAATCGTTTTAGTTCAGCTAAATCTAGGACAGAGCCCCTACATTCCTGCTTACAATAGTTCGGTCGTCATATTATGATCTTTGTAGAAAAGACGATAGTTTGTTTGCAAGGGCTTGCCTAATATGGAATAGACCGAGCTAAGCGAGGTCGTACGAAGTAAGAGCGCGGCCTTCCCGTTTTGTGGTCGCCTCGGTGAGTTTTCAACAACTACCTGTTCGGCAAATCATCATCAACACAAAATCACAGCTTCATGAACTCATAAGAAGACAAGGTTGACTAAATTATTAGTGAACCTCTGATGCCCCTGCAAATGAAGACATGGATCTCGACGCGGACGTTCTCATCGAGCGTGTCGGCTTGCGCCCACAACACATCTTAAAGTGGATGGTGACTGTTCAGGATGCTATCCCACCAACTTTTGTTCCAAAGACACCTGGCTCTTTCGATATTGGTCAACTCAGAAATTTACCCCTTGAACTTCTATATATCGTCTTCGAATCTCTCGACTTCCGGAGCCTGTCACGCTTCGCATGCGTTTGTCACCGAGGGAAAGCGACTGTTGAATCATTGCCGGCGTATCGAGACCTGATCAAGCACGCTTTTACAACTTTGGTAATCTTTTCCCGGGCTAAACTGGTCACTTTTCACTCCGCTGGATCTATTCACAAACCGTTGCTCTCCAATAAATGCGTAGCCTGCGAACATTTTGCACCTTTCTTATTCCTTCAAACTTCTGAGAGGTGCTGTCATGATTGCCTCCATAGAGACCGGTCGTTTCGCCTTAGAACAAGTGCAATGGCTAGGAAATGCTTCGGACTCACGCCAACCCAGCTTCGCCGGATACCGTCTATGCTTAGCCTTCTAGGGGTTGGTTATTTTGGCAAGGAAAAGAGGCGAAACAGACTCTTCAGTTTGAAGCAGGCAGAGGCACTAGGTGTTGGGGATGTCGAGCCAACTTTCTGAACTATACAGAAGCCGGAATTCTACACCCGGAAACGCGGGCTCTGTTTTCTGGCGACGACCCGCGGTCGTCTTTACTTGATTTAGAGCATCGGGCAAGATCAAATTCTGCATTTGTCGAACATACAAGAGTCTGCAAGGGTGCAAAGGATTCGCTTCAAGGGCCTAGTGTTCTATCTGGCAAGGATTCTTGGTAGTGTACGTTTGAAAATATTTCCAACATTGAATGCTCTTCAATAACGTTTTTGAATACATGAATAATGACTGACAAAAGTACAGCCCCCTAATATATCCCTCCAAAAACATGATCAAAAACGAGCGACCGAAGCACAACGCACCCCGATGCACCTATGGATAGGTATATATTGAACCGAGACCTGGAATATGACCGTTTAGATCAAGTAGCAAAACGAGTCTTTAGCGAGCGGGCTGACGCCCAACGTATTGCGGAAAAGCCTTGCATTCCTTCAGCAAGTGCTTGGGGCAGTCATTACTGGAGTCGAGGGCTCTCGAAGAGCTCCAATCACTGCTGTCGGAACTGACTGGAAATACTGGAAGAGGTGGATCGAATGTGTACTAGTCGATAGTGTTTGCAAATGAAAACCTTACTGCCAGTCTCGGACTGCGAAACTGCCGCTTGTCATTCGGGAGCGTTTCGATATATGTTTCTTCTCTATATCTGAGACATTAGAGAGGTTTTGTAGCTTTTGGGATTCGGTTAGTATTATAGTGTGTAAGAGAGTGTTTCGACCCAAATAACTTCCTAATTAGGACGGATTTCTTAATCCCATCGTAGTCCTAGTGGGACTATATAGTCCTAAACGTGTTTTTAGGATTATAAAGTTCTATTAAAGCTTCGAAAGAGATAAAGTATAAATTACATGAAACTATAGAGCGGAACCATAATAGGAAGTTAAACGGTAATCCCAAAATCTGTAAAACCTCTCTATTGGAAAGTAATTAGAAAGAAATCCGTTAGTAACTTGATGTATTGATAATGAAGAAGAGCAAAGAATCACAGCGCATTCCGCGACTTTCTTGGCAAAGTGGCACAATCAACTTACAACCTAACATAGACATTCTCGCCGTAGTAATGGTGGAAGAATGTATCTCGATCATTAGCTCAGTATTTCAAAAGAATAGTAATGAAATGATTTCTCTTTGGTCATTTCTCCCGCGAATCCGCCTTACTTAGAATGATGCTGACGATCAAGTTCTTTTTAGCCAGATCATGCAGCTGCAGGGTTGTTCTCAATCTTCATTTGATGGCGCTCCATGTTTTTTCTGTGGCTGTAGCAAGGCTCTTTAGCGAGCCTTGCTATCTTTTACCGCTCCTCCACTCAGGATTGTTCGATCTCGAATGTTCTTGCTATTTTACCACACAGATATTGCCAAGGTCGTACTTGATTAATATTTTGCGAGGGCTAGAGCATTGACGTCCACAGTCCGGACTAGACAGTAGGCGAAGCCACCTTCACGAATACTGCGCCTCTTCAAAGGAGTCTCCGGTGCTTTGCCGTGACCTACTCTTCGTAGCTCTGTATACTAGACATCTTGAAAGTCTACAACTCCACAAAACTGCTTAGCTGTCATATCCTACCCAACCATGGACCCTTCCCAAATCTATTCATCGCTGAGACTTTCGGCACATCAGTTTCGTCTTGTCCATCTCCTTCCTGGTCAAGAAAGTAGCGAAATCCAGTGTACTTTGAAGAGCGACTATCTCTTATCACATACTGTCGAGAGATACACGGCATTGTCGTACGAGTGGGGGGATTCAAAAGCGTCGAAGCTAGAGATCAAGCTTGAAGGGCAATCATTTCTTATTACTCAGAATCTTTGGTCAGCATTGAAGTGCCTGCGAGGCACCGAGACGATGCAAACATTTTGGATTGACGCTATCTGCATAAATCAGGATGACAAAAACGAGAGGAATCACCAAGTTGAGCTTATGAGCTTGATATACAGTACGGCTAGTCGTGTGTTAGTCTGGCTAGGTCAGGAATGTGCGGAGATCCAGGCAGCGTTTTCCTTTTTCCAGAACATCTGGGACACAAAACTTCGAAACTTCGCCGAGAAAGGTATCTTATATATTGACCACAACACGAACATGTACCAATCAATTATCCTAACACAAGGTCAGGCGCAGTATTTTCGGTTCAGATGGAGTGACGAATCCCTCGTAGAAGAAAACTCGGAGATTCAGACAGCACTATATTGGTCCAGGTTCCAAATCATTTTAGAGAACCTTGCATTCTTTGGGCAGAAAGATCCCTCTTTAAAAATCGCTTGGAAAGGACTAGCATCTCTGACAAGCCGATCTTACTGGACCAGAATCTGGATTGTCCAAGAGTACCTACTAGCACAAAAGGTTGATTTTTATTGTGGACGAATCACAATAGATGGTACTATCATCGACACTATTATATCACATCTCGCCGCTCTGAAGGATGAGAAACTTACAGATTTACCATCCTGGCTCACTGAACCTCTTCAGCGCATCCGCGCCAGCCCGGCAACGAGAATTTGTACGAGTCGGCTCCAACAGAAAAGCAAACGGCCGACTCTTCTGGAACTTCTGGTTGCGTGTAAAGATAGCAAGTCATCCGAACCACGCGACAGACTTTATGCTCTTCTCGGATTAGCAAGCGATGTTCAAGAGGACTCGATTGTTATCGACTACAACCGGCCGATCTTCAAAATACAAATGGACGTTTTATGGTTCTTCTGTTGTAAGCAGGATTTTCGGCCAGCTGATACTTCTCGAATATGCACGTTGCTAGAGGAAACACTTGGCTATGGACGGTATTTAACGATTGACTGAAATTCATTCCGCCGAGACTAACCTAGGGATAATTTCGAAATGGATCGTTCGTACATCAGCTCTAAGCGCACAACGGACACTATCACACTTCCAAACTTTGGGGCGGCAAAGATATCTCAAACTTACAGATTCGTCGAGTGTCTTGAGCCTTCGATTAGCTATTACGCGAAGAAACTGTCATCTTTTGAGACAATCATGGCAATGGCAAGTTGGACTACAGCCGAGGATTCTGAATCAACTGAGTTAGCACTTAAAATTTACGACGAAAATAGCGTAAATCAGCGTTAATTATACTCATTCCAGGGGGAAAAGGCGGCATGGAACTGACTACGTTCAAGAGCCGGATTTTATTTGCACCTGCATAACGGGGTAGATCTCTTGAATGCAGCAAGCTACGATCTCTTCTGTTTCTCATGGTCACGTACGCTGGTTCTAGGAAAAGAAATGTATATTTTCATTAATATCTTCGCTCTTCAAGAAGGCTAGCTCCAGGATAGAGTAATCTTTCCAGACTCTAACGACGTTTACTACCTCCCAAGTTAATGCATCGTGGCGCTGGCGAGGACCATTAAATCACATAGAAGAGCTATATTAATTTATTCAATAGCTATTCTCCGAAAAACCCAAATTAAACTCTGGATCGAGTGTTGACAGTTGTTTCGTATTCTAGTTGTCTTTCCACCATCATCTCTTTCTATTCTCAAATCGCAGACACTTCCATCCACTTGGCAATCAACCTCAGCGTGAAATCCGAAGCTGACTCACACATCTAGAGCACTAGCTTCTTTGTTTCTGAAACAAGCCTCCATTGCCGCCTTCTGCTTCGACCCTTCCGGGCAAAACTTATAATGCTCCAAATCATTTTTAGTCGGCATCCCCGAAGCATCAGTCACATTATCATACTTATAACAGGAATTATACTTGTCTGCCCAAGACAGCAACTTCTTCCAAGACTTGCACTGACGAACCTGGTATTTTGGGTATTTCTTGCGGTCTGGTTGAGGTGGAAGTTGCATCCATGGAAGGTCGTCGGCGTGACAGTAGGCATCTTGGAGGAGGTCGTCTAGACAGTGTAGGATGTGTGCGTGATCGGCGAGTGTTGTTCGATTGTTGTGGAGGTTGGAGATGTATTGGTACATGCTTTTCTGAGAAGACGTTAGTTCAGAATGTTTGAATCCATTGATGTATTACTTACAAGACAGTGGATTTGATGATGGGCACCCAAGAGATAGACGCCAGTCGATTGATCCCAAGGAAGTCTTTGCGAAGGTGGGAGGCCCATTAACTCGGCTTCTGTGTCTGGTATGGCAATAATTCCCGGACTGATGTCGAGAGCATTCCAGTGACGGTCTCGATCTTCTTCTGTGCCGATTCCTGGGCCATATTGGGTACTGCTGTAGATTGGGGTTGGGACATCGTAGATTAAGTTGGCTGTTCATAGGGTCATTAATTGGACAACTCTCTTAGTTAAATTGAAAAGTCAGAAGAAACATACCGAATTTCGTATGTGGTATTGAGGACCGGTTGAGAAGAACAAGAAATACTATATTGGCGAGAATGGAGAGGAATGCTAAAGCGCCGAAAGTGAGTCGTAGTAGTCGGTAAGAGAAGCTTCGCTGACTGTAGGGTTCCGTTTTCGAGTCGGACTCTTCCTGATCGTCCTGGAGACTATTCTTAAGCAGAGAATACTTTTGGGTGTAGTTTGCTCTGTCCATTTTGAAATTATCTTAGTATAAAGTGAGGATATTGGAGAAAGTGAGCAAGTTAAGTGTTGAGAATAAGTCACAGTTCACAACACAAATTCTTTGGGTAGACGCGCGTAAATGAATTCGATGCACATCTTCTCCCCCTCCCGTATTCTTGTACTGAATTGGTTGAAAACAAGCCATACCAACACTTGATTTGCAGAAAAGGCGATGGCTTTCGAACTCATGACGGCTGTGAGATCACCTGTGGGTTGTGTCGCAAATTTACGTGAGCTTCTACGATTTGCAGAATTTCATTGGGTATCCAAAGACTTGGAATCCCGCTCTGGCTTAAAGCCTTGGATGTTTTTGTGACACGATAATTGCCAAAATGCGTGTTAAGTTGGTATAATCGCATGGTGGTTTTTCTTGTGTAACCATCTTTCAAGTTCCGCTGAGGTCACTCGGGGGGAGTAGGCCACTGAGATTATCAATATGACTATGTGGCTATGGAACAAAATCACAGGCACTATTTTCTGGACAATTGAGTGGTTTAGAACTGTGGCCACGTTCTTATTGATAGTGCAAATTAATGATAGTGAGAAACAAATTGCAAATCAACATGACAATATTGTGGAACAAGACATTTTCCACCCATATGAAGCTTCGAACCTCTAATCTGTCAACTCAGTGTACGACTGGACCTGTGTAATCAACAGATCCTTCACCAGCAAAATAAGGAAGGGGTTCAGCGCTTCGAACAAACTTTACTCCCTACAAATAGCTACGGTCAGAGACTGCCTCATGAATAAAAATCAAGGGGTGGATTAGGGAAGTTACCTCGGGCACGGGTGCTACATAGTCAACAGATCCTTCACCAGCAAAATATGGGAGTGCTTTGGCGCTTCGAATAAGGGTTAACCCCTGGGTGGCTATTGTTAGAGACTGTCTTGTGAGTGGACAACAAGTTGATCGGGGAGCTTACTTTAGGGATCACTGGTAAGGCCAGAGTGGCCTCGAACACTCCAAGACTCAGTACTGCTGCCGAGAAGAAGTGCATAGTTGGGATTTCTTTCCGTCAGTCGTTGCACTCGAGAGCTCAGGGACCAGAAGATACAGGTAAATATGCAATATGGTTGATATGTTGAACCAGAAAGTACTTTGTTAGAAAGGTTGGAATTGCAGTGAGCTTTTTAAGACTTTAAAGTATTTGGAGACAAGGCCAGTCTTTATATAAGAAGGAGAGGACAAAAACAAAAGCTGAGATCAGCCTATGAAAGCCACAGTCGTTAAGCGAGATGTAAGAAGGGAATCTAGTGAGACTATGCTATTCCTGTAGCTGATGGTCACATCTTGTGATCGAATACTGGTAAGGAATTTCAATAAAGTTGGGTGCTGCCGTGTCGAATAACCAAGCGTGCCAACCAATTATGCTTACTTTCTGTCAGCGGTGTTAACGCATTCTTACTCTATTGCGTTACCTAGAATCCTGTTTCCATATTACTCGCTAAAGAGGTAGTCTGTAAATTTCTTTACCTTGGAGGATCTTCTCTTCCAGAGTTCCCTGCTTCGTAGATCGAATGTCAGGCTGCCGGCGAGCTAAATATTTGAGCTTCTAGAACCAACGCAACGCATGTGACAAACTGTCTGTGTTGTCTTTCTTTGCACAGATCAAAATCAAGAAGGAGACAGATCATAGTACATTTTACCAGGGGAGACTTGATCAACCTGTGAAACTTCAAATAATTTGTGTTTTCGTCCCCGGGCATTACAGATAATAATACCAAACTGTTTAATGTGGAACACAGTGGAAGCTTCCACTATGTCAAAGCGGCTTCGACGGTCTACGTTATTTGACCGAATCTCTCGAATTTCGAAGCTGTCATAGGATCACAAGTTTTCTTGTTTTTCCCAAGTTTCCTCCTCAGCACTCACATGATTGAGAAGCAGCGAAGACATGGCTTCGTTGTTGTCTTGTTTAAAGCGGTTATATCGCTTGCAATTGGCCGAGAGAGATCAGAAGCAGTGTGACGAGTGATTCTGAGATAATCTAAGGGTGGTGACGAAAGAGGGAGTAAAACAATTAAACTTGACGAGTCATACTTCAACGCTGGATGGAAATAGTGATTGTGGCGGTCGTCTTACGTTGAATCTGTTTTTATGATTGTGGATGATAGGCTCCTTCGTCTATGGTGACTCAAGCGGCTTTGGTGTTGATGTCAGTGCTGAGGAATCTCATCGAGATCCAACAATTATGTGCTGTTGAAGTTAGTCCCCTTGTTTTCAGTAAGACAATTGCGAAGACCAGCAGCTCGTTTCTCCTTAGCTTTAACGAAGCACTTAGCATGCCTGGGCTAGTAGCCACAGCTTGGAGGTAGAGTAAAAAGAATGAGAGTAGTTGTAAAGATTCTGAAACACATATGTGCGTAAGGGACTTGGAGCATAACGAACACTTTCTGTATTATAGATATAATGAAAAAAAAAACCAATATTCTGGTTTGCTATAGGAGGCCTACTCATTATTTGTGGCTATCTCTTCGAACTTTAGGTTTCAATTTCTCGCTTAATTTGCGGTTGGTTGGTGAGTAAAACAGGTAAGATTACATAATTGAGATGAGTCTGATGACTTGCCGGAATAGTAAGATAAGTTTAGCTAGCTCATAGATTAGTCGATAATACAGTTACGTTATAGAGCCTTTGTTCTTTGGCGTTCGTGTTTATATATGTTGGGGAATCGAATATCATACCTGAAATTTATCTTACTCTCTTCATATGGAACACTGAAATGGTGTGACAATACTTTAAGCGTCTCGGTACCGCCAATAGAGCCGCAGCGTGAACTTTAAACGGTAAACCGAAGCGGAAGATCCTCTACTTTCGCGAGTGCAGTGGTTTGCTCGTCCACAGGGCAATTATTTGGCGATGATGGCTTTTTTGATGTCATACTCGGCGTCCAAAATATCTTTGTACAACCCAAGGCTTCCACATGAGAACAGCTCACTGGTCCTTGATTCTTGTCATCTGCATCTTGTTTGCTTGGAAAAAGACGGAATATGCAGATCTCAAGCCACGGCATGCTCGAAGGCAATCTGGCAGTGTTCCGATTTATCGTTTCCTTTCACCTGGACAAGTTGATTTGCTTTTGACGCCATAGGTTGATGCCGTGTATGCATCTAATCGGCCTATCACTACTGTATGGGGCATAACCAAGAGAAATGTAACAACACGTTGAAATGTGAGTGATTCACATGCTTGCGTACAAGCTAGAAGTCCATTTCAATAGCGGGCAACCCCATCTAGTTGTCAATCGTTGAGAATTGAACCTCATTCAAAAGTAAAGACCACCGAGGTGCAAAGTGAAAATGATCGATGCTTCTTCAGAGACTCGTCAATCTTGCTACCTCCAGTCGATACATATGTTGCTGTATGTGTCAATGAAGTGCGTAGAAACTGGATGTCGATTTGTCAAACCCTTCTGCATGATTAGGGTCCTTAGCTTTGACTCACTTATCCCCCGCTTCCTATAACCTCAAGCAGCCTTGGAATAAATCAGATGAGGACAGCTATCTGAGAAATAATGAGAGAAAAGCCAGTGATAAAGCACGATTTGAATCCTCAATGCTAATTTCCCGTTAGGAGAGCGAATCCAAAGAAAGAAGCGACATGAAAACCACACATTCAAGAAGTAAGAGAGATACCATAGAGAGGTATCACAAAAACCGAGCATTTAGCCTTGGAACGGCCAAAATTTGGTAACCCAGTTCATGTGATTGATGGTTGCTGTCACGTTTCAGAACAGGGGTGCATCACGTGACAGATGATGTAGCTTTTAGGCTCACTAAGCCCTGCGTCTTATACGAAGCGAAGATATTGGTAAATCATTAAGCTAATACAACTGTGGACGATAGTTGCGATTACTGATATCTTACTCTACAGGTTCTCTCAGAGTTATTATCACAACTGCCAACAAGCAGCAGGGCCATAGGCGAGCCAATCAAAATTTAATCACTTTCTCCGTAGTTCGGCGGAAGAAATGACTTGGGTATGGCTGGCTCACGTAATACACAAAGCACCTCACCAAACTGACCGACGACGACATGCCATGCGATTCTAAAGCACTTTCTGTTTCTACACCACAAGTCTGATTGTATAGGGCGCAGATCGAATGCGCTCGCAGTAAAGAACATTTTATTAGTTTGAAAAAGAGGTCAAATGTCTGTCGCAGAAGGACGTGAGCGGCAAGATTCAGGAGAGCCCCCTCGAAAGCGTGTTCGCAAGGGTACTCGGAGCTGTTGGGAATGTAAGAGTGTCTTTACTTTGTCTCCAAGAACGAAGCTAATGCTTACAAGGCAAGCGAAGAAAAGTTAAATGTCAATTGAGCTCGGAGGATGTACCTGTTTGCTCTGGCTGTTTAGCTCGGGGTACTACATGTCTCAGTCAGGAATATCCTGAAGAGCGTGAGCCTTCGAACAATGCGCAAGTTGGTGAAAGGTTGGGTAGAGTAGAGCACCTACTCGAAACTCTGCTCAAGAAAATCTCTGCCTATGAAGAAGATACCAAGGCAGAGAAGGACATGATGACTCCGCAATCTATGCTGAATGGCGACGTACTGACACCGCACCCCTCTAATGCACCTACCAGTATTCAAGAGGCTACTCCGTATATGTCTTTGTTTGATAACCCAGTTGTAAGCTTAGTATCCTACCCTCAATATCGACCCGTAGGAGCTGACACTGTTAGCTCGGTCATCGAGAGCCCGTGGCACCTTCTCAAGTGTCTACACCGCGTTCACAACAGTGTTCGACTAAACCATCCGGATGTAGTAAAATATCTAGGGTGGAGCGAATCAGACAGACCCTAGTGGATCTGCTTCCATCTCAACACGATGCTGATCTGATCTCAAAGAGTACCTCATGCTACATGATCGTGCATGCTATGTCTCGTCATAACGCAGACACTTTCCTGGAAGCAAGTATTAGCGAGACCACGAAAGCTATGTCATCTACTTTCAACATGGCAGAAGTGGCTAAGAAGAGTCCTTCCGCGATTGCCAGATCCCTTATGTATCTTGTAATCTGCCTGCAGCAGTTGGACCCGGACCTCGACAAAAGTAGGCTGCATCTTCTGCCGACTATTGAGTCGCGGATGGAACGATGGATGTCAACAATTCAAGCTCTCGTGACCTCTGATGACGAGCTGATTACAACAATGGAAGGATTAGAATGCCTAACCCTGCAAGGCGTCTATCACATGAATTGTGGTAGTCTCAGGAGATCTTGGCTGGCTTCTCGCCGAGCTCTAAGCACCGCACAACTTATGGGTATACATAGAACAAATACTGATATACCTGGTGGGAGAGAGTTCTGGCATCAAATAGTACAGATTGATCGATATCTTGTAAGTCAAAATGATCGCTCAATATCGAAGTACTAACACTGTGTCAGGCTCTGATCCTCGGCCTACCTGCCGGGTCAAAGTTCGATGATTTCGGTCCGGATGAGGTGTTCAGCAACCCATCGGTAAACAAAGACAAATTGTTCATGCGGAAGTTGTGTCATTTGTCAACCTACATAATTGATCGCAATCAGTCTCAGCAACCAGTCGCCTATGCTTCCACTCAAGAGATCGATGATAAATTGGATTCTCTTGCAAAAGAGATGCCGGAATCATGGTGGGAAATCCCATTGTTTCGACCCGTAATTAACGGCTATCAGACCGAGCAGGGTGTGGCGGACTTCGATCGGATAGTGATGCAGATATGGTACTTCCAACTTGGCGTGCTGGCACACCTCCCATTCATGTTACGAGCAGCCACAGAACGTCGATATGAATACAGCAAATTCAGTTGCCTCAAGGCGGCTCGAGAAATGATCTATCGCTATCTCTCGATGACTGCGGACGTACAGCGAGCAATTTGCTGCAAAGTGATGGATTTCGCCGCCCTTACCTCAACCGTTACTTTGCTTCTTGGCATATTGCAGGTAGTACAGGGCGCCGAAACGCCGGAGGCAAATGCACAGAAGGAAAGCGACCGCAGGCTCGTGAAAGCGGTTCTGAAACAATTGGAAAATGCTACCGACGGAGGCCGTGATGTAATATCAACCCAGAGTGTGACCGTCATTAAGTCATTGGTGGCAATGGACTCGCCCAATGCTCCAAAAGAATCCGGAAATCTGCGACTTACAATCCCATATTTTGGAACCATCAGTATTGTGCGACCGAAAACTGATACGTCTCCGAAGCCCGACAGACGCATTAAATTGCCAGCTATCGTAACAGGTTCTTCAGACGTTAGTTTTGCAAGCACTCCAGCTTCACAATCCGGAGATTGGAATGCTATGGCCTACAGCACACCACCGGAAGATCTTCAACAGCAAATGATTTCTTTCACAAGTTCTCATTTTGCGCCAGGACAGCACGATCTTACTGGTATACACCCATTTACGGAATGGAATTTGTCAGAAGCGGATACGCAGTATTTTGACACTCTGTTGAGCACGGATGTCAACGGGAATTGGATCATTTGAATGACCCCGAAGGCACTCACTGTTTCTTTGGGACTGAGCATGGAATTTAATATAATGTCTTACTTATGGATTGCTATCTATATTTGTACGATTGTGCTTGGTGTTAGTGTTATTGGCGCATATAGTCGGAAAGGATCACACCAAAATGGCTGGGAAGTGGTAATTGGGACGAATCATGAGTTTACAATGTTTTAGGTATTTTCAATACACCTATGACTGCATATCTGCATATTTTACTTTCCGCTTCAAACAGCTTGATATTTCCGGGCTACAAGGCCAGCAAAAGTAGCTGACGATGGGCCTCGCAAGTCGTGCCTGCCTTCTGTCGCCAGCACGTGCAAGCTGCATTCGGCTAAATCGAAGCTGACCTTGAGGCTGCGACAACGACCCGTCAGCTTCATCTCAATCCTGACGGGAAGCATCTTTGTAAAATTCTGGATTTGTCGAGGTCCATTATAACGTCACATTTCGCAGATGTGCTATTTCGCCTGCGTGCGGCAGACAGCGAGTACCTCAGCATATCTACAGGCGCTCCTCCCCATCAACGCAAGACCTTTCTGTCGGTAAGTCGAGCAAATTCAAGCGTGGTTGAACTTCTCCCTAACCACTTCAGACGTTTCCAGTGTTTATCGTCTCCAGTATCGAGATGGCGAACTTAGGAGAGTCTGGAGTATCATTGCCGGAGTTATCAACCGACCATAAGTCGTATAGGGGAATAGTTCTTTGTCGGTATTGTGCCCCGTTACGCAACGTTAAGACGTTACTTGAAAGTCAGCCACCGCGAAATGGGATCGGCCATTACTGGACCTACGCCGCAATAAAAGAATCAGCCGATGGTGGGTGCAGACTTTGCCAAGTGATCTTAGATCCAAATAATCATCGTTACTCCCCTCCGGCGGATATCGAGACCTGGGAAGAGATGGAGTATAAAATAGGGTTTTATCGTGACGAATTTGGTGGCGGTTCCAACATGCTTATGGTCACTGTATGCAATCTTGACTCGCAGCTCTATCTTGCAAGCTCTTAATCTGAATGTCGAGCAAGCCTCATTCTAAAACACAACTCCAGGCTGTGTATCCATTGAGCAAAATAAATGCTAACTTGGCCAAGTGGTACAGAACAGAAGAACGCTGTGCTGGGATAGCGCCCTGCCCGTCTCTTATCTTCTATTTGAGACTGTTCACAGCTGCTGGTAACGTTCAATAATCCCCCTGTTTTTATCCAAGGAGACTGAAAGTTCCAGACGACCCTCTAGCGGAAGTTTACCTAAGCAGACCCTTACATAGAGCAACATCTTCTGACTCATGCTTCGGTATGGTCGAAACCTGGATTGACAGGTGCCGAAATGAACATGAAAGCTGCGTATGGCCTGACTCTGGGCCTCTGCCTACTCGAGTTATTGATGTTGGTCTCACTAATGACGCGACGCCATATCTGTTAATCTCAAATGGCAACATTGGGCATTGGGCTACTCTGAGTTATTCTTGGGGTAGCCAATTGCCGTTCAAGACAACTCTGGATAATCTTGAAGAACGAAAAACCGGGTTTCCACCTGACCAACTATCTCCCTTGTTTGGGGATGTCATCAAGCTTGTCCGCAGACTTAAGATCCGGTATTTGTGGATTGACGCACTTTGCATCGTTCAAGATAGCACCGATGACTGGAGCCGGGAATCCTCGAAGATGCACCAGATTTATGCAGAAGCTTGCATTAACATAACTGCGGCATGCTCTACTGGATCCAGTGATGGCCTTTTCGTAAGTGCTGATCGGTGCCGAGAAAATCTTGCGCCTTTATTAAGCCTTCCATGCTATGAAAAGAGAAAGTGTCTGTCAGGCTGGATATCAATGGAATTATATGATCTTAGTTTTTCATTGGTTGGAAATTTAGCTCATACTCGTGCTTGGGTATGGCAGGAAACAGAATTATCGTCAAGGCGGATAGATTACACAACGCGAATGAGATGGAGCTGTAGAACAAAAAGTGCTAATGAAATGGCCCCGACAAATAAGGCTACCGATCTGATTTCTGGATCCGCCCGCGAGTTTTACCGAACTGTGTCAAGCTATTATGCACCACGTCCGAACTTAGGGGCCGATCAAGGACTTCAGAATAGTATCAGCCAGCCCATGAGATACTGGTACGATGGAATAAATCGATTCCGAGGACGCCACATTACATATGGGCAAGATCGTCTCCCTGCTATCGCGGGAGTTGCCAAGCGCGTTCAACAGCGTACTCGCTACACCTACAAAGCCGGACTGTGGTTGGAAGACATCCATAGGGGATTGCTATGGAAGACTACCACATCTAGTCAGCGCTGTCCCACCACTCGTGCACCAAGCTGGAGCTGGGCGTCCATGACGGGCTGCCTGACTTCTGAACTCTTTGACCCACCTCTCTGGGTCTATGCCGAAGGCTACCAAGCCACAATAGACGATATCAAAGTAAAATGCAACGCCGACGATCCGTTCTCTTTTGTAACATCCGCATCTTTGACCCTGACAAGCCTCTGCCAGATTGTTCCTCGTTCAGAATACTCCATCAGTCTAGAAAAAAGGTTACAGTTCAATATTGAACTTGACGACCCGTCGGTAGCACTACAGAATGATCTCCTTTGCGTTCACATCGCTATGTTTCGCCTTTGTTGGCCTGACGAAGACGCAGCCATACATGCTTTGCTGCTCGAAGGAACTGGCGTAGAAAATGAGTATACACGTATTGGTCTTGCTATGATTCCTGAATATGCGGATAATGAGGGAGATTGGAGTACTAGGACTGTGACTATTGTCTAGACGCTAAGATGAGATATCGTGGAATCTCATTGTTGTAATGATTGCTATCTAACGTCAGGTTAGTGTTGTAGGTGAAAGGCTGGTCAGACGTAGCTAATTGGGGGAACATAGGTCTCATGGTTGGATAGGGTATCTAATTGTATCGATTCCAAATACATTCTACAAAACTTCAAACACGGTCCAAATTTTGTAATTTATATCACGAATTCAGAACTGCTTTCTCCAAAAGAGATTATTACACACCCAACATGTTCAACCCAAGCACAAACACTCTTTGAAATCCAATCCACTCATCACTTCAAACATATCCAAAATTCATAGCCATCACGCCGTTTGATGAAAACGACATGTTTGGCTTGTAATCTAACCAGAATGCCAATGAATATCCAGACTGGGGTGTATGAGATGCACGTGAGCTATGAGAGAAACTCATCTTGATTATGTCTGAATGAATTTTTACCCCTTTATCTTAATGTGAGAATGTTAGCAGCGCGAGAGATATAAAGCAAAAAGATCTCACAGTAAAATCTCGAGAACAAACTCACTCATCAGGAACAATTCAATTAAACACTACCTCATCTCACCATTACCTCCCCCATCCCAACCACCAGTTACCCCACAATCTATCACCACAACCCCTCCTACCCCTTAACATCAACAACCTCCTTCCCCTTCAGATCCTCCTCCTCAGCCCTCTCCAACGCCCCCGGCTCCTCAGCACTAACCCCCAACCTCATCGCCTCCCTAACCTCATTCTGCGGCCCCACAAACCACTTCCGCGCACTCACCACCCACACCGCACAGCTGCCAAACGCAATAATGCCCACCGCCACAACCGTATAATTAAGCGTCTGACTGGTAACCGGATTCGCAGTCGGGAGGCAGAAAATGATCGTGATGAATGTGATCCAGGCGACCGCTACACCGGCGACCGGGCGAGAGAAGACTCCGAGGTTAAAGGGGCCCTTGCGGGCGTTGAACTCGCGATGGTAGATAAGTCCGATGAGGATCGGGATGCCGTATGAGATATACAAGCCAATCGTAGCAATGGAGGTGCATGCTGCGAAAGCGACGGTGGAGCCGAGGGAGGGGAGCGCGAGACAGAAGGAGAGGAAGGAGGCGAGCCAGACGGTGCGGATAGGGGATTGAAAGCGTGCGTCGACTTTGTGGAAGAAGTGCGGGATGCCGCCGTCGCGGGCGAAGGCAAACATCATGCGTGAGTTGGAGGTCATACTGAAGAGGCCGCAGTGCCAGACGCAGATTAGGATTAGGCACATGAGGACCTGTAAGAGAGTTAGCCTCTGAATTTGAAAGTGCTGTGAGATCGTTAAGGAAATTTAGCGGCCTGGTGGGTTCTCTTGAGGTGAAAGTGGGGCTCCTCCAGCTCGCTTAAACGAAAAGGGGGAGGATTGGAAAACAATGATAGAAATAACTTACAACCGCCCCATCATCCCCAAAGATATCCACAAAAATCTGTAAAACAGGCTGTCCATAATCACTTCCAATCGTAGCCTCAAAATCCTGTATTGAAAATAGGAAACTGAGGAGCACGAAAAAGCCAAATAGAGAACTGAACCCCACAGACGAAACAACACCAATCGGCGCGCTCCACGAAGCTTTTCTCGTTTCCTCGCTCAGATGCGCGGAGGCGTCAAAACCGGTGAGAGTGTATTGACTCATCAACGCACCACAGCACGCAACGTACGCGGCACTGGCGCGACCGCTCCAGCCATCATATCCTTCAGCACCTGTGCCATCGTTGAAAGACGCGAAGACGAATTTGGCGCTTTGGTGGGTTGGTGCTTTTGCTAGGACTGCGATTGCGAGGGCGGTGATACCTGCTGAGTGGAGGAGGATGGAGGTGTTGTTTAGATAGCGGAGAACGTGGACGCCGAATGTATTGACGATGCCGTGGGAGATGAGGACGGCGGCGTAGATGCCGATTGTCTTCGCAGCGGTGGGTTCGTAGGAGGATTTTACGGTTGCGGTTACGGAGATTAATCCTGCGCAGCCAAAAGAGATGCCGGTTGTTACTGCTACTTGACCAAGGAGGTTGAACCTGAGCTCGATGTCAGCTGTCGTTTGGTCGAAGTAGAAGGGGGAGTTACCATCCTGTTATCCATGATGCGAAAGCACTGTGTTTAGCTGGCGCAAGTAACGCAGACCAGTAGTAAGGTCCACCAGCCGTTGGAATAGCAGATACAATCTCAGCCATGCCTAACGCGACGAACATGGTGAAAACAGATACCACGATCCATCCTATCGACATGACTACTTCTCATCAGCACTATTCCGCATCCACTTTGCGCTTCACATACCGCCAGGACCTCCAGTAAGAAGCCCATACTGAAACAACGTCGTAATACCAGTAATAACAGACTGCAAACTCTGTTAACAGATAACCCAAAGCTTCGCGATACATCAAACCTACGATAATAGAAAACGAAATCCCAAAATTATGCGTCAACCCCCAATCTCTCTTGAGCTCCTGCTTATAACCAAACTCGGCCAGCACCTCCTCATCACGAACATCAGCCTTCGAAGTCGTGCGCTCAATCGGTGGATCCTCCATATCTTAACCTATATCTCAGCAACCTTTTCTTCTTTTGTGTCGTCAAAAGTAAATAAGTAAAGAAGCAGACGATCAAGCTTCGAAGGTGCAGCGCGAACGCGTGGGAGACATGGTTCCCAATTCACCGGCATGGCCGAGGTGCAGCTTGATCGCATCGTCCTCATTGCTGGAGGGGAGGTGATGGTGGCTTTCTTCTGGTCCGTTTACCTGCCCTGTTGTGATAGCTTCGAGCCAGTCGTGGTGCCTTGTTGGGGTTGGACCCCTGGGTGGGAAGCGATAAGCTGATAAGAAGGGTTGTTTCGGTGGTGATTGTGTGACGGGTGGTTGGAGGTGTGATTGTGAATGTGAAATATATTTCACGGGTAGATATAAAGTATATGGCCCATAGTTGTGTGTTTCTAATCGTGCTGTCGATGGTGTGGAGTTTTATTTCAGGTAACCCGCTTGAAACTTCTCTACAATGATTCGAGAATAACCCTAAAGTCTAGACCTTTATTCAGCAGTATACATAAACTCAATAGAGTACCGAACGTTTCGTGCTATTTCGTCCAAACATTTCATTCATCTGAAATATAATTCGAAGTTTTCTGAGTCTCTTTGTAAAACAGACATTGAAGCTTTTCTTCATTTCTTAACCATCTTAAATCTCTTGGCAGACCTCGGCGCTTCTCCGTATCTTTTCGTACTGCAAGCCCATGTGATCAGCCAACTTTCACTAAAGCTTTTAATCTTTAAGATAAGTTGCGTAACAATATCTGATAGTTTTGGAGGTTCTCGCCTCTGAATGGTATCATATGTCATGATAAATACAAGAGCGTGTGCCCATCGATATCATCTTCCTTCGTTTGCCAGTATATACCCCTGACCCAACTCCACAATGCGCCGAAAATGTAAAGATTTGTACGCCAAATGAATGCTCTCCAATGCTTTTTGAGTGCTTAACATATCCAACATAAACCTATTGTCAAGCGTCCCCCATTTGCAACATATGACCCATCTTTTCGATCTGTAACAGCTGATTAGGACATGGTCAGAGAGCTTGTGATAGCTGTACATACCTTTGTCTTTAGATACCCACCCACCTCTTGACTTCGAATACCACCAGTCTTTCCCCTCCAGGCTAGGGGAATCATGGGCACACGTTCCTTCACCACGATCTCTCTGTTGGGCCCTTCAACAGCCCGGACCTTGTCGGGATTATTTGTGAGAAGTCGAATCTCTTCCTGCCCTAGATCTTGTAACATCGCGGTAGCTAGACCATAGCTTCGCGCATCTGCAGGGTGTCTCAGGAGCAAATTCGCTTCAACCGTATCTGAGCCAAGATCTTGCAAGTTGTATGCTTTGAGCTTCTCGCCTAACCCAATTCCACGTCCTTCCTGTCGAAGGTAGATAATAATACCACCTCCGGATCCTGGCAGGGACATCAAGCGCGCAGCTTCATCTAGTTGTTCTCCACAATCGCATCGCGCGGACCAGACGGTTTCGCCAGTGTAACATTCCGAGTGTATTCTCACCAATGGAGGATCTTTCTTGGTATTCTCTGTCAAATTCTCTCCTCCAGCTTTCTCAATTGTGTTTCCATTCGTATTTTCAGGCATCTTCGAAGCAGTCCGCCCAGGATACAGCCGTCCAGTATATGCTCCTCGAATCAGCCTATCCATTTCCGTCTCCCCATCGCGGGGTCGATCCAGGCTTGTACTCCTAATAGTATTTCCAAAAACAATCGCCAAATGCTCTTTATTATCCTCGTTATTCGTGTATAAATGTAAATACATTTCTGTTCCGCTAATTGTGGTTGGGATTCTTGCGCGAACAACGCAATTGACTTCCGGCAACTTCTTCAGAAGTTTAGGTTTCTTCTGACCGCATCCTCCATTCGGGGCGCTACTATCGACTGGTATTGGTTTCGGCACATGCTGGGTAGCAGCTGGATGTGAAGGTGTTTGTATGCCCGGAGTTGAGGGTGGGGTAAAGGCGGGGGACACGAGTCCTGGTAATGATGAATCGTGGTCGGGAGTCAGCGGTGAGTCCCTGTGTGAGTGATGAGATGGTATGGATGAATTGGATATGTTAAGAGTGTTTAAATCGAGTTCGGAGATGGCGCGCGAGACGGGTATGGGACGTGGGGAATAGAAGGGTGGTAATTGAGGGACCTCATCGCTTTCGATGTCGTGATTGGGGTTCCAGGACGAGGAATGTGAGGGATGTGAGGGATGGGAGGGATTCGAATCGAGAGTCGGCATGATGGCTAAGAACTATGGAGGTTGAGACGGCATGTGTGGGTTAAAGCGTGGTACAAATGTAGAGGATTGAAGGTGGTGGAATGCGAGACGGATCGTGGTAATAATATCGCAGCGGGACTTTGTTTCAATGTCCCGAGGTCGGCTCTGTCAGCTCTTTTTTTGCGCTGTCAGCATTCGGCATCAGGTGTAAGCCCAAACAGACACATATTACTGTACGAAGCTGGTGTTCCCCAAAGCAAACGAAGTCTTAATAATCACGAATATTTGTATATAAATCATTCTTTCTTCTCCTTCACCCAGAAACAAATTGCTAGAAATAAAAGCCGCGATCACGTGCATTTCCCTCCCCGCATTTGCACACTATCGGCAGCGGGAGCCGACATTCCAACTCTTCATCTTATCTCTTTCCGACAACGTGCCTCTGAGACGAATGAATGCACCTTTATAACTGCCGTTACATCCTTTCTCCAGAGATCAACTTTATCAACAGGAAGATAGCTAACCACCAAACAGAGGCCTGACCTGACAACGCAGACACACAAAGGGCCTCCCTCTATTATTTGCCCCTCGTTTCTTCTCGAATTGTCCAATTCGGACAATTCTCGCTATGACGTCGCCTTCTCTGCTAGCACTATTCGTTTGCAGAGCCTCTATTCTGGTATCAAGGTCCCCTGCTCGAGCCTTGTCGATTCCAACAGAACCAATGAGAAATAGGACTGAGACAATTGAAACTACGGTCGAAGGAGAAGGAGAAGCCGCTCGAAAACCCCTCGAGCAATGAAACCTTGAGGTCCACTTCCAACCTCCACTGGCTCCAATGCTAGTGACGGCATAGATCCAGATTGGAAATCAATTTGAGGTGACAAAGAAAGGCTAAGTCTAAATTTTCTTTGGGGCAGGTGTATTTATTTTGCACGAGTATCAATCATATTTCCTTCCAATTATTCATACTCTAGATTTCACTATACCACGAAGTCTTCTTTACCAAATCACCAAATCATACAACATGCCAAACCGTTACGAATCCGATACCTCAGATGCTTCCCCTCTCGGGAAGCCGCTCAAGTTTGAGTTCTCTGGTAAAACCGCTAGGAACCGATTCTTGAAGGCCGCAATGACAGAGCGTATCTCTTCATGGGATCCGAAGGATTTCAGCAAAAGAGGAATTCCTTCCAAGAACTTGATCAATGTGTACAGGCGCTGGGGCGAGGGAGAGTATGGTCAGATTCTCACAGGAAACATCATGATCGAATATGACCAGTTGGAAGCGATGGGCAACCCAATCATTCCTCGCGAGGCGGAATTCTCTGGAGAGAGATTCAATGCTTTCAAGGAGCTTGCGGAAGCCTCAAAAGCGCATGGTTCCTTGATTGTAGGACAGGTCAGCCACCCGGGGCGACAGTGCGAGCAGAGGATCCAGCCAAACCCTATGTCTGCTTCTGATGTTCAACTAGAAGGTATGTTTATGAAATGCCACCATAGAAATATTCTTGCTAACAGAATCGTTCAGGCAATGTGATGGGTATGCAGTTTGCTAAGCCGCACGCCGCCACCGACGAGGAGATCGCTAGAGTCATTGATGGATTTGCGCATGCTGCCGAGTACCTCGAGAAAGCTGGATATGATGGTATTGAGCTTCACGGAGCTCACGGTTACCTACTCGCCCAATTCCTCTCCCCAACAACAAACAAACGTACAGACAAGTACGGAGGATCGCTCGAGAACCGCCTGCGCCTCATTCTAGAAATTGCGGAAGAAGTCAGAAAGCGGGTTTCCAAGGAGTTCATCATTGGGATTAAGGTCAACTCTGTTGAGTTCCAGGACAAGGGGTTTACCCCAGAAGACGCGAAGGGACTATGCCAGGCTCTTGAGAAAGCACGATTCGACTATGTTGAATTATCTGGTGGAACCTACGAGTCCCTAGCTTTTGGACACAAGAGAGAGAGCACCAAGAAGCGCGAGTCATTCTTCATTGAATTCGCCGAAGAAATCGTCAAGCCACTCACCAAGACCAAGACTTATATTACCGGTGGAATGAAGTCGGTTGGAGCTATGGTTAAGGCGCTGGATACCGTCGATGGTGTTGGGCTCGCCCGTCCCACATGTCAGGAGCCACGATTCCCTAAGGAAATACTTGAGGGCAAATACACGGGCGCGATTCACATGTTGCTTGACGATAATGATTTCGGTTTGACTAACGTTGCGGCTGGTACGCAGATTAGACAGATTGGAAAGGATCAAGAGCCAATTGATTTGAGTGTCCAGGAAAACGTCGATGCGTTCAAGAAGGATATGGAGACATGGGGGAAGAAGCTGGGTGGTGACAAGGAGATGAATGAGTATGGATATGTTGATTTAAGCCAGGCTGCTAAGCCTTATGGTCCATCATAGAGATAGCATTTGTGTATAGATAAATATAGGCACTTTAATCTTGTCTCCTCGGAATTCGTATTCGTGTCGTATTTATCAGCCACAGGGCTGAGTTAGAACTTAACCTTAAATATTCCAAGGTTTGTTGTGTTCCCAGGTTGCTTCAGATCTAGATGTCGTACCGATTTCGGGTAGGGGTGCGTGCGATGTCTAGACCACGGGTTGAAATTAATTAGCTGTTCCAATTAAACTCTAATGGAAGACTTTTAAGGTATTCGATGGGAAGTGTTTTTCTCTCAAGCCGATCTAAATCAAGAGCTGTTCATTGATCGTGTAAGCTTGATGAGCAACTAGGTATTCAGTCAACTAAGTCTGGGTTACCCGTCCGAAGTACCCCTCCGAACATCCCTATCCCCTCGTGCCTAACTCCCTACCGGGATTACGCGGCAACTACTGCGGTCAAGACAAAGTGCCGGATCTCACTTCAGCTCTACAACAGTGACGAGGATAGTGAGTTGGGTTTATTCCGTGTTGTATACAAGTATTGGAAATTCGGCTCTTGTTGGGTGAGGAATGGTTCAAAGCTAGTGTGGGACGACGTTGTCAATTGATCGATTGCAGGCCAAAGAAAATGGAGGGACATAATAGAGCTATGAATGCTGCGAGGAGGCCGCACACGAAGACGAGAACAGGGTGTCGGACCTGTAAGAGGAGGAAGATTAAGGTGGGTTCAAAATGATCTATTGAGTAACATTTGGGCGGGCTACTTGGGTGTCGTCGGGGTTTCTCATTGGCTTTTGGTTACAAATGGATTCCTGTTTCTTTACGGCTTCTTCTTCACTCCTTGTATATGATTTTTGAGAGATTCATAGGCTAACTTAGCGAGAAAGTGTGATGAGGGTCGTCCATCCTGTTGGAACTGTCTTAAACACTCTGTCATATGCGATTTCCTCCCTGACGCAGGAGCTTCACCGGGAAGTACATCAACAGTTAATGGAACCGCCTCTCACAAAAACGCTGCATTCATCAGTGGGAAAGGATTTTGGTATATTCCTGGCTATATATGTCCAGATGTCACCTCACCCAGCGGAACGACCTCCTACGAGCTAAACATGCAAGACATGGAACTCCTCCACCACTGGACCATCTCAACAAGTCTCACAATGACTTCAGACCCAGTCGTCCGCACCACCTGGCGCACCACAGTCCCCCAAATAGCCTTCCAAAACCCCTTCGTCATGCGCGGCATCCTCGCCCTCTCGTCCCTCCACCTCGCCCACCTCACCCCCTCAAAACGAGACATCTACCTCTCCCTCTCAACCTTCCACCACGAAATGGCCCTCCCAGAAGCAACCTCCGTCCTCCCCGCCATCGACGCCTCAAACTGCAACGCCCTGCACATCTTCTCCATCCTAACCGCCATCCACACCCTCGGCCGCCCGCGCCAACCCGAAGACTTCCTCGTCGTGGGCGAACAGGGTATCGCCAAATGGCTCGTTCTCTTCCAGGGCGTTGTCCACATCATCGAGCCGTTTGAGGAGATCATGGCTCAAGGCCCGCTCGCGCCGTTCTGTACAGCACGTATGCACCGCCAGCAACAACGCGTTTCATGCATTGAAACTGCAACGACTGATTACCTCTCCTCGCTGCGGGAAAAACTGCTAACATCCCTCTCCACCCCGGAATACATGGCCATCTACACCGAAGCCATCGACTCCCTCTCCAACTCGTTTAATTTCATGTACTCCTGCCCCGCGCACTCCTGGGAGATGGGGGATGTGTTTATCTGGCTGTTCTGTAGTTCGGGGGAGTACCTTCACTTACTAAAAGAGGGCCGGCAGGAGGCGTTGGCGATATTCGCGTACGCGTGTGTGCTGTTTGGGAAGTTAGAGGTGTATTGGTGGATGGAGGGGTGGAGTGGGCATTTGATGTTGAATTTGTGGAGGTGGTTGGATGAGGAACATAGGGGGTGGATTGAGTGGCCGGTTAATGAGATTGGGTGGAGGCCGCCATATGAATTGGTTGAGGTGGAGATGAAGGAGTAGTGTGTTTTTTGGGTTGAGATGACATTTTTAGATGTAGTGTCCGGGTTTTGGGAGTTTTGGGTACTGGACGTTTGGAATGTATATATGGATATATGGACGTAGAGTACTGCCCAAGAGCAATCTGAACCTATTTAACTTTGACTACGTGCCTTTCTCCTCGATAGCTATCAACTTGTCTGGCGCTGTTTGCATGATGCCACGTAGTACCTCAGATTCAATCACAAAACACTTGCCAGTGAATGATTGATACATGTACTATGAGAGGAGGGTTAGACCATGAATTGAGTGGTTTTGAAAGTGTTTGAGTGAGGGAACATGTCGCTGGCAAGGTTCGAAGTGAGGAGCAGACTGGAAAGGAGAAGAAAATGCGTCTCGGGGTCGGGGGAAACGGCCCGACGATGGTCAAAGCGTTCTCGTCACTCAACTACTTCCTTCCAAGTTGCAGCTCTTCCATCAACAACATCCAGAAGTGTCAACATATATAGGTAGGTAGGCTTTACTCGGGCTGTACCATACTAGCGATCTGGCACTTCTCGTGTGTTTATATTTCCCAGAAGGACGGCGCATCTGGAATTGAGTTGCTTTCAGACTTCGCAATCAACATGGACAAATCTCTATTGATAGATCTTGAAGCTACGTAACGCGTTGCGCACGTCTCTCACGATTTCGAGAACCATACTACTTGTATATCCAAGTGCTCCTGAGTATAACTTTTCGTTGCAAGCGACCATGTCGCCAATCCTTTGCAATCCCTGCGCTGGTTTTCTGCAGCAAGCAATGATTCCAGATCCAACTGGAATATACTCACATACTATGAGTCAACGATGGCGTTTACGGTCGAACACTGGTCATCTGCTATCGGAAGACTGTGAGCTTTGTGCTTTGATTCGGGCGGCGTTGAATGGGGGTGAAAATCGAGACCTTTCCCCACTGGAAGCAATGCGACAAAACGAGCGGTGGAAGTCACGAGTTCTGGACCACGGCAAAAATGGGAAGCCATACCCGCAGCTGACTGTCCGATTTTTAGAGGGCTGTAATTTAGTAGGAAATCGAAAGGAACGCTTTAGGAGAGCTGGAATTGCTGGGTTACATGTTGAGATTGCGAAAGTGGGAGAATCCAGAACGGGGTATCACCGGGGACATTTAAATTTTTATGCCAGTGCTGGTAAGTGTACACTTCAGACTTAACCCGTGATACTGATCCAGATTCAGGAAGTCCCGCTGCTAAATCTGGAAGAATCGTAGGCCAGCCACCCCTTCCTACTGGTGATTCTGCAGAAGCGCTTGCTCGTCTACGCGCTCAGTTCGAGCAGTGCTTGGCTTCTCACGCCGAATGTAGAGGTGGCAGGCCAGCCGAGGATGTAAGTACGGTCGGTGGCATTCAGTCTCTTCTTGTATCTTTCCTCTACAACCAGCTGTCAAGCAAGGAGTTCACATACCAAAAATGGCGTAGAAACTGCAACTAAATTTCAATGCCTAGTTACCGATGCTCCCTACTCGTGTTATTGATCTTGGCCAACCAGGAATTTCGGATACTCCCCGTCTCCTGGAGACTCTAGGGCTACGAGCTCATTACACAGCTCTCAGCCACTGCTGGGGTTCTACAGAAAATCGACCGCTTGTAACGACGAAACAGAAGCTTTCGAAGCATTGCCTCCGAATTGACGACGTTCCGAAAACATTCGAAGATGCTTTTCTCGTTACCCGAGCGCTCGGTCTCCGATACATCTGGATTGATTCTCTATGCATTGTTCAGGACGACGATGAGGACTGGACGAGAGAGTCTCAGGTAATGGGGAAGATTTATGAACGAGCTCAGGTGACCATCGCTGCATCTGATGCCTGGGACTCTACGAGAGGGCTGTTTGTGACCTGCCCTTCGCTTCCACCTCCTTTGGAGATTCCTTTCATTGATCCGACATCACGAGAGCGACAAGGGTCTTATTTCATCTCGTTGCCAGCCTCCTTTGGTAATATTGACCCAGAAGAAAGTGTGCTCAATTCAAGAGCATGGGCCACACAAGAATGGATGCTTTCACATCGGATGGGTCATTTCCTTGCTGGAGGCACTGTCGTAAGTATATCTTGTCCTCTTCTAGGCTCACTTATCACTCCCTCTTTGCGACCAGCGGTAGGGAACTGTGAAGTGTATCCGATCATCATTTAAATTTTCATTGTGATTGTTTGGGTTGCCTTGAGACCATGCTACTTTTGGTGAATCAGGCTCTGCTTTTGAGATTGAAGCTGGAAATTTTCTCCTTCCTGTTACTTGAGACACTACTAAATTGTTACTGGGTTGAGCTGAGCTATTACCCGGTTTGGATTGGAGCGGGCGCGAAAATCCTCAATTTGGTTCCTTCAGCTAATTCTATGGCTGACATGTACTAATACCATAAACAGTGGCGATGTAAAAGCCTCCACCACACTCGATTCGAGTTGCACACTCCCGTCAAAGATGCAGATTTTGGTGTCCATGAAAGTGGCTTGATTTGCTATCTATCTAAGCAAAATCCAAAATGGGAGGATCTCGTAGAACAGTTTACAAAACGAAACCTGACCAAGCCGAAAGATAGACTCTACGCGTTACAAGGACTCGCAGACATGATAGGGCAAGGTAGGGAAGATGACTACTATTTTGGCTCGTGGTCTGCAGACATCGTTTCTCAGCTTCTGTGGATATGCACGGATGAGGTTAGAAGCACTAAAGCTGTACTGCCAAAAGTACCGTCCTGGTCTTGGATGTCCACCCAGGGCCCTGTCCGTTTTTGGCGGAAGGATATCTTGAAGATTGCGGGATCTAACATCTGCCAAGATGTTGAAATTACTAGCGACGCATCAATTCGAATGACCTGCCGCTTCAACAAGATCGGTGAATTATGGCCATATATGCTTGAAAAATGGGACGCAAACGATAATTACGACTCAAGTCCGAGATACAGCTTTCCTACATCCATCAAAAGAATGCATTTGGAACTCCTCCCTATTCGACCACTGCACTATTTCCTCGAAACCAATATTTCTAGTTTATTGGCATTTTTTGACACAGGGCTTGCTCCAGATGAACCGGTGTACTGCGCCTGTCTGTTTTCCGAGGGCGGAGATCAAGATGACCAGTCTCCAATTATCAATCTTTTGCTTCTACGTGAAGGAGAGGACGGCGCTTTTTATCGGATCGGTGTTGGAATAGCGTTGTTGTTTGAAAAGGGATTTGGAACTGGGTCTTCGGGCTTTGGAGAGACTTTTCGCCGCATTGAAATACGTTGACAGGCTAGTTTTGAATGATTGCCATCGCTTCTACAAATGTTGTTCAAATGGCCGTATCGGCATCAGCTTATTACAAAACACCAGGGTTTGCAAATTGGAATCGGTCGATACCGAGAGGCTCGTGGGTGTACTGCTTTTGCGGAGCACTGCGAGAAGGGCACTGTTCATGCAACATAAAATCGTCTGGCATTATTCTATCAACCAATCCACCTCATCAGGCAGCTCGGCACTTAAATCCAGCAAATCCATCAGCGGTAAATCTTCCTCTTTCTCAACTTCAACCCAAAGAGCCTCAAAGGCCTTGCCAAATACACTTCTCAGTCCAACGAACCGACTTACCTCCCCGTCATCATCATCAAAAGACTGTAAAGTCATACTAGCCTTCAACCCGCCAAGATAACTCACAAACCACCGCCTGAAATCCCAGATCCCGTCGGAGAAACTTCCTCCCACTAAAGCTAACCAAACTAGTAGAGAGTTGTAAGTGGATGAAAGAGGGATAACACTGAGCGATTGTTGGAGTTGAGTGAGAAGGATAGATGGTCCTGTGGTTGAATGTGGGAATTCCTGAAGGATGGCTTTCAGATATAAGAGAGACGCTATACGAGTTGCTTTATCCAGCGGTGATTCCTCGCCAACTCTCGATAAAGTGGTTGGGAATGTGAGAAGTTGGTATTCTATAAAATACAGATCTTCCAAGAACATGGAGGGATCGAGGGCGTGTTTTGCTGATGAGGCAATGTGGACGGCTTGAGTGAAGAGGACCATGGTTGAGATGATGGGAATCAGTCTGTCATGGGTTCCATATTGGGTGAAAAGGGTTTCAATTTCAAGAGTCAGATTGTCGCGTTTTTCCTGTGGGAGGACGGTCCATATGGGATCTCGATCTGACCTCTCAAACTCCAGAAGAGGCGCCGAAGCGTAGTCTATTGCGCCTGTGACATCTGCTCTTTATCGAGTCAACTTCGAAAGTTTGGGGCAGAGTAGGGTAGCCATACCGACGAATCTTCGCTTGCACCATGGGATGTAAAGGTCCCTTATTTCCACGCAAAGTGATCATCTGTTTGATCCCCAACATGTGCGTTTGCCATAAATCAGGCTTTCCAGCAATAGACTTAAACCATTCGTAAGTACTCATCAAATCATATCACATCAAATTTCTCTCACCTCTCCCAGCGCCAAACAAGTCACAGCCCCAATAGTATTATCCTCCACCTCCCTCCCCCCACTCAACCTTCCATTCACAATCCCCACCAGTTTCGAAAAATGATACATCGTCTCCTTCGACTCCCTCTTCCCATCCAACAACGCCAGATACAACGCTCCAGCATACAAAATCCCATGCAGTAACGCCTCATCACCCATCGCCATCTGGAACCAACTCGGTGACCGCAAAGGGTTCGAAGATAAACAGGATTCTAACGGGTACAGCCGTTTCGGAGCGTGCGTTATGTAGTTTTTGAGCAGCGAGAAACTGGTTTCTTCCATGGCGATTGGGTAGGCGAAGGTTGAGAGTGTTGTGGGGTTGCCTAGGGTGCGTGGGGTGGGCTGTTTACGCTTTCGAGACGTGGCGTTCAATTTGGACTCAGCGATGATGTCTTCCTTAGATGTCTTTGACTTCTTCTCTTTCGCGGCATTACGCACATACTCATTCCGAACATGCGTCCGAACCAGCTTCCTCACAGCCGGATCTTTACTCCGTCCTGGCTCGATCGCGTTCACGAACTCGAAGTGTCGTGCATATACGACTCCATTCTCTTTCCTCTTACCCTGTACTACCTTCTTCGCCGTATCCACTTTACTCTCTCCTTTCGATGGTGCTCCCCCTAACGGCTGTTTCCGCGAAGGCAACCATCCCTTGTGGACAGTGATCAAAGGGCCTTCAGGCACGATTATGCTGAACCCGTCCATTTTCTGTGTGTATCAAAGAAGGTGGATGCTTCGGGATGGCATGGGTGAAATAGGAAAATGAAATGTCTGGTCTTAGAAAGCAGGAGTGTATCGCCGATAGGGAGTTTCTGATTATGTGATCATGGTTGGCGAATGGGTGGGCTTGTGTGCATGCGAGGTTGATTACTATGGATAGAGCATTCTCCTAGAAGGGGAATATTGGTGCGTCTGGGTGGTTATGGAAGGTATTGGGTGTTTTGAATTTGTGAGGTCGGTGGTATGATGAGATGAATTTCTGACAGCGAGCATATATCGCACAAATGAGTTATACCGACTCAAAGCGGGATTGTTACTAATCTTATATTTTGTAAGCATTCTTATACGGCGGCTCTGACTAGAGAGTATTTGAAGAGGGACCCCGGGGTTTCGGTGCGTTTGAAGACAAGTCGGATTAATCATTCATTGTTGATGAGATGGGGTTGGTGATATGAATGATTGCCGAGGCATGTTTTGCGATGACTTCAGGGGGTCTGAGACTCTGATGAGATGTGATTTTGAGGTGTTTTAGGTAAGGGTATAACGATTATTGGTACTTGATCGCCTTGTGTTAAGAGGTGCGACTCGGTAGTGGTGGATTAGCTCCTTTATACAATGTTTTCCTTCAACCTTTCAATACATAACTTCGCAACACTTTAGAAATACTAAGAACGTTGTCTTAACATATACAGAAAACACCCATGTAATCACTATCGTCAACGAAAACCCTTGAAAGATTCTCCTAAAACCCGATTCCCTAGTCTCCAGCAGTAGATTTCGATGTTGAACTAAACTATTACGTCAACTCAGCAAACTTTGAAACACGAGCTGTCCTAGCGGTAACTCACATATCTTGCAGTCGAATCCGACATCCACCAGATCTATTCGATTCAATCAACATCTTGTCTTTCTATCGTCAGTTAAATTTACTACCTACTGGGTATTTTATTCAGGTCATTTCGGTCGATTGGATGTTCAACACCCCTATGTACCTACACTTCGACATGGAGTGACAAACTCGTTAGGAGGTCCGTGGGATATTACTACTTGTGTTGTCCACAGCGAACCCTCTTTACTGTTCTGCTTCCGCCGAGTCTGGGTCTTTGCTTTACGACAGTGGTGATGGAGTATTAGTAGCGCACTTCGTTTTTCAAACATCTCAAATTTGAAGTGGTTAACAACCGAGAAGCTTTGAACCGAACTAGGCACGACCTCGAAGGACAACTGCTTCGCTTGTGTGAGAAGTCATGGACAACTCAGGACAGGAATTCGCTCTTCATCTAATCATTCCATCGTGTGTATCATCTACATATCTATCAAACTTCTCAAAGCTTCTCCTTACCATCCGCATCCTCCTTACCATGCAACTCGCAAAACGCCTTGAACGTAGTAAACTCCTCTCCCTCGCTCTCCAACACAACTTCCGCCGTGGACCCAACAAAGTAGACATATCCCGTCTTGATCTCCTCCACTTTAGGTCCAACACTAATTTTCCCTTCCCCGGATGTACAGATAAATATACTTGGTCCCTCGATGGCCTCGAACGTAGCTTTTGCTCCCTTCTTCTTTAAATCTGTCTTGACAACACTGAACTCCTCGATTGGTGGGTCATAGAGCGTTGCGGCGGATCCAGATGAGTAGGCCTCCCGGTTCAAGGTGACGTATGGATAATCGACTGGATTCATCTTTTGCTCCTCAATTGGAGCGTAGCTGTATGTTAACATTGATGTCAACGTATCCACATCCTTGAATTTTGGCGTGAAGCCAGCACGAACAACATTATCTGACGCTGCCATACATTCAATGATGTTTCCGCTCAGGTAGGCGTGGATGTCATCAGCCTTCAAGAACATTGCCTCTCCAACTTCCAATTTCACGTAGTTGAGGAAGAACAGAACGAATAGTCCTATATCCCCAGGAAATTGAGAGTCTAGCCGAACAACTAGGTCTGCCAGTTCTTTCCCAGTATTAGACGGCCCGCCCCCACCAGCAAAATCCGAACCCTCCTTCTTTGCAGCTGCAATCAAGTCCTTACTTGCCTGTTCAACGTCTTCAGGCTTCGATTGCATCAGAGAGGTGAAGAGCGTCTGTAATGCCTTCTTGTTCTTTTCCTCGTCCTCTTTTTTATCAGAGGTCTCCTGCCCACTCACAGCACCTTGGAATTCTTTGGCTTTAGACTCGCCTACCAGCTTTTGTAACGATGGAACCGACGAAAGGAAATGGGAGATCTCCGCGAGAGGTCTAAAACCACACAACCCATCAAAAGGTGTGATTGCAATCGTCATTTCCGGCTTATGGTTGTCATCTGGATAATTTTTGCTATCCTTCTTGTGTAGCTGTTCTGCCAGTTTCTTGTTAGGATGTGCTTGTATGCTCAAAGCTTTGCCAATTGACAGAACTTTGAAAAGAAATGGCAATTTGTTTTCGAACTTTTCGGTAATTTCGGTGGACATTAATTGTTGATTTTGTTGTACCATATCCAGTAGGGTCCGTTTCGACTCGACGTCCTTGGAAGGATTTGAGGGGTGGGTTCCCATCCATAGCTAGACACAATGAGCGTGATATCAATAATTGGGATCTTGTATGTACCTCGGCATATGGTTTATCTTCTTGAATTGAGAACCCTTCCGCAGGAGTGGCAGCAGCGAATTTGGCAGCTGCTGAATCCTTTCCAACTTTGCCCCAATCGTAACTGTTGACGCCACATTGAAGGCGGAATAGAGGAACTTGTAGTACCATTGTGCGGTTATGAGTAATATTCCAAGAAACGGTGGCGCTTGTAGAGTGAGTGGTTGAATGATCTGACAGTTCCAACAGCAAAGAAAGGATTCAATATTCTATGACAACAGAACAAATGGAGTCTACAGCAAAACCTAACGTAAACGGTGCGAGAGCGCAACGTCACAAATGCGCGATGGTCTAGATTACCCCGCGCTAAATTTGAGGGAGTGGCCCAAGCTTCCCCCTGCACCCTACAAGTACCTTCGTACCTTCCACCTCACTCTCTTTCCTCTCTTCACCCAACGGTCGCATTCGACACCATAAGCTTTGGTCTACACTCACAATACACACGCGGAAAACTCTATTTAGAAACGCAAGAACGTTCCTACCCCGTCACTCCTTTTCGAAATCGTTAGGTAAGTCACAATTGAGCTTCATCTGTAGCCTGCTTCCAATCAATCACGCAACCAATTTTGGCCGATCATACCCGGTTCTTTTGGTACTTTTGGAGTTCTTTTTGGAATTGTTGAACTCGCAGCTAACATGGATTTCAATTCAGACCTCATACCGGAAAACCTGAGACCGGGGAAGAACGATACCGGTCTGCAGCGCTTCTTGGGATCCATCGGGAATTCGCCGAGAAGAAGACCTGGACTTGGGAATTCGAACCCGTCTGCTGGTTCAGCCACGCCCACGACAAGACCCTCGCTTAGATCAAGTACATCGATACAAAGCTCGAATTCCACTGCTCAAACAGAGACACGGCCTACCAGCGTAGAGACAAGGTCTCCCAACGAAGAAACACCCGAACGGCAACCTAGCAAAAAGATTGTAAAACTCCCTATAGCCGTACATCTCACTGGTGGGCAAGTGAAACGCGCGAAGCAGATAGTTATATCCGACCAAGAGTTGTACACGACCACTCAAACAGATACGCGATACACCACCGAAGAGACCTCTACAAGGCAAGCCAGCGAAACACCTTCAACAATCTCTTCGCCTACTGACGAGGAAACAGAAGGTATGTCTGCTCGACCTCCTCGTGCAAGAGGCGGCCGTGGAGGCGTTAATGACCAAGGAGAAGAACAAGCACTATGGAACGACTTTCGTGGAGATTTCGCGCAGCTCCAATCTATGGAGCAGAGATCGGCAGTTGTTGTGGAGCTCATATTCGAGAAGCAAGAACGGATGCAAGCTTTCAAGGATCTCGGGAAAAGTATGTTCTCCTTTCATTGCTGTTTTGCCAGAATTGATGTTGACGAGTGTAGAAATTCCGATATCTGATATAGATGAACTGGATAAGCTGTATCGCGAAAATGTGAGCATCGCAGAGAATATGAAGACGATTCTAGGTAGCGATGGTGGCAGTGGAGCAGTACAGAATCTTGGCATTCTCAAAGCTCTTGTTGAAAATAACGAGAATACAAGAGAGGACGTCACGACATCGCGCGGTTCTACTTCTCGGGACTCTCACTCAAGATCGGCAGTTGATCCATTTGACGGACCATCAGCGTCTCCTGGCCCTTCGGCCGCCGAAAATCGACAGGTTAGAAAGCTTGGTGGCGGCAATGCTCGAACTGGAAGCCAACCTCCACGGAATCTGGATGTGATTATCCCCTCTGAGCCTGCGGAAAGGAATGCGGACAAAAAAAAGTCACCTATTCTGTTGGAGACGAAGTTGCTTTCAAACGAAAAATGGGTGAAGAAACCGATTGGATACAGGGTATCGTCACGAGAGTGATTGGAGAGGGCAAAAGTCGTCGTTACGAAGTTCGAGATCCTTATCCAGACGACCTCAACCAAGACAATTTGTATAAATCTTCAGCTTCTCAGATGGTTCCTATTCCCAAGCCAAACCTCAAGCTGGATGATTACGAGGTCGGAAAGCGGGTTCTTGCCCTTTACCCTGGAACGTCAACTTTCTACCGAGCCGATGTTAAACGTATGGTAGATGGGGAGAACGGAAGGGAGGTCTTGCTACTTTTCGAGGAGGAAATCGAGGGCCAACAAGAGAAACAAGTTGATCGTCAACATGTTCTTGATCACAAGGGAGTATGATTTCAATGAATGGTGACTTGGTAGGTATATGGAGTTTATAGGAAATACCCATGGGTCAAAAATTACTGGAAAGGGTCAGGCTTAGACTAAAGGTGTCGGAGTTTCATGCGTTACAATAGACACTTGCTCTATAAAATGTATACTTATATATTAATTAAATCAAAATCAAACATATTACAATAACATGAGGATCGACATAAATCGCAGTTTGCTCGGCGCCAGAACCCTGGATTTGGAAACACAAGTGTCGTCACATGACTCATAACGACGCGTTGAAAGTTAATCTGCCAGCACCCCTGAAACGACCGCGCCGAATCTCAATTGGCGTCTGGGATATCCATCGAATTTCCTTTCTCAAGCACCGTCATCACCGACCAAAAACGATATTTTCAAGCCTCGAAATTGCTCACATACCACCTCGCGATCCCTTTCCACTATTCAACGGCCACCATCTCTTGTGTCCCGACGCCATTTGACTCTCTTCAAAACAACACCCGCCAAGCACGTCCACAGTTTCAACACAGTCATCCCTTTTCGAACACAACTTCCTGACATCCAGCCTTGTCGAGAGTACAGTCGCAAGAGTACTACAATCAGCATTTATCGCCCACACTCCTAACGCTGCTAAATCTCCCACCCCTTCCTCATCGCGCGACTCCAGAACTACACCACCCACCGACTGCCAAAATGGGGGGTCAAATCTCTAAGATGATGGGCAAGATCTTCGGATCAAAGGAAATGCGATTGCTCATGCTAGGACTAGACGCCGCGGGCAAGACGACGATATTATATAAACTCAAGCTGAACCAGGACGTCACGACGATTCCGACGGTGGGCTTTAACGTTGAGACGGTCACGTATAAGAATGTTAAGTTTAATGTGTGGGATGTTGGGGGACAGGATAAGATTCGGCCGTTGTGGAGGCATTATTTTAGTGGTATGTTTTAAGGAAAAGGGGGATAAGAGCGCTGGGAAGACAGGAGATGCTAATTTTGGAGATAGGTACTCAGGGATTGATTTTTGTTATTGATTCGAGTGATAAGGCGAGGATAGATGAGGCGAGGTCGGAATTACATCGTATTATCAACGATCGGGAAATGAAGGAGTCGCTGTTACTTGTGTTCGCGAATAAGCAGGATATTCCAGGAGGTTTGTCTGCCGCGTCCGGATATACGAGCACCGCTGACATGAAGGACAGCAATGAAACCACAGGAAGTTACGGATGCGCTGAAGCTCACGCAGTTGAAAGATAAGATCTGGTTCGTAGTACCAAGTTGCGCGACAACGGGAGAAGGGTTATTAGAAGGATTGGTATGTCTTCCTGCAGACGTTCTTAGTGGGAGGTACTAATTTAATCAGGCATGGCTCTCAAATAACGTCAAATCACCACCCCAAGGCGCTGCGAAGAAGTAGGAAGCTTGAACCTCCCTGAACTCTGAATGCGAACCACCATCTAGAGGAAGCACCACATCTAAGAATCAACAGGACACACCCCCGCCCCCCAAACAACTCTTCCAGCGTCCTTCCTCGCCCAACTGACACCTCTCACTTCGGCCACTCCCTCTCACGAACCTCCGCACTACCTCCCCCTTTCTTCCCTTTCGCAATCAAAGCACGCAGGCGCTGGCATACCATTCAATATCTTCCACATTCTTCATCCAAAGGGCAAAGGAGCTCCATTCTAGCTATGCAAAACTTATTAATACCTTTCTTGTTTTGGTCCTTGTTTTTTTTTTTGATACCACCCGTTTTACTTATTTTTCTGTGATGAGGTAGGGGGGTTTTTGTGTTCGATTAGGCAATTTTGTAATGTAAAAGGTTATCGTGTATTTATAGGTTTTATCATATTTTAATGGAATGGGGTTTTTATGGCGTGAATCTGATTTGCGCTCATTGAATATGAGACTGGCAATGTAGCAAGGTCGTCCTGGTTGCCTCAATCCGCGTTCAAAACATAAGTGTAAGCTACAGAGTCTCAACTGTCAGTATTTGAACCCTCAGAACAAGCATAGTTAAAAGCTATAGGGAGTATTCACAATCAGGTATATAATCCCCTCCCCTCCCATTTCCATCCAACACCCCCTCCCCCCCAGCTTCCCATATCCACACCGCTACAGCAGGCCTACTACCTTAACCCCCAATCCACGCGCATCCGAGAATACGTATCTACACACCAGCGATAGTTACCTGGAGAAGTAGGTCTATTACAACTTAGCCTTTCCTGGTTTACCGCATCACGCACTACCTTCTGGATCCTCTATACCCCCCCAAAAAACCCTCTTTACCCCTCGTGAAGAACGAAACAGAAACCCTCAAAGTAAAGTAGGGATACTAGCGCGCCTCCGCTTCCAAACTGTATTTTTCTGATGGTGGAGTTTCAGCAGGTAACGCGCGTGCGTTTTCATTCTTATATTTGAAGTACTTACTTGATAGGAAAAAGGCGATTCAGAGGAGGTTTTTACTTTTAATAGCTAGATGCAATTTTTTTCGTTTTTCATTCTTTTTGTATCACTACTAGCTCTCTTGTCAAGACTTACATAATATACTTCACAACGCCCACGAATATGACGGCGATGTGAAATCTCAATCATCACAGGGTCCTAGAAATGAAGCACACTTTGAATTTCAAGAGTCGTTGTTGGATCTCAAGAGATGTATATTAAAGTTTTTCAATTGTTTTTTGTTTCTATTTTTGCCCATACTACCTAGCTACAAATAGCCAGGTAAATTATGATCGTGATTTCAAAATGAATTCCCCATCCGTGGACTTCCCACCTCCGTGCCCAAACTCCTTGCTCTGACTTTCTCTCATTTGTTTATACAAAGGGGGTCGTGAATTTCGTGATTTGTGCTGTGGTGTGTCGCTGTGATGATATGAGGGTTGAGGTTCGGTGTGATAATGTGAGGATTGGCATGAGTGATAATGGTGATAATGAGATTGGGTGAATTGGCGAGGTTGAGGTTGATCGAAGGGGTGATGTTTTGATGTGGTGATGGAGTTGAAGTATGTCGTTGAGGTGTTATCATATTTGATGCCAATTTTCAGCGGTATTGGTGTTTCCCACTCCGTCAAGCCGCCCTATTGCCTCCTCCCCCAAAAGCCACCCCTTAACGGAAGCAGTTAAGACCGCACAATCTGAATCTGAAGACAGGACGATGAACACCATGACGATCCGCGGTAACGTTTCCACCCGCGCGACGACCACCGAATCCCTTATTATAGAAGAAACCCATATTGATTGTGTTGTTGTATGACTTGAAGATTGTCTGATTGTATGACAGAATGAGGTTTGTATGACAATCAGAATTCCAGGCGAGGGGACATATGAATTATATACCCAGCCTTCCTCTCATATCATGCGATTCTGAATCAATTTACCCGCCTCCTTGCCTTGAATCCAATCTCAACAAACAAAACAATGCCTCAGATGACGTATCCAATCAAGGAACGCAGCCTTGGCGACTGCTTGTCTGAGGTGTTGGCCGTGCTGGCGTGACGTGGGGCTTGTGGCGGTGCACGCTAAAATGGGTTGACACAAATTCAGCCACAGCTAGACACCGCGGATCTTGGGGTCACACCAAGTTCTCGTGGGAAATTCCCACTCTTCAGGATTGTTTGACGCGCACAAAAGGCGGTATTTCTCGTTGGCCGTGGCGTTATTTGCGTTTAAGCTACCCTTGGGTTTATCGAATTGTTGGATGTTTCCGATGATAATCAATCAAATGTGTCATGCTTTCGATTATTCTGGTACAGTAGGGTTGTACACATCACACCGCAAACGAACTGTGGTGTTTTGCGAGGTCATGTGTGGCTGGAAACCTGTGCGTCGCCGAAACTAAAATGGCGATGGCGCACCGTATAGTTACAGGCCTAGACTTGAGAAGTGACAGCTTCTTATGGTTTAGCTCATTCCTTCATTCTCTTCATCGGCCGAGAATCATCTGGTAATCCACTTCTCTTTGTGCCAGGAAGACTGCCCGTACGAATATCATTATCGTCCTGACTCACTCTACGGTGAGGATATTCCATTTTCATTCCTTCAAAACAGTTCGCGGATACTTTGTCGCCGGTGCTGAAAAATGGATGCTGCAGAGCCGCTTGTGCTGTCAAACGTTTTTCGGGGTCGTACTCAAGCAAGCCGCTTAAAAGCTTGTATCCTTCTGCTCCAAGTGAGGCATTTGATGTGGGCATTGATGTGGCCGAATGCGAGTTGATGGTACTGAAATACCACTTTTCTAGATTTGAACCTCCATTCTTGCTGTGGGAACTTGCCGACAATGTTTGGAGCTGATTGTATTCGGGCATATTAACCAGATGTGGCCATGTCTCTTTCCTTGGCAACCCCATGATTTCCACAATCTTCTGCATCTGGTTTCGCTGAAAAGGGACCGTCTTTTTCGAATCCATCTTAGCTTCCTCTCCTTTGAAAATGGGTCGCAGAGACAGGAGTTCGGCAAAGATACACCCAATAGCCCAGGTATCGATCGCAGGTGTATAATGTCGAGATCCAAGTAAAAGTTCCGGCGCCCTGTACCAAATCGTGACAACCACCTTGTCGCCACTGTAAAGAGAATGGAGAGGCTTATTAAAGAGACGAGCAAGCCCAAGATCTCCAACCTTGACCTCTCCACCAGAAGTAACCATAATATTGGCCGGTTTGAGATCTCGATGAAGTACCCAATTGGCATGTAAATATTGACATCCATTCAGCAGCTGGAACATGATACTTTTGACGGTTGCCGGTGGGATGGGATGTCTCGTTGGTTGTGTATGATGATGAATAATCTGAAGCAAGTCATGCTCGGCATACTCGAAAACCATGAAGATGCATTTGTCTTCCAGTATAATTTCACATAACCGGATGACGTTCATGTGACTCAATTCTGAGCAAAGTGCCATTTCCCGAATGGCAGATTGCGAGATTCCGGTATACTGGATTTGCTCTCCTTCCTTGTCTATGGGTCATCAGCCTCCGCGTTAGTGTTCGAGATGGCCAAACCTACCAGGCTTGAATTTCTTAATGGCAAATTCTCCAGGCTGGCCATGACGGCCAACGGCCTTGTAGACACGTCCATAGGTTCCGCTGCTGATGAAGCCGATGACCTTGTAACGATCTACAACTCGCACCTTACTTTGATATCCGATCGGACCTGCTCCTCGTTCGACTGGATCTACGGGGAGGTCAGTAAAGGCAACCATCCAAGCAAGAGCAACAGACGATATGAATAAGTTCGTCTCGTAGGAAACATGTCGCCGTCAGGATCCCCGTCTGGCTACTTCTTCATCAAGCCAACATGGAATTAGGAAGACATGGTGTCCTTGAAATATTCCGAACAAAAGATAAACTCCACGGAACCAAGTTGCAAAGAAAGGCGGGGTGATCTACCATCAAACGCTTGTTGGACACTCCTCTTTAAAGTCTGTCTGCTCTGTGACGCCGAGGATAGAGCCCCCCCGGACGACGGTGGATTCGAGGTCAGGCTCATCTCGCGTTGGTTGCCGTTGCTCCCCCAGGCCAGGCCAGGTACGAGGCACGACTTTCGTTTCCCCTTCTCGGTCGACCACAACTCCAACCCCTGGACTGCGGGTGCGGCTACGGCGACGGATACGTACTGTGTGAACGGATACGATTGAGTGGTCTTTACGTGGTGGAAACGGTTGGTTCCTCTTCATGCAAATGTAGATGCACGTGTATTAAGCGGTGCTACGGGCGGGCCGGGAGAGCTGGAGGCGCGACAGTCGGTGATGGATTCAAGCATGCGCGGACGTGGCGGATACGAAAGTCGGAGTTAATGGGGGTCTCAAAGGCCACTGGAGGGGAGGTACTGGGACTCAGGGGAGGGGGTCCAAGTTGGGCAATGGGCAGAGTTGGTGATGGATGAGGTGATTTGTGGAGTGCAGGACAACAACAGCTGCGTGTCTTGCGAGTCGGTGTGGTACAAAACCTAACGTATCGTGCGTATGTCTAGGCTTGGTGGGGGCAAACGCACCACACATCCACCCATACCGCAGGAAATGCAGCAACAATTTCTCCACGACGCACGCGAGCAGGATGACGAGAAACAGAGAAACACAACTATGGGTCGCATGCATAGGCAGAGGCAGAAGCACCTTGAAAGGTCAAGGTCACAATTCGGAGAATGCGATATCAGGAGTCAGTGAGCTGGTGGTCGGATCCTCGAGTAGTATTTTACTTTACTTACACCTATTGGTGTTAGTATTCTGTGATTGAAGGTTAGTAATGACTCGCTCACTCTGGAGCTGCTCTGGTGCTCTCCTCAAGTCCGGCAGCCATTCGATCTGGAAGACTGCAGTCGCAAATAAGTCAAGTATCAGCCCCGACTACAATCTTGCTCTCCTGCTCTCCGGAGCTGCACTCTCTGTTCTCTCCTCATCCAGCTGTCAGTACCTCACAACGTCGTACCCATAATGTCTCAATTAATGGCAATCTGACATGTATTTCTTTGTGTAACTGGCCGACTGCACCTCACTTAACCGGCTCCCTAGGATGTCTCACAAAGTCTGATAACTCGGTGTCTGGAATCCATTGCGGCTGCTTGCGTATCAAGAGGGGTCGACTAGGAGAGAACGTCCAATGCAATTCGCAAGGTTTCTTTGCAGGGCGGAATCGACGCGGAGTCTGGGGAGATGATCCTATCGCTGCTTACTTCCGAGTGCATACTCCGTACCTCCCAGTGGACTCCTACTTCCCTTCTCTCACTATCGCCAGTCCCAGATTCGCGGGATGAAGCCAGATATTCTACTGATGTGGTGACCGATCTGCCCAGAGAAGCGTCGAAGATGTCCAGAGCGGGGTAAGTCTGGTGAGCCCCCTCAGCTTGGGACGGTTTTCGTGAGGGTGTGTGTCAGGACGCAGGCGATAGGGGCCGATAAAGCAGCTAAGTCTGACTGATTGACTGTCGACGTTGAGTAATTGAGAGGCAAGCGGTGAGATCAAGATTGGGCAGACGAGGGGGCCAGACGACCTCAGGATAACCTCCGATACGATGTGGATGAACTGGAAGGAAGTTGGTGAACAGATGGATGAGATGTTGATATCGACGTTGGTCCTCAGCCTAAGAGATTCGGAGCTGGTCACATGCAGTCAATGGGTCCGATTGGCCACCTTTTAGCATAAGGCCGCCAGTTGCATAAATCGTGCACAAGTCGTGTAGCACAACTCTGACGACACTCAATAATCGCGAGGCTGGTTGGTTCTCGACCACCACAAGACAAGATGTGTATCGCTCCTTACACTTGACTATTGAGAAATTGAAATGGCTTCTGCTGGCTTGAGGCAGTGCATACGAGATGTAACTCCCTATCTGGTCTTTATCATATTCGTGTCGACTTTTGGGCCTCTGCAGTTTGGTTTCCATTTGGTAAGATCATATATCCTTTCAATCTTACGGTACTGACTCTGCGCTTAGTCCGAATTGAACGCTCCCCAAGATGTCCTGACCTGTGCTGTCAAATCCGTCGCCGATCATGTAGCCTCCCAGCCCGACACAAGTCTGCCGCAATGTATTCCAATGAACGAAGCCCAATTCGCCCTCATATCGTCCATGTATGTTTTGGGAGGATTCATCGGAGCTCTAGTCGCAGGACCGGTTTCTACCCAGTTTGGCAGATTGCTCGCGATGCGGATCACGAGTGTCTTCTTCATACTTGGATCCAGTCTTGAGACGTTATCTGGAACTGTGCCATTAATGTCAGCTGGGAGATGTTTGTCGGGGATTGGAGCCGGCGCCGCTACTGTTATTGTCCCCATATACATATCGGAAGTTGCACCACCAAACGAGCGAGGTCTTTTTGGATCCATGACACAAGTCACCATCAATATTGGTCTTTTGATCACACAGACTTTAGGATTCTACCTGAGCACAGGAAGTAGTTGGAGGATCATTCTTGGTGTGGGAATCGGACTGGGTTTTGCCCAAGGCATTGGTCTCTTCTTTGTGCCAGAAAGTCCGGCATGGCTAGCAGCCCACAAAGATCCCGAGCAGGCAGTGAAGACGCTCCAGCGGATTCGGGGTGCTGGAAACTCCATTGCTGAAGAGATTCAACATTGGGATGTACCGGCGGGATTAGTTGACGACGAGGCGGCTACGTCTCTTCTGCGCGATCCGGAAGCTCCAACCCGCCGCGACTCCTCCCACAGCAAATCATCCTCCACGAAGACAGTCGAGCACGTCGGTTTCTTTGCCATCATCAAGGACCCCCAGTATCGTCCAGCAATTATTGCCATGATAGGAATTATGTTTGCGCAACAATTCTGCGGCATCAACAGTGTGATGATGTATTCCGTTTCCCTTCTTCGCGGAGTCATTCCTATGTCCTCGTCTCTTCTCACCATCATGATCTCTGCCGTCAACTTGATAGCCACCGTTGCTTGTTCCCCTCTAGCAGATAAAATAGGTCGAAAAACCTGTCTACTTCTGTCCATCGCTGGAATGGGCAGCTCTAGTCTAGTACTAGCCATCTCTCTTCGTATGGAAGTCAAAGTCCTTTCCGCGATATCAGTCCTCTCCTTCGTCGGTTTCTTCGCTACCGGACTTGGACCCGTTCCTTTCCTGATTGCATCCGAGCTCGTCGGGACGGAAGCTGTAGGTGCGACGCAAAGCTGGGCATTAGCTGCGAACTACATCTTTACGTTCCTCATTGCTCAATTCTTCCCAATTTTGAATACCATCTTGAATGAGAAGTTGGGTGGGAAAGGCTGGGCATATTTTGGCTTTACAATATTTGCGGCAATAAGTTTTGCGTTTGTTGGCGCTTATGTGCCTGAAACGAAGGGGAAGAAAGATGCCGATGAGGTTTGGGGTAGGACTAGGAGGGTAGATTGAGGTTGCAATATTTTTAGGTTAGATTAAGGGTTTGGCGTATATATATCAGGGATTTATCGGTGTAAGACAGATAATGACATATTCGATCGGAGTGCAGTGCTAATACAGTGATATTATGTTAACAGCTTCGGGAAACAGACTCTGGTGATACCATGGTGCATCTACTACAGTCATCGTTGTGGTGCTATCTTCGCTTTCAGAATCGAAATTAGAAACAAGTCGGGTCAATTCACAGTCTAGACTCCTTGTTTAAAAGTACAGCCCTAGTTTCCACTTGATAAACTTGAATCCAACTAATTACACTTCGAAGTACAAGAGAATTGGAATAACTGCTGGTGATCTCATAGGCCTGGCTTAGTATGCACGGACCACGCTTAAAGTGGTTTTTGGTCCACCGTCCCACGACGCGATCCTTGACGCGTTCAACGTCAGTGTTCAGTTCCCCGTCTGCCTCTCCGCACGAAACACCTTGGATTTTGCCCGCGCCCGTCGATATCCAGCCTCGGAATCTTGTAAATATACGCGTTTTACGCGACAATAGCTTCTGGAATTTCCAGATACCTAGGGCCACAGTTTCTCTCTACCAAAATCGTCAGACCAGGCCGGCGAGAGATCGCACCTCGAGTCGAATTCTCAAGATCCTCGTCCCAAGAATATAACCAGCATGGTGAAGCCAACTGTGGCAGGAGTCTATTCGGCTACCTATAGTAACGTAAGTAGGAGCAATGGTTGTGCAATTTTGGTTTGGTGCCTTCGCTAACTTGGCATTAGATACCGGTGTACGAATATCAGTTTGGAGAAGCACTTAAGGAACATGGTAAGGATTGCTGCCACTGTTATCGACGCACTCATCAATTATGGTTTCTAGTTATGCGCCGCCGACATGACGATTGGATTAATGCGACACACATTCTTAAAGCTGCGGGGTTTGACAAGCCTGCGAGAACAAGAATTTTGGAACGAGAAGTACAGAAAGAAAACCACGAAAAAGTGCAGGGAGGGTATGGCAAATATCAAGGTCAGCGAAATCTCTACCCCTACCAACGAACGGTTGCTAAAATACCAAGGTACCTGGGTGTCATTGGAACAGGGCCAGGCTCTGGCGCAACGAAATAATGTCTACGAGAAACTTCGTCCAATTTTCGAATTCATCCCGGGGAACATCAGTCCCCCGCCTGCTCCAAAGCATACTACAAACAAGCCAAAGGTGCCAAAAAAGCCAGCGGTACCAAAATGGGGAAGCAGTGAGCATAGACCTACTTTTATATTCGAATTGTTGCTAACGGCAAAGAACCAGTGGCCCCTCCAGCTCGCGTCATTGAAGACGAGTATGACAACCAGAGCGCACAATTAAACGATGATGAAAGTATTGCAGACGATGTTACTGTGGCTTCTGCATCTTTCATGGCCGAAGACGACCGGTATGATATTTCTCAAGCTTCGACTGGTCATCGAAAGCGTAAGCGTGAAGAGAATGCTCAACACGCTCTAAACCAAGCACATCTTAGCTATACGGACGAACTTCTAGATTACTTCATGACCTCAAACCTCGCCATTTCTGCCCCGAGACCAGAACCACCTTTAAATTTCCAACCGGATTGGGCAATTGATCAGGACGAACACACAGCGATGCATTGGGCGGCTTCAATGGGAGATGTTGAGGTCATGAAGCAATTGAGAAAGTTTGGCGCAAACCTGGCAGCTCAAAATGTGCGTGGAGAAACACCCTTGATGCGTGCCGTTCTTTTCACAAACTGCAAAGATAAGCAGTCTATGCCATTGGTTGTCAAGGAGTTGATCGGGACAGCTCATATCGTAGATCACTGCGGAGCTACGGTACTTCACCATGCTGCTGCCTCAACAGCACAACTCACAAAACACAAGCCCGCCCGCTATTACATGGATGTCATCCTGAATAAGATGCAGGAAGTGTTTGAACCTGAACGTACTCAATCAATATTAGACGCACAGGACATTGATGGAAATACAGCCATCCATATTGCGGCAAAGAATTGTGCACGGAAAATAATCAGAGCCTTAGTTGGTCGAGGTGCTAGGACAGACATCACGAATAATGATGGCGTTTCTGCAGAAGCACTAATCCAAGAAATAAACCACAAGACCATGCGGGAGTTTCACCAAGGATCTTCTTCCCCATTTGCTCCACATGAAAACCATGTGTCTTTAGGCTCTCAAGAGGTTATGGACCAGAACTGGCCTGAGGGATTTGACACGCCTCCTCGCCAGATACGACGGTCGAATGCACCTTCTCACTATTCAGAGGCAGCCATGTCTGTGGAAAAGAAGATATATCCTCTTTTACAGGAGAAATTTGGGGAGCTGGCTGACTCTTTCGACGAAGAGCTGAAAGAAAAGGACACCTCGGAGCAAGAGGCGCACCGCATTGTTGCCCAGGTTCAGGCTGAGCTGAACGAGATCCGTAACCGAATAATTGACATAACGTCAACAGCAGAGGATCCTGACACGAAGGCTGAGGTACAAGCACAGCTTAACATGGTCGAGCAAGAAATGCTTTCCCTACTTGAACAACAACAGCAATTACAACTTCTAAGCCGCACCAACCGAGAAGAAAACAAAGCTAATGGGCACGCAAGCAACGGTGACGATGGCCTTGCCGAGCGAGCTATGCTTTCAAAAATACTCGCCTCGGAACAGGAAAAACGTCGTGCTCTCGTCTCCCGATACCGAGATGCTCTCGGGGCCGCAGGCGATATCGGCGAGATGGGCGAACTCTATCGTAAAGTCATTGCGGAGAGCATGGATCGCGTTAATTACGATGAGATTGATAACGAGATCGATGTTATTCTCGAGGCCATGCAGGATGAGGAACGGGATGGGATACTTGGTCCTGAGGACGAGTGATGTACTTGATTACCAGTCCTGAGGGATAAAATGAAGTTGTGACTTCGGTTCTGGATGGCGTTTTGGGGGCAGAATGCCTGGATTCTGCATTTGGCCGGTGTTGGCTGGAGGGACGGGTGTATGTCTGATCATATATATGCTGATTTTGCTTCTGAGTGCTAGGATGGGTGTTTTTTGGATGGACATGGGTGGCATACTGGAAAGTATGAGGCAAAGTTGGTGGTGTTGTAGCTAGTGGATTGATTATAATTATTCTCATAGACTCCCTCTTGAGTAGTTGTGATAATTCTGGGGGTTATTTACTTAGGTCGTCTGGTGTCGTTTTGAGGATGGGTGGGTTTTGAATGCTGATTATAAGCTCGTTTTTTCTTAATCTTTAACTAGTTCTTCCCTCTTCTTGTGGTCTTGTTTTTGCTTTTGGGTTGAGAATTGGGAGGTGTATGAATTGGTTTGGTCACTTTAGGTAAATAGATGGTGAGGTTGGGGTTGTGTTTAGTGTCATACTGCTGAAATGTGTGAGGGCGGGAAATCTTTCAGATTTTGAATACATTATAAGTAAACATTATTCTTCGCTAATTACTCTTGACCTCCTTACCATTATCATCAAAGTCACACATCTTAGCTAGTTAGTTGGTGTACCCTTACTGCTCGAAATAATTTTCAGATTAATAAGTGGAGAAAGGGTATAAGGGGTGAGTAGACGGTTGGTTAGACTTTGCTTCTGAGAAGGGTGACGGGGTGGTAAGTTGTAGGGGAGCGAGGGAGAGGGAAAAGGTGGGGGATTGGGTAGATAAAGAAGATGATGGGAGAATGTAGAGTAGGGAAGTTACCGACAATGAAAACGAGAGCGAAACTGTGCAAATGATGGATATATCTTTCCCATCTGCCCTTCACATCCTTTATTTTGTGTATCGACTACGATAGTAAGGCTAATTATTGTAGGTTTGATTCTTACTGCTAGATCTAAGGATATACTTTATTCTACTTATCCTATAGATCTTATCTATCTTATCTATCCTATTTATACCTCTATTACAGGGAACGAAAAAGTACTATTATTACGCTTTAGGGTTATAAATATAGCCCTTAAAAGGAATATTTCTAGACGTTAGATCTTGTCTTTAGAGGTAATATTCCATCAACCTTTACATATAGTTCAGAATAGCACTTCTTGTAGATTTCACCTTGATTTTGAACAGGTAACCTTTCTATGTTCAACTCCGGTCTTAAAAGTAAGAACTGTGAGCCTTCAACTCCGATGCCAAAACTCCTATTTGTGTAATTGCAACACTAGTCCTGTAAATCTGTGACTCCAATCCCAGAAACTCTGATCAAACAGATCCAATTCTGTGTAAATCCAACACTAATTCCAAAACCGCAGTCCGTGGACACCCTTAACTCCAATTTGTGCACCTCCAATTCCAGTCCCACTCATTGCTTCCCCTTCTCCCTGGGATAATCTGTGCTTCATTCCAATGATCATCCAACTCCGTCTTGACGCCATCAAATTTCTCTCAAGTGTATTCCGAGTTTAGCAACCATAGCTTGCCCAGACGTATGCGGGAAAAGTGTAGCATTCCTGTCCTACCGATCAAGCCGCGATCCTAGCTACAACTTGATCGAAAGCGACCATATCTTGAAGTGTGATCGCGCTAATCCCCCTTCTCGTTATGGTCGGTTGCCCGTCAACTCTGTAAGACATCATCACACTGTCATCCGAATGTCGAATGAACAGAGCTGCCTCGACGTTGTCGTCGGCACGAAGCAAGGAATCTCTTAACGAACTGGCCATTAGAACCGCTATAGTATCGGGTTGAATAGTAGACGGCTTTGGAGCTGAGAATTGTGTTCCAAATGAGTAGGTTGCCCAGAATATCGACTTGCGATTGTTGTCTTCTGTTGGTATGGCTGCTGAGTTGCAGAGATGACATACCCACAGAGTCTTAGAGATTTGGCTGCGACAGAACAGACATCTGTTAGGTGATCTCAGGTCTCGATTCGTTATTGGTCCAAGATGCAAACTCATGGTGTCGTTGATTTGGGAAGTGAATTAGAAATGGGGAGGTGCGTAGAGGTTAAATACTATCAATTCGCTATCATAGACATTTCTAAAATCTTTTGGGCCATACTCCATACTGTGCGCATTTTCAAAGCTGTGATATTTGAGGCTTTGAGCATTGACATCCATCCGTTGCATATACAAAGAAACTGCCCAAACACGGTTTGGCTACATGGCGCAACAAAGAAATATTCGCGATGCACGCTGGTAAGTTTGCCGAAAATATGACAGACAAAGACTTGTTGGAACACTAGACCTGTTGCTACCCGATGGAAATGCAAAGTAGTGGATCACTCATGTCGCCAGTTTACTTCTATATGGCGACACTAAAGAAGCATTTAAACATATGTCTAATGTTTCTTTCATGGCCAAAGGTGGCCGGGAAAGCTCGCTTAAAATCCAAATTGGAAGGAAAATGCACGTCGTGAGATTCCTTTGTCTCTCTTCCCAATCCACGTCAAGCACCTCTCACCCTTTGTTCTTTTTTTTTTTCGCACTTGGCATAGCAATCTAAATTGCTTCACGTGCTTACTCGCACTCTGCCAAATCGTTGCAAATTGAGAGGGAAATGAACGACCAGGTAGTTTTGGTTTTTTCAAGATCCTGGCTTATTGAATAAGAACTTCAAATTGTCAACACGTCACATCTTTGCTTTGATATTCAAATAGAGCACTTCCATTGTATATACCAGTCCAGTTTTCTCAGCATGCCAACACCCATAAAATCCCAGTTAAAATCCAGTTACAATTTGTTTTACTGGATACCTGCTCCATGTAACTCTGCACCGATGCCACCGCAGATGGACATCTTTAGATAATTACTCAAAATTTGCTTTACCTTCATCTATGGAGCAGGCCGTTCGCAGCGAGTGTGGCTTTCGGCTTTACCTTTGTCAGTATATGTTTTCATTGGGCTCTCTTGGTATAAAGAAGAGCAATTTTCTTATACCGACCGAGTCCGAGTCCGTGCAAGACTTTGTTCTACCTTGATACATTTTTTATTCAGGTCGAATTTATCACAGTATCTAATAATCATGGAGATTCCGTCGGAAAACTTTATGCATCCGGAGGATAGTATGAGCGATCTTATTTTTGAACCTGAAAATACAATAAGACCAGAAGCAGTCGTCGAACGCAAGAAACAGCTAGGCGTGGCGAGAAGAAAATTAAAGGATCATGAGCTGTGTTGGGCTTGCGGCTGGACAAATTTGCACCAGATGAGCAGTTCTTATAATCCACGGCTCAAAATTGTAACAACCAGAGAGAACATGGGAATCTGGGCACTAGGCTCGAAATATCTTCTTAAGGACTTCCCAAACGATGGTTCTTCTCCGGGAAACGACTACGTCACGCACCGATTTCTACAGAGTCAACCAAACTCAGGGGTTCCCCTTCTCAAGGAAATGCAGCTCCTTAGTAAGCCTACGGATAAAACTTACTTGCTTCTAATGTCACGCTCGGAAAGCAAGTCCCTTAGTTCCATTTGGCCAGATGTAACGATCAAACAAAGACTTGATCTAAGGAAACAAATGCTTAAAATCCTTCAGGACCTTCGAAAATTTACTGCATCAGGGGCACAAACAGTTGATGGGGGTAAACTTTCCGACTATATACTCGGTGGTTGTAGCGTCACTAGGCCTATGTGTAAAACAATCGGCTTCGACACGGAAGAATGGTTCGCCAATATTGAAGAGGAACTTCGTGTTGGATTGGAAAAGATCCATGAAACCAAGGACCCTATCATCATTGAAAGAGAGTACCAAAAGCTAAAAAGCAACTTTCCAAAGTCGGAACCTTATACTCTCACCCATGGAGATCTGACCCTTGGCAATATTATGGTCGATGAAAACATACAAATTACAGAGATTATTGATTGGGAACATGCCGGTTACTATCCATGGTGGGCTGAATGGGTAAGTCCCCTGCACCTCTATTGTAATGTGCCTAACCACGAACTCTCCTAGTGGTTCAGCAGGATGCAGGCGCAAGACGGCAGCCGACCTCTACTCAAACCAGTTTTTCCACTTCTTGAACACTCTATGAACCTTGCAACTTTTGATACCGAGGTATTGGATCCTGTAGGGAAAGTCATTCAAGCTTGGCAAAAGTGTGACATAGCTCACCCCCATTACCTTGATCGATGGCTACGTCCGCCTTTCTCTGCGTCCGAGCCTTACGATGGCGAGTTTGTGTTGGGACATATGGGGGGAATTACTAAAAGAGAGCACGTTATCAAGAGATCACCTTAGTGGTAGGTGTGGAGAAGTCCTTTGAAAAGGGTCGTGTTTAAACACGCGGACTTCGCGTCCCGTCAGTAATGAAAGGTACAGTCAGCCTGCCTCATACTTGGTGCGAACTTGTACTCATCTAAAATACAGGGCTAGGATATGGATCCACCGCAGTGTCTTTTTATCATTATTCTGTCTGCTTAGTTTGCTATCTGCTTGTTTTCTTATCTGCTTATTTTCTTTATCAAGCCGAGGCAAACCGAAATCTCCACACTATTAGCACAATGAAACTAAATTTGCGAGCTAGAAAGACAATATAGTACATGCAATCCCATGAGAAATTGAAAGGGCAAGTCGTGTATGCAGTACGTCTATATGCCTTACATTTAACTGAACTCCACCGAAAAGAGGGGTGATGTATGATTAATTTTCTTCTTACTCACATCTGAGAGCTGGCCCAGTCCCACCATCTCGTGGAGAACGTATACTACATAATTATATGTCAGAACCGACTCTAGCTAACATAGCACCGACTCCTCACATCATCTTTAAAACAGTGTAACCGCCTTTTAGGTGTGGTCGCAATTAACCGAGAACAAACACTTAATGACGCCGGCTCGCCGGTACAAGCCGGATCATCGCCCGTTTGTTTTAAAGTCGGACCGATCTTCGCATCCTTACCCAACCGGCCTCCATGATGTGCGAGCGGCGCATAACTCAGCCTTAACGTACATTCGCAAACACCAACTCGTAACGTCTCTTGTTCTTTACCATCTTTATACACTTCATTGCGGGCGAATGAGTACGACTTCAACAACCACATAATCAAAGAAGATGCACGTCAAACGCAATGTTCGAGGCGGCCAGCCCTCTCCATATCCTCGGATTCCCTTCCACGCGCTGCGGGCGGCTCAGCTACTCTCCTCGATCGTCGTCAGCGGAATAATGTGCTATTTCATGTATTATCTTCGTAAGTCATTTCCATTCCAATCGACACTTGTTCTGGATTTGCCTGTTCCAAAGACCCCGCGCTAATGACACTAGGGGCCGAGCGTTTTGCAATCCCATGGACATTTATCGTCCTTCTCAGCGTCTCGCTCGCCACTATTGTATCACTCACCGTGACGATCGTCCTATATAACTTTACATATCTTTCTCCTCGTTATAATCTGGTTACGAATGGAGCTATTTCGGCAGTGTGGGCAATGGGCTTTGCCATGTTGACATGGTCAATCAGTACCTCGCACGTATTGGCAAAGGCTTGTACAGGTCCCGTTTGGGGAGGTGAAGCTGGAGCTGGTGTATGCAGAGACTATAAAGCTTTGTGGTCTATGACATTGGTTGGAACGTACGTTTTGTCCCTCTTTCGGTGCAAGAATTGTCCCAATCGAGGCTAATGAATGAAAAATAGTGTAGCAACCTGTTGTGCACTTGCGCTTGACTTCGCTACTTGGAAAAAGACACGTCAACGGGGTGTATATGCTATGCCGGAAGACGACAAGGACGCCCAGATGCTGAAGGATCTGCCGCAGACAACAGCAAGAGAGACTAGATATGAGCCATTGAAGGAACGAGGAGTTGCAACACAATCGACGCCTGCTTTAACGCCATTTCACGATGAACAAGACATAGGCTACCACAGCGGATATGGCCATGCTGAGCAGGCCTGGGGACCTCTGGATGAGAAGAGGGCTTCTGATTGATTGAATCGTCTGGAATTTAGCAAGATACCCATTTGAAATGTTATAGTTGGAATGAAAAGAGAAGGATTTGAGAACAGCGGCACGCAAAGCAGAACACATTCGAGGCTTCGCGGAAAAACGCCCTGACCCGGGAACAGCTCATGGGAGAACAAGAGTTGGTCATGACCTGAATCTCAATAGAGATATTGTGACTTGATCGTTTACTTACTGAGTTGGAGTTCGGTTTTGGGGAATACACAGTATCGCATGTATTATATGTTTTTATGGGCCTTCTAAAGAGCCCTTTCCAAGTCTGATTGGATTTCTTTGATTCTGTATATCATTACTTCCTTTACTTCAATAATATCCTTATGCTTGCTTGAGATATTATCACCTCGACGTACAAAGGAGGCTGAGGCATGGGCTTAATCATCGGTTAACACTCCCATGTCATTTTCCCAATTATTGGACCTACAATGTTCGTAGCTTTGTGGATTGCTACATTTCAAGTCCACAAGATGCATGCAGCTTCCATCAATAGGACCAATCTCACACGTCTTAAACTCATACTCATAGTATCAATAAGAGATCGAGAACTAGAGCAGGGCCCTTCATCTTATCTATTCCATCCTAATACAGGGAATAACTCCTTCTTTGCAAAATCTCAATGCATTACAAGGCAACAGAAAAACACCTACCTCGCGTAAAATTGCGAAGACATCTCAGAATTCCACGCCACGATTCAATCACATAGCATCGAGTACGCAGGTTGGGTACGCAAGTTGGGTTTTCTTTGCACCAAAGTTGTTCGCACCTCGTGGTACGAGACATTGAGTATGCTGCCTCCATGTATGAAGCGATTTCAAAGAAAGAATAGCGGCCCGCCAGTTTGAGCTACCAGCGATGACGAACAAGAGTTGACATGAGAGCTACGAAGGTCTCTTCCTCCAAGTATTAGGACTAAAGGACGTATGTTTGTGATTCGGTAATGGGGTTCGTTAGATTTCACTCGCTTACTAGTAGGTAAGAACTCCTACTGCCCACCCCTCCCTTTCCCCCACTATTTAAGTTCCATATGCTGAACAGGAAAATCCATGTCAAGGGTTGTTTTTCTAGAGTCGTCTGAGAGCTTTCCTTTTTCGTGTAATCGAGAAGTGTAGACGTGTAGAATGATCTATCTGGCTCTTCCATGCACGGAAATCTCGAAGTGTTCAGGCGCCCAAATAAAGCTCGCCAAACCCATTTTTCTTGGACGGAAGATTGGAGTTGGGTCTTGGTGACCTGAAGGATATTTAAATCTGGTTATAACCCTTTTTTATTTAACTACTTCATTCTTAGACTTATAATGTTCTTGGTTTCCCGAGTCTGTGTAATTTAACATTTGTAGTGTCGTGTATTCATTTTCATGATTTTGAAAGTGTTACCTTTCTTCAAATTGATAAAATTGAAACTTCGCTGCTTACTTAGTTTCAGAATAACAGTCAAGTAATTATTCACAAGATATATCGTTCAAACCCCTTTCCCTGAGGTATATGTTGTTTTTGTTCTCACTTTTTCCTTCTCCTAATGCTACCCCTCTGATTTATAGGTTTCAAAGTTTGCTACACCGCGCAAGTTACAAGGCGCAGTGGGCAAAGGACTGTACTATACTGCGAGCGTTATATTGATAGACAACACTTACATATTGGCCACCGTTGGCTCAATCGGGGCCCACGCTATGTTGATTGGTTACTTCCATAATTTTGTTTCACAGGCATGAAGGCAAGTTTCCTGCAGGAAGTGAGAGGATTAGCAATGAAGGAAGGAATGAGAAGCATAGTCTCTCGCTTATCGTAACCTGGACCTGCATGAGTTTCTATCGTTGGGTTCTTTTGACGTTCTTGATTAGAAGGTACGTGTATAAGCAGCAATTCCTTCCTTACGGCTTGGTCTTGCTATGGACGAAATGAAAATGCGGCATGCGGCGTGTTAACACGCCACTCAAACACAGAGTAGATGGTAGAGTAGGGAGAAACGTCCCTCTGATGCAACATATTACCTGTCGCCAGACTATCTTCAATTTTTTAGTCTCAATGATCAACCTTTGTAAGCCTTTATGAAGTTGCGTCGTCCTTCTATCCGCTCACTACATTCTGGGATGAAAAAACATGTCGGCTATGCCATACCATGAAACGAATTGATGTCAAGGATACGTTCCATATCTCTATAATACTTTTTCTCTCTCATTGCAATAACGCAAGGTACCTTTCGTGCCATCTCATGAAGCACATTTACTCCTACGCCGACCACATGGGCGTCTGTAGGGGTAAGCGATGAGAAGTCAGAAGGGTTACAACACATGAGAATTTATGACGGAAAATCGAAGTGCCGCCAGAAATTTGTCTGATGTATGAACTTCCATAAACACCGAAGTCGTATGGGCATGGGAGCCGTTGGCCGGAGGCATGGACGCGGCGTGGATTGGGGATGAAATCCTTCCAGAATGCTCAGCCCCCACAATGTGAAATTGTGTACCTCGGATGATCTTTACCAAACAATAGAGTAGCTATCTTCCCATTCATTCGTTTTCATCAGATGAGAGGTGAAAGTGGCCTGCATTGAAGACACTGAAAAGGATTTCGGTAAAACGTGCCTGCATACCGGTCCCCAAGCAAAGCATGTTCGACGTTTACGTACATATCGAGCCAATCCGAGAGAGCAGCAGATACACTACACTCTCTAGCTGTGTACTTGGCCTTTGTCAAATTGGTTTTACTACTGTCCGTGAGGCTATTCATTAGGGTGACTAAGGAGCTTTATACACTCACGGTCACGGATAGGTGTTCTCGTAACATCTCTATCAATTTCCTGTAGCGTGCTAATCGCATATGGTCGGTGCGTCGACGGTCAAGATTTCTAAGGACCTTAGACTGCCCGTCCCTAGAAGTCTCCGTCTTCAACACCCTTGATGGTCCTTAACCTACCTTGTCAGTTGAGCACCAACCATATACCCTTAGTACGAAACAGGAGGCAGGCAGAACAACCACAAGGAAGGCTAAACTCCTATGCACAGACTAAGCTGTTCTCAAACTTTTATCCAGGATAGCAGATGTTAGTGTGTGGTAGTCCCTACATAACTTTGGTTGCACTCGCATCGTAAATTTACAAAAGCAGTAAGTTTTTTTTCTCTAACAAAGGGTTGATGAGACCTTGCAATATCCACGTGCAATAAACATGGAATCATGACAACCTGCATTGGCCACGTGTGATGCTACCCTGCTTTGATAAAACAGGAAGGCGGGTGAGAAGTAAGTGTGGCTGCAGGAAGGGAAGAGTAACGTTTGCTCGACTTTGAGAAGCAAAAGAACCTTCGATGCAGGTGCGATGACGGCAATCCCGATCGATGCTTGAAAAGGCGCGCTTTCCCATGTGGCATAATACGCAAACGGTTAGTTATATCATGTACATGCCCAGGAAGAGTTCAATTAAGCGTAGATAGCGAAGGAATCGCTTAATCTTGCAATCCTAGGAGTGAGAATACGAAACAAGTTCAAGACCGGGATTCTTATTCGTGAAAAATTACGACGAGGGGAATAAAGAAACGAATACGCTCCGCCCCAAATTACAGTAGCCGTTCTGTTCAAGATTCAGTAGTATGATATCTTCTGAGTACCAACACACAAGTCATCAAAACCCTGTAGCCAACCCATAGTTATGGGATGCTCTGAACTTTCCACGGCAAAGTAAAGATAGTTGAATTCAGTCAGATGTTTGGTAGTTTGAATCAATTTCCTTTGAACCCTGGGTCGTGATATCGACAGGCGTCTCTAGCAGTCTCCTCAAATCATCGTTCGTTTCATGAGTTCACATCTTCAGTGGTAATTGCCAGGTAAGGAAACGGCACAGTACATGAAAAGCATGAACAATTTTTTGTGGTTAAATTCGAGCATGAATATTCGTCCTCCAAGCCAGGTGGGACCAGAAGTGGGTGTTTTGCGCATACCATTGGAACTCGCATGAAGGACCATTGAAGGCTAAATTGTGAAAGGTCTTCCTCGATTGTGACAAATGTGGACGATAAAAGGTATGAACTGCAATATACGTTGATTGCTGTTTTCCAGTATGATGGTGTTTCTGGATATCTCTTTCTTTTCCTAAGATCCGAAGCAAATATGAGTTGCGCGGTCCCACAGTTGACTAGAAGACGGTGGCCGATGGCCAAGATCCAGATACATCAGAGCAGAGATGTCCAAGATATTCTTCTTTGCAAGCCGAGAGCGGTGTGATACTATAAATCACTACCCGACGAAACAACTCTGCACTCTCTCTTTCGTACATCGAGCTACAGAAGACAAAGCAAAGATCACTTGTAATTTGAATTTCAAGTTAAAGAAAAGTATGTCTGAGTTCTTATGTGCTGCATCATGGTTTGTTTGTTTTATCACAAATGCACCACATGCTCTTCCCGGATAGGTGAAGAAAAAGGGGTGTAAGATATTTGCGAAATTCCAATTCCAGTTGTCTATCAGCCTTACCGGATACGAGGACTCGACTACAGAGATGCATATGAGGGTAGCACGTAGAAGGGTCCGGAAAAGTCATAAATTACCTTGTTGGATAGGATTTTATGACTGTGGGGTAGAACTCTAGTCGACACCCTCAAGATTTAAACTTTTTCGCGCATTCTATACGAGTATAATAAGGAACAGAACGACGAAAATTGGTTAACATTTAGTAGATAATAATATACGGTTCTTATATGGATACCAGGCGCACCTACGCTCAGTTTTAACGCCGTACTCTGACAAGTTGTTCATTGGCCGTGCCTCCTAAAAAAAACCACTGTCATTTGTCAGTTCGGCATTTCCCTATTAGAAGAATCATGCGACTAAGTGGATTCCAACTTAGACATAGCTCCTCATTCCATTCAGAAACGCAATCTAGCAACGTATTCTAGTATGAGCCTCTGACCTGTATCATTCTATAGAGTATACCCGGTAGTCCAATATCCCTTCTTCATGATCCTTTTCAAAATCTTACAGCAAGCCTTTTGCGACTCGTCCCTTGTTCACGAAACACTGAGGTTCTTTGCTGAACGCTGCAATCCCTATGGAGCCCTTTAGGTAGACCTGTTCACCGTTGACCATTCCGGTTAAGACTGAATAAGATTATTGCTAAAACGTACGGATCAGTCTGTTAAATATGTAGTAGCGATGCATGCAGCATTGCACTGCGCCGCAGCTAGTTAGGCCCCCACATTTTGTCCATCAGGCGCTGCGTAGGTTTTGAATATGGCATGGATCTCTCCTGGTCTTCTAGGTGATCGATTGTGTGACATTGTATACTATTGTTCGCCTCACTGATTCAACATTATTGCGGATATAAATCTAGTATAAAGATTGGCCGTTAATGGATCTGTCATTTGGAACAGATCAAGATCGCCAGCCCGCACCGTGACATGGGCGGCTGACCCTCAAACTGACCTGGAAGTGGCGCATGCAAACCATTCAAAAAAGGTGGAGAGTTATTTGATCCCCTGTTAGCTTGACTGCAGGTTCATCCTGGCCTTGTTCCTTGCCTCTAAATTCCAAAGTCTCGCCATGTGCCGATTACATGGGTGATGGTACCTGTGCCGCAAGCAACACCAGTATGCCTTCGATCGGACAACAAGTTCCTGTTATAAGACTTCTTTATGTCACTTCTTTCTCGTGTCACATAGGAAATCGACTTCAGACTTCAAATGCGCTTCCACTATGAAGCCCAAGTCCGGTAACAGATTTAGGATTTGTGGAACACCATCAAAAACTGGCTGCATCACTTGCAAGTATGTGTACCAACTTCCCCTCTTTTTCAGATATTTTACTTCGGAATTGACGGACGTTGGATGTAGGATACGGAGGGTAAAGTGCGGTGAAGAGCATCCGTTTTGTAAAAGATGTACTTCCACAGGAAGGAAGTGTGATGGATATGCGCCTCCCAAAAGTCCGGATCGTTCAGCAAGAAATTCTACCCCGCGAAGTATCTCTAGAGGGTCATCTCAAAGTCCGGACTCCGACTCCCTGGAACAGCAACTACTCTACTTCTTTCGCACCGTAACAGCCCCCAATCTCTCTGGCCAATTCTCATCAGATTTCTGGGAAAGGAGAGTGTTTCAGGCGAGCACCATTGAACCTTCAGTCCGCCATGCTGTAATTGCCATTGCCGGTATTCATCAAGACTATCTCAGCTGGACCCAAAATAGAGTTGCCAATCCATCAATACAAGCGTTTGCATTCCGACAATACGCAAAGGCCATAACCTACTTACATCATTTGATGTCCATACAAACCCAGTCCTTTGATATAACATTAATAGCATGCATCTGTTTTATCAGCTTTGATTGTCTGCTAGGGAACCAGTATGTATCAAACTCTATTTCTTGGCTCGTGGGCTGTTCTAATGTTAATTCAGCGAGTCAGCTATAATTCATCTCAAAGCAGGGCTGAAGATACTGGAGGATATCAGGCTCCGAAGATCACCAGGTTCAAACAAGATTCATGAATGGGAGAGAGAATTTGGTCCAATTCTTCTGTCTCTGGGCACCCAAGCAGCATCTTTCATAAATCCAAACCACGATGTCGACAGGTCCGAATTATGGGTATCACTGCGGGATGTTGGAACAACCAATCCCACCAACGATTTCAGGTCTCTTGAAGAGGCAAGACACGCTTTAGACGCTATCGCAGCCAACATAACAGTTGAACGGAACGAAAGAGGAAAGATATTTAAAAATGTTCATTACTATGACTCGAACAATCCAGGACTTCCAGATTCAGTCCAACAAATGAACAAACTAATCTCATGGACAGAAGGAATAGATCGCTTTTTGATTGACTTCATCACGAACGATCCAAATTTCGCTAAACGAATCAACTTCGGTGCTTCGCTGCTGAAGCTACATTGTCTGATATACCAAATCGTCGTAGAGGCACCAATGAACAGTGCAGAGAAATTTCAAGATGTGCTGGCACACTGCGATTTTCTTACGTCTGCTCATTCGAGTCCGACATACAGACCGGAACACTCCCCATTTATGCCACATATGGGGTTGATCGCTCCTCTGTTTTTCACGATCCTGAAAGCTCCCGACTTTTCGTGTCGACAAACAGCTGCAGAGCTCCTTTCGCGAGTTCATGGCAGAGAAGGAATGTGGGATGCGCAAGATGCACTGCGAATAGCCAAGGACGCACTCGATGCTGCTGGCTACGGTTCCTGGGCAGCAGAAAACCCACACTTAACAGGATTTCCTGCACCGACAAGCCAAAGAATGCGTCATTCAATCACGGACCGGATGGTTTGGCCATTTGGTGAAAGATGGGAGATCCCAATTTCTTCACAACATACCACTCCACAATTGGATTTCACGGTACCGTACTCAGCAACTTCGTCTCAAACAACGCCACAACCAGCACAGGAGGCAATGTTTCCACGAGAACAAGTTCCTCCTCAAGTCAAGGTAGAACCGATATATATGTTGTCTACCGATACGGGTCCTCAGATGATGACCGACACATCCTTTTCGAATCTATTACAACCCGATTACAATTGGATGCCTTATGAATGATGATATTAAACAGTGATCTTGCAGGTTTATGGTTGTAAAATTATTGCATGCTTCGGGGCTTAGCATGTATGGGCATGGTTTGCGATGTGGCGTCGGAATTGGTCTTTATGGTTGAATTAATACTACTACCCACGTTATTAAAGAATCTTGTCTTCATTCACTCAGGAACTTGAAGTCTATTCTGATATTATCTAGCTTACTGTCTATGGGCTGTCTGGTGGAAGCAAAATCACAGTTTCTCCGTGCGGTCGAAGCCATGAAGAAAGAAGTAGTGGATCGTGTTTCGCGCGCGGAGTAAAGGGCGCAGAATCTCGAGAGCCCGAAAGTCCGATTCCCCTGGCGCCGCATCAAACCTTTACGTGCCATACGCCCCATTAGCATGGTCAGTATCACAAATTACTCTATGGGGTACATCCATAGAAAAGCACGGGCAGGCCTTGGGATCGTACTGCCACCAATTGAACCTTTACCCAGCACTTGTACCTCGTAAACTTTAAAGAGACATCTATCCTCCGCGTTGCTAGGGGGTACAGTAAACTCGACCCATGCTCCCGGGTGTGGAATATATTTTCAAGAATCTTACGTGCCGATGCCGGTAACTCTGGCCAGCCTAGTAGGCGTCTACCTTAATTAATCGTCGGCGTTGGTAAGGCGCTCCTCTCAAGTTTCTTAACGCCGACCATTGTACTGATACGAAATACGAACAGTTCAATTTTTAACTCCGATTTCCTCGTTTTGTCTGTTGCTTCTCGCTTATTTTTCAGGGGCAAGCCAGTACAGTTTCCCATCATGATAACATGTTATATGAATTGAAAGCGTACTCAATGTCACCAATTTAAGTATCCTCGAGTACTGATTTGTCCTAGGGGACACGATTTCGGGAGCAGTGCGCTCCATTGATCACGGAATCGAGAAGTCAGTATGTCAAATCATGTTCCAGACCCATGTGGAGACCCCTATTACTCGCTTAATCGCCCAATTCGGCAATAATCTTTTGGTGGTCCTTCTGGGCAAAACTCCAAGAAGCTATGGGTACAAAATGATCAATGCCACGATCCAATTGACATGGATCGAATAGAATGCTTCGCTTATTGTTTCTTATATCGTCTTCCTAGGGAGGCACGGGAGCTCCACATTATAAGGCCCAGCAGTGCCAGCACTCAAGAGTGGGAATTTAGTTGGCCGTTGTTACCGGGACTAGGATCTAATCTAAACCGCAATAATGTAGGGAATGCTCGTAACTCAAAGTTGACAAGCCTCTACGAAAACCGTCGTGGCCAATGTGGCCCATGACGCGTACGTTGCCAAGTGCCTGGAGTGATGCTCATTTATCAAACTGTGTTGAACTGGCTTGAACTGGCATAATATGGAGAGAATTCGTGCACGAGATAGCTATGTGACAGATGCCGACATTTGATGTCGCTCACTCATGTAGAGAAGGAACACTTCTACGTAGGAGTTTAGAGATCTGGAAAGATGTGTAGGAGTCCCCCAATAATCCATATCAAGAACACACAGACGATAAATGAACCTCATCAATCCTCCACCAAGAAGTGATCACCAATGGAGCTCCTGTACTCGTATCACACCTGCAAGCTTGGACAACCACCAAACAATCTCTGGGTTCTTTAAATTGTAAGGACTAGGTCACCGGAAAATTATGAGGGCATTCGCGGATTGCGGCAGTCGCTTGACCACATGGTTTGTGCTCTTGCTAAAGCATATCCCCTCGCACCGTAACGGAAATTGCCAAGTTGGGAACAGGAGGTTGTATAGAAGGTAATACTGAACTTCAGTCGCCGGCACTTGTCGTCTCGTATACGAATCGTCTTGGATCCAAGTGCTATAACTTGAATAAGGTGCGGGGAGGGAGATTTTGAAATTGGTCCGGCCCCCATGCCAGACCATTGATACCCCATATCACTCATCACAGTTTTCTGGGTACTCGTAAAGCGACGTCTCTAATGGAGAGGCTTGGCGCGAACTTCGAATACTGATAACCAACTCTTTGGTTCTCTAAGGAAAGCACGACCGGTCAGTGTTCTGATATTAGCTCACCGTGTAGAAGTTTACAGCAGACTGATCCTGTCAATATTAGATAACTTTACCCCCGTCACAACGCAGTACTTGCGGGCTTACTTCTGAAAGCCATCAGACAATCTATGCCATGGTAAGTTGTCGGATTCGCTTTAAGCTCTCGGGAGTTGGGGTTCGAGGTTTGAACGATGCCTTTCGAAGTGTGTAGTGATTATCTCATAAAAGACATGTGTTAATCCGGAATATTCGCAGCAACAGAGATCACCGTATAAAGCTGCTTGTCGCATATTGCAAGCAGCACGTCTGTCACTCAAGTCTCCTGGACCTTGTGTTGCGTGAATTTTCCCCTTTTTATACTGCTCACATTTTCCAACACATTCTTTTCGTCTGCCGCAATTCTGTCCCGATGTCGCTCTTTTTCTCATCTTTTCTCCTTTGGAGTTGATGAAAGAATCTCACGTATATTTGCTTGTACAAATACCTTGCACAGCTTGAGTTCCTCTCATAACTCGCGGCGAACAAACCGAGATGCATCCAATCTGGGGACTACGCCCGACATAACTAATAATGATATTTATCAAGAAATTTCTTATCTCCGTCGAGTCACAGCTGTAATCAAGAGTTCCCTTATTTCACTGGTCAGTGTTTTGTTAGATACTGATGCTATGTGACAGAGATCCAAGTTTGATCTTCTAAAAAGATAATTTGTAGGAAGCTATGGTTCATACTCTCGGAAATCTCCAGTAAAGGTGTATCATTCCGGCTGTCGACTCTTGACATATCTTAACATGATTTGGGTAGTAGACAAGCTTTTCAGCACCTTGTCTTTTCATCGAATCCAAAGTGTTTCAAATCTTGAAGGAATCACGACGATACCAAAGTTACTTAGCCACCAAACATCTGAATCACTAAAGTGCCTTGTTCTGACAACGTTTATGGAAATACCCTCCTTCATTTCAATATGTCCTAATGAGCCCATTTTAATCCATTCGAACAAATGATTCCTCGTCTCAGTTCCAATTCCAATTCGCCCGCACGAACCATCCCCTTGCAAACTCACAAGAGCTCCTTTCCTGCTATCCACCCTTCCGATTACAATCAAGTGGACGTACGGACCGATCTCCATGAAACTAAATATGACGTTTCCAAGTTTATCGACGCTTGACGTTCATCATGACTTTCAGAAATCTTGTAAGATTATATCGAAACAGAAGGAGTCCACCATCCAAATCACAACGCCTGATAGCAAATGAACAACCCAAGTGATAACAACAGACAAGTAATTCCCATGATCAAAAATATCCGGCATGATTCTACTTAAAGAGGCGTAGATGTTTCGACAAACATTTCTCAAGGTTCGTGGTTGGTGAAGATACACGAGGGGGTAGGTGCGGGGACCTCGGTATACCCGTCCCATCGATAGCTGTTTCGATTCATCAAGGATGGAGATCTGCAAGCCAGGTCTGAAGAAGATCATTTGACTCGAATAATTTCAAACAGCTTGTCATACACGCTTTTAGACATGTCAAGTTCTTTCTAGACTATTCTACGAAGCTCAGGGGTAAAGGCCGTCGAGGGGGGGGAGAGTTATGAACGGACAGGGGCATTAGAAGTATCACCTGCTTGAAAAAGAAAGATCTAAGAATTTTATGGCACAGTGGAGATTTCTCCTATTGTTGATCAAGCGGAATGACTGGCAGTTGTCTTCCAAATAACATGGCTGGATCTCATAAGCAAGGTGGTGCATTTTCTGATTTCGCACGGTTGATATTGATTCACAAAGAGATATTCCTCAAGATGCGACGCAGAGGATATGATAATATGTCAATATCTTCTCGCTAAATACCATCTCGATCTCCACCTATCACAACTCTTATACCCTCCCGTCCAATCTCCTCCAAATCCAAATAAATATCTCACCACATGCCCACCCGTTTCCCACCATCCGCCTCCCCTTCCCCTAAATATCTACCTCATCCTCTCCGCCATAGAAAAATACTCATGAGTCCTCGTAGCCCACTCCGGCAACGGCGGCGAACTCTCATAATGCGTCCAGCCAGACAACTTATTAAGCCTCTGAAGCTCCTTAATCGCAACCGCGGGCTCCGGTCTCTGTATCGGGTTCTCGCGCGTGACATATAATAGCGCGTTTTTAAGATGTTCCGTGTATCTCGGTGGCGGTTTGAGCTCTCCGACTTTATGTTTCGCTGCGAGGCCTGCCATCCAAATGCCTGGGTCGACGTTAGGCGGAGCTTTCATGTCGATGTGGCAGAGGTCGACGTTGGCGTTCGGGGCTTGGGCGAGGGAGTAGACGCAGGCTCCTACGGCCCAGGCGTCGGATTTACTGGTGTGGAATTGGCCTTTTGGGAAGTAGCTTTGTTGGTGTGAGTTTTTGGCGTATGGGTAATGGTTTAGTTCGGGGGCTAGGTAGACAGGTGTGCCGCAGATGGTACCATGGCGTTGTTGGCTGTCGGGATGTTGGTAACCTGTGTATACTTTTGGATTCTCGCATGCAAGGCCAAAATCGCTGATGATGCAGTAGAAGTATTTTTTCGAACCAGGAGTGGAGCGAGAGCGAAGCAAGACGTTGTCTGGCTTGATGTCGCGATGTAAAACTGGTGTCCATCCAGATTTGACAGTTGTCTGCGGGTCACTTAAGCAGTAGCGACCTGTTTGTAGGTATGCAAGACCCTCCAAGAAGTTAGCATATGAATATTTGTATGTTTCAAGAGAAAAGAGGAGTGTCTGAGGATGAAATTCTTTCGCAGCCAATTAGAGTAGGTGTTTAGAAGGGAGAACGAAGGAAAAAGTCGCATACATCCATCAGTCCAATGAAGACATGCCAGATGAATGCTTCCGGTATAGTAGGAGGTTCCCGATCATTTCTCCGTTTAGAATACTGTTCTAGTAAATCTCGTAGGGATCCTCGGTCGCAGAATTCGATATAAAGAGATGCGCTTGGGCGAAGGCTCTTCTCGTCAATGAAGGCGGCATGGTAGCTGGTTAGGGAATAGTGCATGCACTTGCGTAACAATTTGATTTCGGTTTTGGCCATATCTATACTCGATTTATCTGCTTTGAACTTCTTCTGAATGAATAGCTTACCCGGTACTTCAGCAAGTTTCACTACAAACACGCCGCCATTGAACTGACCAAGGGTTCCGTCTCCCGCATCGATAGCATGAACCAGTTTGAATCTATTTTCAACGTCGTAAGTGAGTACCGGCTCACGTTGGAAGTTTTCGAAATCAGCCTGACTTTTGACCACGACCGAACTGGACGCCCCCCAAAGATCCTTGCTTTTGTCGGCTTTAGGCGTTTCTCTGTTGCGAATGTCTTGTCGGCTCTTTTCGCGTGTCTCTCTATTGTAATATATTGTTTTCCAGATACCGTCATCGAATTTCACCAATTTTAGGACCCAGTTCTTCGGCAGTGGTCCTCTGGATGGATGATTAAAGGTGTTGGCGTCTTTTTTTCCATCCCTGATGAAGAAGATGCGATTGTCCTCTTTAGTCGCAAAGTCAAAACTCCAACCCGGAGGAAGCTCGCCGAGTTCAGGGCAGGAGTTCTTAGCCGCTTGTATCATCTCTTCATAACTTGCCATTGTTGCGAGCGAGCAGTAGCTCGTGGTGGATGCTCTAGCTGAGAGCTCGCCAGTGAAGGTTGTCGTGACGCTAGAAGACAAATGAGAAGAGGGTTTTAAGCACCGGCATGTTGAGATCCTAATTCACAACAGTGAATGATGTGAAGATCGCAAATCAGGTACAATCCCTGCGGAGACGAAGCGTGCATGAATGAGCAAGTTAGACAAGCTAGAATAACAGATTTCGGGAGCTGAGAAAAAGTGTATAGGGTAACTTCTATATAATGTAGATCCTCAAGAGCATTCGCAATATCTTCATGAGCTTCGTTGATTAATCAGCAGACCGGCAGGGCAGTTGCTAATTTACAATTTTTGACAAGATTATCCAATGGACTGCAAATTATTACTGTGGTCCAAAGGACTTTGAATAAGACAGTCATGTCTTCAGAAAATAAGACACCTCGTTGTGGCATGGTGGGACGTCAAAACCTAGGTACGTACCTATGTCGCAACACAATATTGCTTGCTCATTTCTCTAGACCAAAAAAGACTGGCGCGAAGTTCATGACCGTGGCTGTAGCGAACAGTAAAGGAAGTTGACTCTAGACACACAGTGTCCCAGGAATCGAACTTGGCATGATGTGATTCATCAAAGTTTTATGACTTGCAGAAAACATCGAATTTGGTTGTGGTATTCCCGTCCAAACAAGTATGAATATTATACCCAGAAAATCTGTCTTCCATTGAACCGTCAAATGACAAGTAACCAAATATCAAATGTGAATATGCCACGCAAGAGGAATCAACTTGATGTCGAGTTGACTGTTATTCCAAAGGGAAATAATAAAAGCCGTAAACACAATAATATGCCCAGCTAGGAAGAACAAACATAAAACTTAAAATGAATGAAGTCTTGAAACGCAGAGGAATAGCACCACCGGCTAGAATTAAAACTTCCTTCCAGGCGGAGGCTCAAGATAAGAAGTGCGCGCATACTCGGAGCACAAGCCGCAATCCACCAGTAATGGATTCTAGCAGCGGAGACGAAGACGAAGACGAGATCGACTTTGACAATCTCTACTTCTTGGAATCTGAGCTGCAAGAAAGCAAAGCGGAAAGACTAGCGCGATGGAAAGCGTTTTATGCAGCGGATGAATATGACAGATATAAATGGCGCTTGGTCAACGACGAAAAAGAAGAACGTCTTTCCGATAAGATTTTCAACAAGCTACTCGCCACTACCTCGTCAGACCCTATCGATATCTCGAGCGCGAGACCCCAGAGTGAGCTGCGTGTAAGAGCGTGGTGGGGAAGGATAAGAAAGGAGCTCCATATCGAGGACGAGGAGATTGGATATCCTGGTTGGAATGGCGAATTCGGGGACAACTTTCATGACAAGAATTTCGTTGGAGATGACGAGGCACCGCAACGATTCCGTCATGGCAACAAGCGGTTTACTCGATGGATGAAACCGGTCGAGGTTGAGGAGATTCAATGGACAAATGCTTTGTCGAAGACGTGGTGAAGTTGATGGACTGGTCCTGTATCTTCTCGTGTAAAACCGTGTGGACGCACAGTAAGGCTATCTCGATAGAATAATGACAATATAACAACACGATCGTATTTGCGAAATCTTGATTTTTGCTAGATAAAAAGTCGAACGTGAAGAAACCGTGCTACGGGAGAGAGAGGAAGAATTAGGCGCTCGGACCACCGTTGGACCCTCGAATCCATCCACGGTTTGTAGATATTCAAGGACACAGACAGGTCAACTTTTTCAACCTCATCTGCCCACAGCAGGTATCTTAGTTCGAGGATAGCTGCTAGCAGAGATTATGCAAAAAGTCGTCGATTCTGTCATTACAGACACTCCGTTGGAAGAGGAAGAGATATCACAGCCAAAATGTAACTTCCAGCAACCCCACGGCGCGCGACAAACAGAGGAACAACTCCAGGATAGTCCCGCTGCCCGACTTTGCAGCGTCCCCAGCGGATGAAAACTTGATCAGCTGAATGAATAGGTTGAACTAGACCTATTGCCTGGCAACCCGAGGAAATTTCAGCAGCCGTCCTCTTGGAGGACCTTGGGCTATTGCGCTCGTGGGCCGAGACATGGTTGCACAAGAGCCGACTTCACTTGAAAGAGTTGAAAAGCGATAGCGGAATATACTGTAGTAGCCATAGTGGCCTACGGTAGTAGACGGATCTTGAGGCTAACATAGTAGTGTTATCCTAATTGCGACTGTACGGGAACGAAATGCGGTTCGTACAGGCCGGTTAGTCCATCAATTGCACTACCGGTACTTTTGCTAATCATTTCAATAACATTAGCTCGGGAAACATTAGACCAGACCAGCTATCAAAGCATCCAAGACTTGAAGAAAAGAGCCAGTATTCGACGAATCTGCGAACAACCACTTGTCAATTTTGGACTGCGGCGAAGAACCACCATAGAATCGTTCGAATTAGGTGCTAGGATTCTCACGATATCGTTTGAAAATGGACATAGAATATTGGTTATGCTTGCAATGTTGCCGTACAGTCAACAATCCTACGGATTTTCAACCCGATTCCACTGCTTCGCGCCTCGACGGCTTTGCGATGCATCTTGACATCACTGCCGAGCAACGAATGCAACAGATATGCACAAAGGGTACGACAACTTTCCAGATGATAACTCGAGGCACGGTGTTTGTACGGCGACAGCCTCTTGAGATAACAAAAAGTCTGCATGGTGACGATCGTGATGCAGCTTACGCGCAGAGATACTGTCCATGATTGGCCGAGCGGCTCACCGATATACTGACGCGCTTCATTTTGAACCGTGGGGTACTCCGTCTGCCAGCCGTCTGGGGGTGGAATCACGTCGAGGAGTGGACACTGGGAACATCGTGAGCTTCACGTCAAGCTACCGGCGGTTCATGGGTTGCAAGTTGCAATTCTGCACATGTAAGGGATCCGGCGGGACGCAGGATGACATCACGTAAGGGACGTGGTTCTTCCCAACACCCAGCCGCCTGACTCTCCATCAACGGCAATATTGTCGCTGAGAGATAAGTGTCCTACAACAAGTGCAACAGAAACGTGATATTTTTCCGAAGTCCTATTCGCAAATCCGACTTCCAGATCAGTCTTTTCGGCTTTCTCACATGAAATCTGTTATCACAGATTGCCCCTCCACACCACGCTTGCCCCACCATAAGCGATGGGCAAATTCAAATGGCTCACGTCTGGACGGTCCTGACTCTAAGCACAATGCGGTGCTAGTGCACCCTTCTAGCAGAAAAATGTCTGGATATGGAGAGGATCGTCATGGCTTATTCGCGCTCGTACCTGGCCTTGAGCCACTCATCTTCATTCTCTGGCCAAAGATCGCGATCGTGAAATTCGATGCGGAAAATCTCCTCGATGAGAGACGGTCCAGAAGAGCTGGCCCTCAAGGCGAACCGCCCCGCTTGAGAAATCTTCAAATCCAACTGGCTGGTTTGACAAGAGACTCCGAAGGGATCTAACCAGCCGATAAAGGTTTAGAGTTTTTTGGTGGGGGATATCGTGTTTAGGATGTGGCTGTGGTAAGGTCGGTCAAGTGTTGACTGTGGCATCAATACAGGAAACAAGTGGCTAAGGTTCTTAGTGCCATCAGTTTTGTGTCAAGGCTACGGGATGAATAAAATCCTCGGACGCCCCTTCCTTTTCATCTTTTCACTTATTTGATCAATATTCTCCAAATCCCACCATCATCAACTATTCTATCCTCAATCACCTAGATCTAGAACACCTCTTCTTCTCTTCTCATACCTAATATCGACTTTCACCAGTCACATCTTCATCATGCCTACCGCCGTTCCAGCGATCAAGGACCTCAATGTCCCTTTCACCAGCTATGAGCCAACACAGAACCCTGAGATGATGAAGACGACAAGAAAGATTATCTGCTTCTCGGGTATGTGTGTTGATCTCCTGTTGATCGTTTCCGAAATCAGTTGAATCGGTGCGGGTCGACCCGTTTGCCGGTCAAACTCAAACCAATACATTGGGATGAGCTTGGTGTGATCGACCAGCTAAAATAGAGGCATAAGCAATATTTCAGACCGCTAACAGAATATGTGCAGATTTCGACGGAACAATTTTCATGCAAGATACTGGCCACATCCTGTTCGACAACCACGGCTGTGGACCAACCCGCCGAGAAGTCCTCGATGAGCAGATCAAGACTGGCGAGCGATCTTTTCGTGAGGTTTCAGAAGAGATGTGGGGTTCTCTCAACGTTCCTTTCGAAGATGGCTTCGAAGTGATGGAAAAGACCCTCGAGATCGACCCAGACTTCCAGGCCTTCCACAAATTCTGCATCAAGAACAGCATTCCTTTCAACGTTATCTCTGCCGGTCTCAAGCCTATCTTAAGAAAGGTGTTGGATACATTCTTGGGCGAGGAGGAGTCTGCTCATATTGAGATTGTGGCCAACGACGCGAACATTACCGAGGACGGAAAGACTTGGGAACCTATCTGGAGACACGACACTGAGCTTGGCCACGACAAGGCTTTAAGTATTACCGAGTACCGTGATACCGCGAAGCTCGAGTCAGAAGACGGAACCATTCCTCTTATTGTATTCATCGGTGACGGAGTTTCTGATCTCCCCGCGGCCAGAGAAGCAGATGTCTTGTTTGCGCGAAGAGGACTACGATTGGAGGAGTATTGCGTCGAGCACAAGATTCGTAAGTTCCATATCACATCAGACTTGCCGACCACGTGTACTAATTTATCACAGCTTACATCGCCTTTGACACCTTTGCCGACATCGAAAAGGAAGTCCGAAACATCATGGTCGAAGACGAAAAGCGAACCAAGGGACAAGGCAAACCAGTCCGTTTCAACCCAAGAGCCAACATGTGGAGAAGAGTCAGCAGCAAGAAGAGCGTTCCCCAACTCGTCGCCGCTACACCTACCAAGGAAGAGAAGATGTTCCTCTGGCCAAATGCCTTCTCGGAGCTCAAGTCTCCTACTATCGCGGAGGGTATTGAGGTTTCTGCGTAGATACTGCCAAAGTTATGGTACTGGTATTTGGTGAGGGTTGAGTCTTTTTCTTGTCTTATGGGAGGCGCATTGGGCATTAGTGGCGTTTTCTTGTGGTTGCACGTACTTTCTCTGGGTGGGAAAATGGGCGTTTGTGCTATTGCCTTTGCGTCTTGAGCGAGATGAGACTAGAGTGTTCTAGACATAGATTGTTGAATGGAATAATCGGGTATGCTTCACTACAACTTTCTTCATTATCGTGAGACATCTGGACGGTGATTGGTGAACTGTGTATACGAGCAGTGTATGGATACGTCGACAAGTGGTAGAGATGTGAGGTCTCGGGTATTGAATAGCTGTGTGGATGGATGTATCTTGTCGGATTTAAGATATCTGACTGACCGTTTCGCCTTTCTTACTTCGTAGTTTGATTACGAGTTGCGGGTGCGGGTGCGGCGTGTTTTAGGAACCTTCTAGCTTTTGATCCTATAGAAGTATAAATAGGGATTTTGTGTTACCATGCGGATGAGGGTTCACGTGTGTGGCTTTTCTCATATCTCGTACTTGGGAACAGCAACTTGTGGGGTAGGCTTCTCAAGTCTAGAATTAATGTCGATATTGATTAATCGAAAGAGTTCTTCTTTGAGATGGTGATGTATAAATACTATAGACATCGAAGCGTAAGATCAGAGGATCCTTAAAGCATGGGCTGTATAAGGTGGGATGAAGCTTTGAGGCTCCTGCGGCGGGAAAACCTATGTAGTGGGTTATGCAGGAGGATGGATGGGGTAAGTTACTGTGAGGGAGAATGGCCGCTGGGGGGAGGAGATGTGTCTTCCAAAGGGAGGGTTGTTGAATGGGAGGATGGTGTTGGTTTTTGTGGCTGAAACTTGGAAGGTTGGACTTTGTAAGGTGGAGGATTTATGTAGTTGGTGGTATAATTATTGTGGTTATGGGTTTTGAGGGTTGGAGTTTTGATGGTCTGGAGACTGAGAAATTGATATGGTGTCGTGGCTGGAATGTAAATGCATTCGATCACTACAATCAAAAGAGTCCTTATCTATCTTAAAGACAATATATTATCTTCGAGGCGCAGTTGATACAAAACCGCCGCATCGCACATCATTCCTCAATCCAGCACTTCTGGTAGCTGATTCATTGGATATACGAACGATCTTCATGGATGGTGATACGTTAGTCCAGCCCTGTAAGCGGTAACCCCGCACTATATTACAACTTTACAAGTGTACGGGTACAACAGGACCAGTACATCCCCCTCTGCAGTGGGCAATCTAATCTCGGACATTCAATACTACCATCATCCATTGCGGTGGGAGTTGTGGTGTTGCATTCATCCTACTCTTCCGGCGGAGACAATTCCCATTCCATCCCTCAATCCGGTTCCAGCTCCAGCTCCAGCCTCAAACAAACGCACCGCAACACGACCCCTCCAGCAGCACACACACACCTGGGCTCCCGCCAGAAAAGCAAAATTAGCCACCAACCACACCAACCAACCCGCGCGCAGGCCCACCGACCTGCCAAAACAATCTCGTCCAGACGCTCGTTCGCCGGCGGCCCTGCCAAGATCGACGTCCCTTTCCCATTCAGCTTTCTACCTCCAAACTAGCAGCCGCCGTATTCACTTTGACAGGTATTCGAGACTACTTGCTCGAACTTGGCTACGCAATCGCAACCAACAATTATAACCTTTTCGGCAACAACCAAGATTCACGCTTGGTTTCCGATTCTAACCTAGCGTTGCCGTCACGATGGTTCGCAACATTCTTCCCAACCGACTAAAGTCTTTCACCCAGAGCAGCAGCAACAGCAACAGTCGAAGCACGAGTCCGAATCCCAGCATGAAGAGAGCAAACACCAACGAGTTGAATGCGGAAGCCTCAAAGGTCAATGGTTTGTGTTTGAAGGTCGTGGCAATCAGGGTATGTTATGACGACACCGGAGCAGCGGCACCTTTACTGATAGCTATGGGATACAGGGTAGAAATCTGGCTGCAAAGGACAAAAGTGGTACCTCTGACCCAGTGAGTTTAGAAATCTGTAGAATCGATACAAAGACGGAAGCTGATGTGCAATGTCTAGTACTTGGTCGTCACCCTTGGCGATGCCAAAAACGCTACGCAACCAGTCCTCAAGACGCTGAACCCGGAATGGCAGACCTCACTCCAGTTCCCAGTCACCGGTGTCAACAGTCTCCTACTCGATTGCGTTGCCTGGGATAAGGATCGTTTTGGAAAGGACTATTTGGGCGAATTCGACCTGTCACTTGAGGATATCTTCTGCAACGGACACACTGAAGTAGAGCCAAAATGGTACCCGCTGAAGAGCAAACGACCTGGTGGAAAGAAGGATAGCAATGTTACCGGGGATATCCAATTACAATTCTCACTTTTCGATCCCCTAGAGTTGGCTGCCTCGCCCGCTCAGGTAATGGAGAAATTCCGATCATTGACTGGAGCCGACATTCCAGAGACCAATACACCGACAAGACAGCCAAGTAATGGAGAAGAGGACGGCGACGAATATTTCGACGAGGATGAAGAGCCAAGCGATGAAACGGATGATCCATCAAAGCCAGAGAATATTGAAAAGAGACGACGAAAATTGAGATTGAAGGGTCTACGAAAAAAGAAGCAAGCCACGGCATACGAGTTCAACAGCGAGAGTGAAGTTGTGGGAATTGTGTTCCTCGAGATTGGAAAAATTACAGACCTTCCACCAGAACGAAACATGACCCGAACCTCCTTTGATATGGATCCGTTTGTTGTTGCCTCTCTTGGAAAGAAGACCTATCGAACCCGAGTTATCCGGCATAATCTCAATCCAGTCTTCAACGAGAAGATGATATTCCAGGTTCTCAAGCACGAGCAACAATACTCCATGTCCTTTACCGTTATTGATCGCGACAAGCTTTCAGGAAATGATTTCGTGGCCTCGACCGTGATCCCGTTGACAGATATCACTGAGACGGCTCCAAGTGCAAACTCCGAAACGGGTCTCTATTCACTAAAAGAGCCGGCAGAATTGGGAGAAATGCCTCAAAAGAATAGGTCGAGGTTTAAGCTACCAATGTCGCGATCGGCCTCGTCACAGAGTTTGCACAAGCAAAGTCGCCCTGCCTTGGTCACCCACAGATCGAGTAGCAATGCACACAGCCCAAGCGGCTCAGGGACCAGTACACCTACCTTGGCCCCAGGTCCAACATCAAACCCTGGTGGACTTCAGGCCGGTGATGTCCTTCCACCTCCGAATGCAGTAGATGATGAGGAAGGGTTCAATTCGAATGGAGACCCCGACTTACATTCGTTTACCATCCCGCTGAAACTCAAGAACGGCGAGAAGTGGGAAGCTAAGCACAATCCAGTGATGGAAATCAAAGCTAAATACGTACCATACCCAGCACTTCGTCAACAATTCTGGAGGTCGATGCTTAAGCAGTACGATACTGATGAAAGCGGCCGTATCAGCAAGGTTGAATTGACGACTATGCTGGATACCTTGGGATCTACTCTCAAGGAATCTACAATCAATGGATTCTTCAAGCGCTTCGGAAAGAATGCCGACAATGGTGATGATGCCAATAGTGAATTGACCTTTGATCAGGCAGTCATATGCTTAGAAGATCAACTCATGCAAAAGTCGAAACCTCAATCAATGGGTGACAAAATAAAGAGTCATATCCCACAACAACTCGGAGGGACTTCAAGCTCCTTACAGCCTTCGACGGGTACAGCAACTAGCTCAGGCTCAACAAGTCAAACTCCAACATTGATTGATCAGCCGCTACCCACTGAGGCGCAGACTGTTGACGACCTTAACACCCCTGGCGAAGAAGGTGAATTCTTGGAAGTTAATGACCTGAATGACAAAGGTGAAGAGCATGTCGTTGAAATCAGAGAATGTCCAATTTGCCATCAACCTAGACTCAATAAGAGATCTGATACCGACATCATCACCCATATCGCCACATGCGCAAGTCAGGATTGGCGGCAGGTCAATACTATTGTTATGGCTGGATTTGTCACTTCGAGTCAAGCACAGCGAAAATGGTACTCAAAAGTCATTACCAAAATCTCGTATGGTGGCTACAAGCTTGGTGCCAATTCTGCAAACATTCTTGTTCAAGATCGAATCACTGGTCAAATCAATGAAGAGCGTATGAGTGTTTACGTGAGATTGGGTATTCGATTGCTATATAAAGGACTAAAATCTAGAGATATGGAGAAGAAGAGAAGTAGGTTTGCTTATCATTTATCCAGAATTTGTGTAAAACCCAGAAGAAAGATTACTAACCGTCGTGCAGTTCGAAAACTCTTGAGGGGGTTGAGTTTCAAGCAGGGTGTTAAATATGACGATCCTGCTTCTAAGGATGAGATTGAGAAGTTTATCGCATTTCATCAACTTGATATGAGTGAGGTTCTGTTGCCGTTGAACCAGTTTAAGAGTTTCAATGAGTTCTTTTACAGAGCTTTGAAGCCAGGAGCTAGACCCTGTTCAGCACCTGATAATCCACGAATCATTGTCTCGCCAGCGGACTGCCGGTCAGTTGTTTTCAACAGAATGGACGAAGCAACCAAGATTTGGGTCAAGGGTAGAGAATTCTCCATCGAAAGACTGCTTGGAAATGCTTACCCGGAAGATGCGAAGCGATACAAGAACGGTGCTCTGGGTATCTTCCGTCTCGCACCTCAAGATTACCATCGCTTCCATATCCCAGTGGACGGTGTGATGGGAGAACCAAAACCAATCGATGGCGAATATTACACTGTGAACCCGATGGCTATTCGATCGGCACTGGATGTTTATGGTGAGAATATCAGAGTCGTCGTTCCAATTGACTCCGTCGCTCACGGTCGAGTCATGGTCATCTGTGTTGGTGCTATGATGGTCGGAAGTACAGTCATCACTCGAAAGGCTGGCGAACACGTCAAGAGAGCTGAGGAACTCGGATACTTTAAGTTCGGCGGTAGTACCATCCTGTGTCTCTTCGAAGAGGGGGTCATGAAGTTCGATGACGATCTTGCTGACAACTCTATTACCGCGCTGGAGACTTTGGTAAGTGGAGCATGCACCTGTGACCTTTACATGGCGGCTAACACATGTAGATTCGTGTCGGTATGTCGATTGGACATTCTCCTTCGCAGGAACAACATACGCCTGATATGCGCAAGAATGATGCGGATATTTCGGAGAGTGAAAGGGCTGAAGCGAAAAGGAGGATTGAGGGCAGTATTTCGGGTCCGCCGGTTAGTGCGCCGACGGCTAGTATGGCTGGATAGATGCGTAGTATCTCGTGGAGGAGTGGAGAGATCGAGGAGAGGCTAGGACGTTCAACATGAAGTGCTCGGGTTGGATGGATAGCTGGGATTACGACTATGATTGTCTTTTTTGAGATTTCGCGAATTGAAAGGAGATGAATGTGTTGGATTGTGAAAACGTGAGCGGATGTTTGCATGTGCCATTTCTTGTTTGTGGGGCAAGTGGGATGCGTGGGATGAATACACAGAACCGGGATGGGTCGGGGTAGAGGAGAAAAATATAGAGAATATTGTTTTTATTGAGTGGAAAGATCGGGATTTTAGTAGGAGATGAGGAAATTGAGAAATTCAAAAGGGGTTTTGTGAATTAGGTGGTGATGTGAGATGAGATGTTTGGTGGACGCGAGTGCAGGAAGGCACGAGTGTCTTTCTACTACCTGCCTATGCTCGTGACTGGATGAATCAGGCAAGTAATCTCTTTTGTTGCATATCGCGATTTTTGACGTTCGGGGACCGAAGGGTTGGGGGGGTTGTGTTCGGTGTCCGAGAGAACTGTTTGTGTAACGAGCGATTTTGTTCGGTGTCCGGATTTTCAGGGATATACTCATGTACGGTTGAATCAAACGAAGGTCACAGAGAGCAAGGACTTTAATGAGTTGAACTTGGGTGAGGAGGAGATGGTGGGGTTGAGTTGTTGTGGCGATGGGAATAAAGTAGGTATGCTACTTGCCTTAATTGCCATTTGACATGGCGATGGCGATGGGGATTTGATACGGGGATGACTGGTAGTGAGCATTGTATAAAACTTGAAAGTCTCTACAGACAAGCCAGAGATGAATATTGTTGGTGAATGTCTCTCGGGTTCATTGTTCGACTTTGTTGGTAGACTCCTCGCTCACTCACCTTGAGTTGAATTCGAGCAACATGTACTCAATTGACAAATCGTGTTATATACACTTTGGACAACCAATATAATCTCCTTCGAAAACTCGGCATTAAGGAAGTCTGGAACAATTGGTCAGTGGCAAAAGACATTGACCCGAACAGGTAGGATTTATAGTTGATATGGCTTTCAGAAGGATAGGCGTTGCGAGCGGCACGGGGTAGGTGATAGATTACTACGCGTGATGATGCAGTTGGCATTATTGGCAGGCGATTGGAGAGGCAGACTCGAGGATCAAAATTGGTTAATTTGGCGAGATGCACGAAGTGAGGTTTGTGCTACAGAGGGAGGCAAAAAATCAATATTATATAGCGTCTTACAGATTTCTAAAGATCAGCTACTCTCGATATATCATAGAATGTAATGGGAAAGTTTTTGACGATCTAAATATGGATTGGTAGAAAGGGGGGCAGTCACATGACTTGACCCGCTCGCTTAATCGAGCCTTCTGTTCTCCAAAACATGAAACACGACTTGCGCTCTTGATTCATGCTCAAGGAAACACTCAACCAACCCTCAACTCGTCCGCGCCTTACGTGGTCAGCCTGCGGACAACATCATGCACTTTTCATTTTATCTTTCTAGTGCAGCTCGCTGGCAGCTCCCAAAATGTGGCAAACAAGCTTGACAAACAGACCAACGCAGAAGCCAGCTCAGAGTTTCTTCGGCACATCTCCCACACCTTTACAGAGTAAGACGCCTCATGAAGACTGATCTCGGCACGATCCGAGCATAAACTTCGACAACAAATTTCCACGGCGCCAACTGAGTTCTAACCGATCGGTTGGCACCACTATTTCATCCCACCATAAGAAATTCTCCGCAAGGGGAGCAACCTTCATTCGCCTCCCGCAGCCCCTGACCTAAGCGATCAGCCACTCACAACTACGCAACACCTACACGATTAACGAACTTGAGACTGGCACGTTCGCGAATAAGCTGTCTTCACGACGACTTCGCATGAATGAACTAACAAACGCAGATGTTTCAATGTTCCGGTTCGGGACGATGGAGGATCTAGCCCTAGGACTTTTCGTCCCAAGTCTACGTCCAAGGCAGTTTCTTCAGATGGGTTTGTTGGGTTCATTTTGGAGGTTTCATGGAATCGGCCTATCAGAATGGGTATGTGTTTGTCGAAGGCATTAATTTATTTGGATATAGCAACATGGATGGCAATTGCTTCAATGTGTGGGAGGATACGATTGGCTAGTGGCCTTTAATTCGTCTGGTCTCGAGTGAGGCATCTGCATTTTTTGCTTGTTGCTATCTCTCTTGGTGCAACTCCCGAGCTCAATTCGAACGCTCCAGTCCATTTGTTTGCCCCTTTCGTTTCCTCCCCAGCAGTTCATCTCTTCTATAAGATGTTTGCGATGATCCGTCGATCACATTCAAACTCCCCGAGATCATCCTCCCACTTCACATAATCCCAATCGAGCTTCGGCCCCCCACTGTCCTTAAAATGTATCACTCACTCATTATCACACTCATTTCAATCATCACCCTCCTCCCCTCCACATACGCCTCAGACCCAGAAACCATCCCAGGCTTCTCCGTAGTCTGGTCCGACTCCTTCAGCGGCTCCTCCATCGACTCCTCAAAATGGACCACCTACACGGGCTCCGTCTACAACAAAGAACAACAAAAATACACCACCTCTTCCAGTAACTGCGCCCTCTCAGGCAGCGGCACCCTCCTCATCACTCCTCAAAAAGACTCCTCCGGCGCCTGGACATCCTGCAAACTCGAGTCCAAACCCGCCTTCGCCGCCGACGCCGGCGGCCAGATAATCGTACAATCACGCTTCAAGCTAGGCCGTCCCGGCGCGCAACTCCAGGGGATCTGGCCCGCGTTCTGGAGTCTCGGCCAGGTGATGCGTGAAGGCGTAGGCTGGCCTCAATGCGGCGAAATCGACACCTTTGAGAACATCAACGGGAGCCCGCTAGGGCTTGGAACGATCCATTGCGGTGCTGCGTGTAATGATCCAACCGGTCTATCCCAGGGTATCGCGTTTGATTACGGGAATTTCCATACCTGGGCGCATGCCATTGATCTCAGAAGCGGGGATTGGACGCAGCAGAGTATCACTTGGTATATGGATGGACAGGCGTACAATTTCAAGAAGGGGAGTGATGTGGGTGATGAGGCGGCTTGGGGGGCGTTGGCGCAGAAGGCTATGTATATGCAGCTTAATGTGGCGGTTGGGGGGGAGTGGCCGGGAAATGCGGCGGCGGATACGGTTAGCGGTGCGGATGCGGGGATGGAGGTGTTGTATGTTGGGGTTTATAAGTCGAATTGAGGACTGGATCTTCTTGGTGGAGGGGATGGCGGAGATATACCCGGGTTGGTTGGAAAACGATACCCATTTGCTGTTCAAGTTGTTCTTGTATATAATTAGGAAAAGACCTATGATTAACGTTTTCGTCACATTCTTTACTATAAGATGCCTTACTTTTAATGTCTATACGCCCAAAATGTTATGATATCCTTACATACCACCCACCCTCCTCAATCCAACAACATTCACAGTAGTAACCTGAATAATTAACTAATATACCAGCAACCCTACCTCCCCAACTCTCTCAGACACCCTGTTTAACCATCCTCAACACTTTATATAAACCCATTACCATACTAACTCCAACCCCTCCTTCACCAACCCCCAAAATCTCCTTCCACTCCCTCCTCCTACCTCCCCTCCCTCAAAACCAGTACTTATAACCCAATTCCCATTCACCACATCCCTCTCCTCCTCAGCTCCACCCAAATCTAAAAACCTCATATAAATATCAACTCACCTTCTTCTCCCACCAATAAGAGCCTATTCCACCAGCTCCCCCGAGCGAACTGGTTCTAGGTAGATCACCATGACTATCTATCTGCGAGCAGAACTTATGGGAAGATAATCACCTGCTACACGTCAGAGAGCAGCGAACGAAGGTCTGAAATTATGTACTGCGCGTTAGAAAGGAGGGGTCGTGAAGGATACTCTTGTTTTTCTTTTTTTTGGACTTTATCCTCCTGTCTTAGACGAACTCCAGTATACTGAATTCTTTATGTAAAATCAATCCACGTAAACCTCTGGAGAGGTTGGGTATCTTTGAATTACACGGCTGGTTTTGCTTTAGATGTGGTCAAAGTTGTGGTGCTGATAGGACACTTGTGAGGCGCATGTCGATATGTGCATGTATGAAAAGAAGTAATTTTAAGTGTCGTGGAATGATGCCGATTGATTTGGCACTTATGTGCAGGAAATCTGGATGACCGTTTCAGCCTGATATGTTGTAAATATTATACGAAAAACTATAATTCGTTCAATTGAATGTGGGTTCTGGGTCAATGTCGATTGAGAGGAGCTTTTTTCTACAAAGATGACAATGCACAGTAAAAACAGTAGTAGCTACTGGCTACGCGCCGTTTGTCGGACTTTTACAGGTGTCTTGATTCAAATGAATAGCTCACAGAACTCACAAATTATGGTGAAGAAATGCTGACCGTATGAAGTACCCACCCTATGATTTAAACATCCTTCGCAACATGAGTCCAACATCTCTTTATTCAACTACTTCCTCCCTCCCTCCCAGAACACCAACACCCATCTACCCTACCTCCTTTCCTCATCCCCCCCTAAGAACCATACTCCTTAACCCTAGTATTAACAATCTCCCCACCCTCAATATACGCCGTCTGCGTCCCAATCTGCACATCCACCCTCTTCTGATCATTCCAGCCCTCCTCAAACGCCACAACCTTATCGTTCCAATCCGGATCACTCAGCATATCGCGAACCTTCTGCGGGTCGGAGACATAGTAGTTGACTACCGCGTCGTAGGGCGCCATGGTCCAACCCTCGGCACAGCCGCCTTTGAGCTGGTCGAGGTCGGCTTGGAACATGGCTTTGAAGGTTGAGGGGGTGAAATACTGGCGGTTTGTTAATGGATGTTTGGTTCAAATGGAGATTTTGGGGGCTTACCACTTCGCAGCGGTCGATTCCGTGCTTGTGGGCGACGGTGATGAAGCGGGGAATTTGTTCCTCGATATACCACTTGGTCCAAGTCTCTTCGTCCTTTGACTCGTCTCGAAAGTGTAGCACAGAGACTTTGAGTAAAGTAGCAGGTTGTTCAGCCATGATGTCGAAAGAGCTTGTGGTAGTGGCGTGTTTTTCTTGGTACTTGGCAATGAGGGGATCTTTGTAGATGTTGTTTGGGATTCAGAAGCTTATATTTTCATAAGAACTGTTGGTGGCTCAGCTTCAAACGTTTGTTATGTTGGTCTCATTTATCCAACATCCACTCATGTCAAACCAACACAGGCTGTTAGCTTAACGAAGTAGGTGCATTGACACAAATAACCAACTTGAAGCGAGTTAGAATTCCTCGAATCCCAACATTTACCAAAGACTCCTAAAGTGTGTCTTTCAACAATCGGTGAGAATTGCCTCCGAGTCTCGATAGTGAAGTGAGTGTTGATGAATAGTTTGCTTAGAACCATTTGATCATGTTACGCTTTGCTGAAATTTATCATAGTCAACATTCAAACGAAAGTACCAAAACTGGTCATAATAGCGACAAAAAACCACAAGCACATCCAGCAAATCAACCATGGCCTTCCACGCTCTCCTCCGTGTAACTCCTCTCCTCTCAGCCACCAGTTCCCTCACCTTCGCTTTTTGCGAAGACACATTCATTCGCCCTCTTATTCACAATGGCTCCTCAAAGACCGAGAAGGAGGCACGTCGACGTGCCAATAGCATCCTACCATCACACGGGCGTTGGACACAGCGCGGCCTTGTCTTCATCTTTATCACCTATCCAATCAGCATCGCAACCGCGGCAGCAAACTTGGCCCGACCTGACGAACATTTAGGTATATCAACTGAAGCATCTGATAATGCTCGTGTTGCTAGGGTGTTTTATCTGGCTGGTCTTTGCTTCAGCGTACTTCATTTCTTTTTTGGGCATAGCTCTATGGCTTGTTTGAAACGAGTTGCGGAGAACAAAGGAGTCGAAGGGGACGAGAAAGCTGACAATACGGCTAGCATGATATTATGGTTGAGAATCAATGTGATTAGAGGTTTGGTGGCTGATCTTCCATCTTGGATCTGTTACTTGGTCGCGTTTATGTATGCTACGAATTGAAACTCGATCTTTCGTGTATTACAAGTCATCAAATTAAAGAGATTCCATTGCGATGTATTGTGAACATTTATTCCAATTAACCGGGCTGATAATGGCGTTGAATTCCAGTCCAATATATGTGTTTTCAGAAGTCTCGTGTTCATGGCAGCTGCTAAGACTAAGAATTTAAAAGCTTGACTGAATAGTAGTTGTTAAGCAGTCATCGTCTGGAAGTAAGCATAAACAATTCACACCCAACTCTCACCTCCGTCGAGATCTTGGAGTATTTAAGGCATTGCTGTTGACAGAGCCGACGTGTGTAATTCGGACAGCATGGATCTCGATTGCATTGTGACAATATGGGCCTTGTGAATTTTCGATCAAGTAGCTAAAAGACATCATATCTTGTTGGGTGTTGAAGTAGTATTTTCAACCTAAAAAGTGAGCTAAGAACTACCACCATGTTCTAAGCAACTATTTTTCAAGCTTATTCTCATTACTACCAACACCATCTTGTTGACGTTCCAACGGTCTCTCAGTGATATCTGTCCTTGAAAGCATTTCCATGGCGGAATGGTATCTATTGAATCGTCGAAAATATGAAAAACAACAAACCCGAGAGAAAAGATATACGGACATGTTCAAAGTTGGATGTGTAAATCCTTAGTACACGACCACTTAGCAACACAAGCATGGATTACCCAATTCGTTTGGGGACTGACCTAACATCGAACCAACATGTCCCCTCGATCACCTCGACCGGGAAAATCATACTATTCGATGCTGGTAGATGAATATCATTCTTATTCGTCTCTACTTGCTTTAGTCTGTTTTCAAACTGCTATATCGCAAAGTACGGGATCGATTATCACGTGTAGTGAGTATGTAGCTTTCATCCTTCGAACGAGACCCTGGAGAGATTTGCCTCGATTAGCTTTATGTTTTACATTTTACATGATGTATTAGGTCACCAATGATCATCATTCACTGTAAATCAGAGAAATAGAAAGTCAATAAAACTACTGTATCATCCATGCCCAAGATGAAAACCACCCAGCAAGAAAAACTTGTGTATAGACCCATCTATACAGCTTATGACGCCATACAGACCGTAAGTATTCAATAGCGTCTCGTGCTTATTGACAAGGCAACTTTAGGTGCTGACCAGCGAAGTTTGAAACTGGCTGATAAAGCCGCTTGAATTGGGAAGTAGATAAGATTATATGGAAGAAGCGAAGCACAAAACAACAGCGACAACGCAAATTTAAATTTTTTTTCACAACGCGCTTAGAGCTTAGAAACAAACACAATGTGAACACCTATATCTCCCTCTTTTCCACCAATCATCCTTTACACCATCGCGGCGTATTCAATAAGGATTCGCTAAACCACACAACCCCCCTCGCTTAACCACCCATCTAAGCCTCAGCCCCCTTTTATGTACACAGGTACATGTAACCACCCACCACACCTTTCCCATCTAAAAAAAAGTCGTGCTCCAAGCCCCCAGCACACCTCATGGCTAACAGCTTCTCGAAGCACCCAAAGGAATCGCGGCACGAACCCTGAAACATGAGGCTCATCCCTCCCCCGCCGCATCTCATAAGAAACATTTGTCTATGTATACGTCCCCCAAACCCCAGATTGATTGCGCTCAAATTCCTACGAAACAAGAAGTCGAGATGTTACAACCACAACCAACCGACCCCTTCTCCTGGCTCCGAATCACACAATACATCCTCTGGTCCTTCGAATTCGTCGTTCTCTCAATCTTGGAACTCGGACTTTTCTTTCGCGTGACGAGTCGACTTTCAGATGGATCGGGCCAGGTGTGGACGTACGTTTCCTTTCCCTATTTCGAAAAGTGCAATGGCTGATTCTTTTGGGACAGATTGGTGTATCTAATATTCGGCCTAATAGTCTGGACGCTCATGCTCCCCGAACTCATTCTCCTCTCCGTAAACCGCATCTCGCCGCTCCAATACACCACCACACAACTGCTCAAACTCGCGATCCTGGTAGGCGAGTTTCTGAGTTCAGGGCTAGAGTTCAATATCTCTTCAGATCTTATAATAGTATCATCAATCTTCTTGTAAGCCCCTCCTACTTAACCATCTGAACCGCACTAACGAGAACAGCACACCATTCATTCTCTCAATAATCTGTGGCTATCTCAGTCTCCCTAAAGGAAGCCAAGGGGAAGAGGAGTATGACCGCGATGGCAGAAAACGAGGGATTAGTTTTGGTGAGGTGCAGGATGCGTTTGATGAGGAGTGGTTGGAACGGAGGAGAGAACGACAGCCTTTGATTGGGAGGAGAGCTAGCATTTTGACCGTTTGAGTGCGTGGGAATTCGGCGTTCTTTTGGAGTTTGCGTGATACCCTGGGAATTCTAGTGTGTATGTGGAGATCGATGGAGATTTGTACATGTACGGAGAAGGACAGATGAAAGGTGTGTATATTTATAGAAGGCCATCTCTGTGCCCTAATTTCAGTAGTTGTGTGCCTGACATTATCATTTTGTCCTGGTTCGTTCAAAATCTGTCACTGTCAAGATAAAGAATATCCTGATCTGAGTAGTACCCAGGAAATATTTGAATGTAGAACAAGCAGCATTATAAACCATGCATTAAATAAATATGTTAATTACATATATCTAGAGAGCATTCAGTATAATATTCATCCCCTAGACATGATGAGCTCAACGCTCTTGCCGCTCTGGAAATTCAGATCTTTACCATTCATTCTGCTCCCTCAATTCAATACTACAGTAACCGTGCACTGCTACTGTCTAAAACCGCGTTTTTTCGTGATCTGTCGCGTCTTACCACCTTCACACCTTTTATTAATATTATAACTATGTTGCCTCCACGCTAGCCTATAACTCCTATTACTCTAAATCGTCAGTTTAATGGTCAATTAAGCCCTAGAAGTCGTATCAAGATTATAGAACGTTATAATTATAGTTTTACTCCTACCGCAATCGTACTCGGTTTTAACCTAATCGATAAGACGGTACGCTACACACTTGAATAAAGTACTCAACACGCTAACCACGTTACCCTACCTAAGAAACCCCGGAAAAAGAGCTATATATATGTCGAAGAGCGAAATATACTTCGATACGTACGAATAAACCCGAAAGCGACCTACGCCTAGGTCAAATCCGAGGTTAGGCTCGAATGTTCGACTATAACTATTAAGCGCGTTCTAGCCGCTAATAGGATTATAAATTGGCGTGTAAAGCGTCGTCCTTTTCTTACCGATAAACATGCCCGTCAAAGACTTACCTAGTACCTTCGCTACTAAGGTTATACTACTGAGGAATAGGGGTTATTCATGTGGAGCGACGAGTGTTCTGTAGAGCGTAGGCGGGGTAAGGCGCAGGAATGGGTTTTTCGTAACGCCGCCTAGAAATAGAATAAAGAGATGATTTAAACTTATAAAGTAAGTCGAGATATTAGTATAATAGTCTAGGGCTACTTTTAGGACAATAGGAGGTCTAATTTGTACGTCTTAGACCGAGATTTTAAGTCGAAAAAACATAGTTATTCCGCCAACTCCTACCTAGACGTTTTAAATGCCTAGGTAGGCCCCTAGTACGACAAACTCGACGACAATAGATATATTTTTATATAGGATAATACCGCTATTTATACTACTATTAAGGTCCGAGAATAGTTCTAGGAAAGGGGGATAAGGGTGATTAATTGGCCGCCTTACTCGCCAGATCTTAATCCGATTAAGCACATCTAGTAGGTACTTAAAAGAATAGTTACAGAGGAGTACCTACACCTCGTAGGCGCCGGTGAGGACGATATTAAGGAATTATAAGAGGCATTAAAGGATTGCTGGGCCAGAATACCTAAAGAAACCTTCGATACACTATATGAGAGTATACCTAGGAGGGTAGCTGCGTGTATTAAGGCGTAAGGCTGGCACACTAAATATTAGGTGTAAGAAATTTCATAAAAATGTAAAAAAAAATCGCAAAATGATCGCCGACACTGTACAAATCTACTAATAAAGTCGGTATATCAATAGCTTCAATATTGAGTGATTTATTTGGATTAATAGTGCTGGTGTAAAATGTACTGGTGGGGTAAAATAAGCGAAATAGACAGTAGCAGTGACCTAGTACTGTATCCCCGTGTGTATATTACAGTCAATTCATCTACACCGTATCCATCTGATCGCGATAAAAGCACAAGAAATCTGACAGGTACCATGCGATTAAGTCATGTGAATAAACAATTAAAGGCTCCGAATGAGGCAAGAAGTTCATGCAGCTTAGTATATACCTCGTGCAGGTCTTCCGCGTCCTCTGCCTCTACCACGACCTCGCCCACCAGTAGCCACAGGTGCCCGAATTGGTTTTGGGGTCCTGCGCACAGCAGGAATACTAGCATCACTATCCGAGTCGTCGGAATCAGATGATTCCAAGACTAAGCTTCGACGGCCTTCACCTTCCGATGCCTGCTCTTCTGATTCGTTAGTTATCGATCTTCTAGACTCATATTCTGATTCCGTTTTGGTGCTCATAAGACGCACAACAGTAGGTTTTTTCTTTACAACTTGGGGTGGTGGATCTGCTACCGCTGCGACAGGTTTGATTGGTGAAAGCCTGATGGCCGTTGGTTCTGGAGTCGACCCAGACCCAGAATCGAGCCCCCCAGAAGAATTTTTCTCATCATTCCAACCTGCGGATGTGGTGGCGCTCAGACTTCTGATTACAACAGGACGTTGAGTAATCACTGTATTAGCTCCGTTGATTGTAGATGGCGAGTTTTCATTGGAGCTCGTTGGTTTCGCCGCCACAATTTTGGCGGCTTTTCCTTTCAATGCAAGCCTTTCTTTCAGGGAAAGCATTTTTGGAGCTCGAGTTGAATTCGATACAACTACCTCAGGCGTAGGAGATTGAATAGTCGCGGCGACGTGCTTGGGCGGTCTACCCCTACGTTTTGGGACTGAAACTGGGGCAAAATCAGACATATTACCGTCGAGTTGAGAAATCTCCACGCTGGGATAATCTTCAACAGAGGCTGGTTGATTGGACTTGGTAGTCAACTTGACGGTTGATGCTGGTCCATCACTGCCGTCCCTCTCATTTGGCTCACCGAAGAGACTATCAACATCCAACTCAACGCCTCCAGCCTCATTGTCATCCGACTGTGCAGACGAAATCTCCATAGGCTGCATTCGGACGGTTGAGATTTTCTTTGGACGACCACGACCCTTCTTTGGGGGAGCACTGGCATGGAACTCATCATCCTGGTCATCAGCATCGCTGTGAAATCCATTGGTATCAACAGATTTTCTAGGACGTCCTCGGCCGCGCTTCGGAGGAGCACTAGCACGGAATTCTCCCTCATCCCCGCCTTCGTCTTCTTCTCCAGATGAGCGCTCGCTGCGGTCGGCTTGCGAGCCATCGGATGATATGTCTATAGCATTAGAGTCCATGGATCTCTTGGAACGGCGTCTTCGCTTTCGATCAGAAATTGGAGCATCATTGTTCTCGCCAGCTGCTTCCCGTGCCTCCTTTCTTGCTAGCCATGCCGATTTTCTTGGAGGTTTAACTTTGGGTGTAGAAGCAGCAGGAGACTCTTCCTGATTTCTACGCAAGCTTTTTCGTGGTGTCGGACCCCTTTCTCTAGTCATAGACTTCGTGGCGCGTCGCTTTGCTTCAGCAGCGAGTTCTGCTTCACTCTTGACCCTTACAGCAACAATATCGTCCGCACCGTATGGTAGAGCTTCTTCTCCCACGTCAGTATAGACCTTTGGTACTACTGCTCTGCGTGGCGGTTTGCGTTCAGCAGACTCGTCAACCGGAGCGCCTCCCAGATCTGTTCCAAAATCTTTTGCAACACTTTTCCTCGATTTTGCAAGCTCTCTCTGTCTTTTAGAGGTAAAGAATTCTAGATCCTCGTCCTCTTCCAATCTCTTACGCTTCTTGACCTCGACAACCTCTGGTACTAGATCTGACAATGCCATGTTGACGTTTTGAGTTGTAGCAACTGGCTCTGGAGGGCCATCGGGATTAGGGGCGGTGAATAGAATCTTATCAACGCCATCACCTTGCCTCAAGTAACCTTGACCCATCAACGGCCTGTCCTGGTCAAGATGTGAAGGGTCGGGATAGTATTCTGGTGGCGGAGGAGCCATCATTGGCGCTTCGGGGGCAACGGTTGGAGCAGTCATTTGCGCTTCGGGTGCCAGGAGTTTGGATGGATAATTGGTGCCTTGATGGTTATAAGGATCGTACTCGTCAAATTCATAATGCCCATCCATCATCCATTCCGGCTGCTGTTGTTGCTCTTCTGATCTCTCGTAGCCATTGCTGTCCATTTCATTGCCATTATCGGCTGCCTCCATTGGCGTGTGGTGGTCGTCGTAGTTGCCGTTTACCTGTGGCAATGTAACTGTTCCCGAACCTCCAACATCGCGGAGAGCCGGATCGATATCTTGCATGTCGTCCCTCTGTTGCTCGTCCGCTGGAGGTGCCCCAATGAAAGGGTCTTGCTGCACACCATCTTCCAGATAACTCTCGTTGACGGTGTCAATGCGAGCCTTATCGGCCTCCGCCTTCTCCTTAAGCTTCTGCATCCTTGCAGATTCTTGGGGATTTTCGTCGCCTTCATTACGAAGCCAAACCAGATTGGTTTTCGAGAAGTCAACAAGACTCTCAACGCTTCTGACATCAGCCACAAGTCTTGTGTCGTGCCCAAGCAGAGTTCCCTTGGGTGCATAAGGAGTTTGAGTGTCAGACTTTCTACATTTTCCACACGAGCAGATCTTCAAGCACTTCGGACACTGCCAATCCTTGTCCTCCATTACGGTCTGGGGCATGAGATCGAATGCTCTCCACAGAGTGCCGTAGCAATAAGCATTCCTGCAAGTGCTACAGAAAGCTAATTTCCAATTGAAATCCCGATGAAAGCAGATATGGCAAGATGTGGAATTATGCTTTTCGACCCCGGCCGGCCTACTTTTGCCATGCCTTGAAAATTTACTTCGTTTTCTGTTCTTGGGTCTTCCATTGTCATCAACCTCTGGCTCCACATCCGACATTCCAGGAGAAGGTTCTCGTGCTTCTGGGTTTTTGACGTCTTTCCAAGGTCTTATCTTCAGCTGCTCCTGGCATACCTCCGCAATAGGCTTTTTCCCGTAACGTTTCCTGGCAATTTCAATAGGTTGTGGGGATCTCTGTACATCGAAGAATCCGTCTGACTGAACAACAATATTGCGCCATCGCTCATAGTTTTGAAGGAGGTCGGACCACTTCCATTGCTCAACCCAACTGAGGTTTGATATGCAAGCACAAGAGCGGCCCATAGCGTAGCAGTCCATACAAACATCATACGTATCCTCCTCTCCCTTGGGACCGTATTCTATGCAGGATTTACAGGTCAGGAAGCGGTTAAAAATGTTGCAACGGCAGTAAGAACAAGTAACGTTAGAGTCGTACTCCAGAAATTCCACATCGGTTTCCTCGGGTAGCCTTGGAGAAAACATCTCGCTTACGAGGACTTCGGAGAATAAGAGAAATAATCGTTTGAAGTCATCAAGGACTTGTTTGATCCGGCCATACTTCCACATTTTCGGTTCTATGGTATCTCTCTGCAGCAGATCGTAATACTTCATCAAAGTGTAGTAGATTATCGCCTTAGTCTTGTACTGTTCATCGCGACAAACCATTCGTGCACGTGGCAGAGCTTCGTGAATCGCCAATTCGAGGGTATCAACGGTCGTCCTGTTCCAGGCGGCCTTCATAGTTCGTGTGCCGCGATTCCAGACTTGATGTGGTGCCAAAGGCGGTATAAGGATCAAATCACCAACCTTTTGCTCAACAACGTAAACATTAAATGGTGCCTTCTTCCAGGCATTTAGTTGCGCAAAATGCTTCTCGACTTCGATATCGTGTCCAAGCATAGAAAGGAAATACTCCGAAACAACTTGTCGCTCCTTGGTCTCAGTCATAAACCAGATCGAACTGCCAGCTTTCTCTCCTTTGCTGTCTTCGGAAGCTTCCACCATGATGTTCTGACCCAGACTAGCGCACATTTCTCGATGCGCTGGCGTGTACGTCCCTTCGTGTCCTATGTAGCACATCATGTTTTGCGCACGCATTTCTGGCGGGAGGCTGCTCATCAAGTCTCCAGCAGGTGCCACGCCTTTACCATAAACCATTTGTCCATATTCATTGGGCTCCCGCACGGCGCCGTCCCCACCTGTCCGCGATTCGATGCACTCATTTAAGTAATAGACCGATTCGGGGATGACGCTGGACAGATGCTGTGCCCACTCCTCCGGACAATCGATATCTTTCAGGTATAGGCGCTGTCTCTTAGGATCGCGGTAGTTGGGCGAGGAAAACTGTGTTGTGAGCTGGCCCATGGATCGCAAGTAATGGCCCATGCTCATGGGGATATCGACCGCATTGGAGATATCCCAAACCTTCTCAGCTACATCGGAATTAGCACAGGCTGTCAATGTGACAACAATCCTACCACTCACGATTTTTGCCGAGGTTATTTTCAAGCCATTGTTTCGAAAACAGATCTCTAGGAAGAGCATTTCCCCAGTCCTCGATGATGAGCGGCCGACCAGCTTGAATGACGACTGCCAAAACCAGCGCCTCAAAAGTTTGTATAGAATGCTCTTTTAGTTCCTCGGTCGACACTCTCCTAACATAATCGAAATTAGGGGCGTTCTCGACTAGGGCAGCTACGTCAAAGTCTGGCGATATGGGCACAAATTGCGCCTGCGGATGGGTTTGGGAAGGCATTTACACGCGCGGGCAGCACTTTTCGCGGTTTCGAAGATTCGTTACTCCACATTGCCTCGGTAGTTCCAATGCATGTTACTATCGCAATATGTATGTTAGTTAAAATTCGATATCAGAAGGAGGGCTTCTGTCATCCGTCGGAGCTGTGAAAATCCCAAAGCTCGCCACCATGTTCGGCGGAAGCCTTCGTGGTGAGTACAATATGGGAATCGCGTGAAATGCGCGTGTCCCCATGTGCGCAAACGGAGCCAGACAGCGCCAGAGGTAGATAGCGAACACGGGCATACTCACAAGAAGCACTGTTTGCTGGTGCGGATCGAAGGAAGCCGCAAGCTCGAGTACGTTGGTGCAATTTAACTGCGAGAAGATGTTGCTGCAGCGAGTCGCAGAAGGTGGTGGAGTCGTAAACGGTTATATCGCCAAGAATTATCACTTTCTGGGTCGGGCGACGCGGGATGCTACGGTAGGCAGGATGTGCGTTTAAGCCAGTAGTCTCGGAATAACAGCTTCACCTTTACTTTGACCTCTTGTAAACCTCACTTTTTCTTCATTAGTGATATTATATTGTCACATCCAAAACTATATATCAACAATTACAATGCACACATCACAGATGTAATGCAAAAATGAACCTTAAAAATGAAAGTCTTCTAGATCTTGTTCTCCACACTTTCGAAGGTGACCAGTACGTTGTCAATGTGGTCGGCATGTCGTCTGCCGTAGGCTTGGCATCAGTCGCGGATAGTTCTTCTGCTTTGAAACAGAGACTCAAAATATTCTGGTTGCTAGAACTTCAAATGACTTGCTTTCTCTCTTGATACATCGGAAGGGGTGCGAAGGAGCCGCAGCGAAGTGTGTCTGTGATTGTGAGGCAAATCTGAGCGGATCAAGTGGAAAATCCATAACTGTACGATTCTGTGGCCCCTTTAGCAACCTTGGAGTTTATTATTGACGCTGACGGTTTTACAGGTAATATATACATGTGACATTATGTCGTCTTTTTCACTTTTAAGACTTTCAGGCGGCTGTAGAAGTCATGTTCTGAGGAAGTCGTCCGAAGGTCGCTCAATTTTCCAGAAAAGAAGTCATGCTTGGATAGTGAGAAAGAGTCCATTAAGTCCAGTCTGCAAGTACAAAAATATATCACAACTTGGATCACAGCAACGGTTTTTCCACAATTCGCATATCAAAGCTGCTACAACTACTCTTAAAGATGCCGGCATTAAAACAGACGATCGCTCACAAAAGGGAGCATTAAGTAGTCCGCCAGCACCTTATACGACCCCAAAGACTGGATTACTGTCAATACTTCCCTCGTCATGGGTTCCATACGCAGAGCTCATCAGACTTGATAAGCCAACTGGAACCTACTACCTTTTCTTCCCTTGTCTCTTCTCGACACTCCTTGCTGCACCCATGGCTGTTCCTATGGCATCGCCTCTGTCAGTGGTTGGCACTTCGCTCCTTTTCTTCAGTGGCGCACTCATCATGCGAGGAGCTGGATGCACCATCAACGATCTTTGGGATCGCAACCTCGACCCTCATGTTGCACGAACACGGCTTCGTCCTATTGCACGTGGTGCAGTAACCCCTTTTAACGCGCTTGTCTTTACCGGCGCTCAACTTTTGACTGGACTTGGTATTCTCGTTCAATTCCCAACACAATGTCTCTTTTACGGCATTCCTAGTCTGCTCCTCGTCGCCTCATATCCTCTTGCAAAAAGAGTAACTTACTACCCACAATTCGTCCTAGGGCTCACTTTCTCATGGGGTGCGATGATGGGATTTCCCGCGTTGGGAGTGGATCTTCTGCAAAACAATGCGGCATTAGCAGCGGCAACATGCCTCTATACATCGAATATCGCGTGGACCGTGTTGTACGACATGATATATGCGCATATGGATATCAAAGACGATGCGAAAGCTGGAATCAAAAGTATTGCTTTACGGCACGACGCCCAAACGAAACAAATTTTGAGCGGTCTAGCTGTTACCCAAATCGGACTATTAGCAGCTGCTGGTGTTGCGGCAGGCGCTGGCCCTGTTTTCTTCGTTGGGGGTTGTGGTGGTGCAGCCCTCACACTAGCTGTGATGATCAAAAGGGTCAATCTAAAAAGCGTCAAAGATTGTTGGTGGTGGTTTGTTAACGGTTGTCTCCTCACCGGAGGGGTCATCTCAGCCGGCCTAGGAGGCGACTATCTTTTGCGGTATTACCAGCTCGAGGACAAGAAGAAAATTCGAGAGGAGGTTGTATAACACCACTCGTCTTCATGTATTAGTATTAGACGTCCTATCACAAGCTAGAATCGAGGGTGAGCAGCCTGCCCCTGTAATAAATAATCTTAGAATATCTAGATGCTCAACAATTCCGGTACTCACTGGCAAGAGCCGTCCCTACCGGGAGATGGACCCTGTTTCCAAAAGCCAAAACGATCTAGTTCAGTCTGGTTCAAGGCAAAGAAGACCAGTATGTGAGCCAGCATCATCGCAGGGCCACTTCCAAGCAGGAAAATGTAATTCTGCATTGAAACCAAGACAAATTGGGGAAAGTCCTGAATGAGAACGAAGGGCTCATCTCCACCAAATTCAAGACCAAGGCATTACGATCAGAGTACTTCCGAATGAATAATAGTCTTTTACGTGACTGATATTCAGGGTAGGTAGTTTGAATGAAAGATTCTGCCTCCAGAATGTAACACGAAAGGTATTTTGAGGCTTGTTGAAGTACCGCAGCCGGCCCGCATGATACGTCATGTGAATCATTCCTTGGCTTCTCCAGATTTCCAACGGAGCTTGGGCCTGGAGATCAGGTCCGTCGGAGGAGAATAATCTGTGTACATGATGTGAACAACACTACACTCGAGTCCTTGGGCTTGGTTTCATGAAGCCCGCGTCTATTCAAGCCGCTTTATTCGACGAATATACCGGGTCGCTTGGTACACATGTGGCATTCCGCTGTAAATGGGTGCATCCGCATCGCACTCACAAGCAGGGTGCTGAGTGAGTTGCCGGGTCAGCGACATATCCGATCATGAATTGTCCGACGAGCCACAACTCTTTCTCTTTTCTGCACTTGACAAACACAAATCCTATCGATTCTTGAAACCAAAGCTTTGCACCCCAGATCAGTACTTTGCAGAACTGGAAAGTCTCGAAACTCTTACAACACTAAAATCTATTGGTCTTGGGCCCCTACTACGACTCGCCCCTCGATCAGCGCATCATCTTTTGATTCTACTCGGCACACTAGCAAATACGTCATACCTTCCGTTGCAGCCGTTTTCATACCACACCACACCTACGCGCATTTAAAGGAAGACCAACCTCCTACACACCAAGAGAACTCTAATTCAATCTCACATACTCCTCACTTTTCAGCCTCCTTCACCTATACCCTCGCAAATCGATTTTCACCAAGCAAACCTCACTACCAAATAAAACATCAAAATGGTCTCAATCGTGCAAGCCATCCTTCGTGGATCCCAGTTCTTATGGACTCTTCTCACAACAGCTTTGATCGGAAACGTCATCGCTGAGGCTTTCGCCGGAAACCCATCGGGCATCAACTATGCCATCTTCACCAGTGTCTTCTGTTGGTTGGTTCTGATCTATGGAGGAGTTGCAGCTTTCATGGAGAGTCTGGCGATCCCAATTGCGCTTCTCGCTATGGACGCGCTCGCTACTCTCTTCACATTCATCGCTGGTGTCGTTCTCGCCGCCAAGCTCACTGTTCACAGCTGCAGCAACCGAGTAAGTGGTAACGATTACCTGCACATGATTTTTATTAATAAACATATAGGGTTACGTTCTAACCAACGGCTACACAAATGGCTCTCACAACCCAGAGAAGAGATGCCGCGAGCTCCAAGCCAGTACCGCATTTTACTGGTTTCTCTTCGCATCTTTCGCTGCTTCTTTGGTCATGACTGCGCTTAGCTCCCGTGGCTCTGGCATAACCGGTCGCGGCGGTATCCGTAAAGGTGGGCCATCCATGAGCCAGGTTTAAAGGAACAGCTGGTAAGCCACAATCCGCTGGTTCCTTGTGTGGCATCAACTTATACATCGATAGGTCTTGGAGTCTGATGCAGGCACGTCAATAAAACCCAGGAAACTTCAAGTCGCGGTTGGACATTATCCCGCGGGCTTTACTACATATACCATTGGGGGATCTTCTTTAATTGGATTACGGCGGATGGAATTGAGCTGGCCAGGCGTTTTTGTATCATGATATTTGGGCTTGGCTTTATAGCGATTGTCACGAGTGTGAGAGACGCATGGAAATTAATAATGTATATACGGTATTGGGGGTGGTAATAGGTTGGGGTAATAAAATCGATCATCATATATCATATTACACTTAGTCTTCTCATCTTGATGTAACCGTTAACTAGAGCCTTGGATTGAGAGCTCGGCACTAACCTCAACCATGCTGGGAACACATATAATGTCTGATCTGTGATGACAGCTTCGATTCAAGCAATCACCTCATCCTTAAGCACAATCTGCATGACATCCAAGCTGGAAACTTAGCGCAAAGCGTGTAGATGTTGAGAGTGATGACAGATGTGGTAATTATATCATGAATGTACTGATATTACTAATAACTGCCCTACTTCCCTGTTGTAGCTTGAATACCTCATCTCAGATATGGGGACTGTCCGAAATCGGAAAATGGCCTATAATACCATTCATCTATAACTTGCTCCGCCTGCTTTTCGACAAAAAGCCGCCGATATATGTGCTTCTGTTCCACTATATATATTTGCATCTCATGAACGCCTCCTACGCCAATATACACAATGCTTTCTCTTCCGCTAATCCAACATCACTCTCAAACATATTCTGCATCGTCGCTTATAGTGTAGCAGCTGCCTCAACAGCACCGGCTGCATTGAAGGCGCCCTTATTCGTAAATCGAACCTCGACTGGGTATTTCCAAGTCATGTACTTTGCCCAGCCTGTAAATAACCAAATCAGCTCAAGATTCATAGCAATCGTATGAGAACAGCCATTCGCGTTCCCGCCACTCAACGCAAGTGAATTACTTACCCCAGTAAGCAAACTTCCTCCCAAAGTATTTCCCGGCATACGGAACAATCACCATTGTTAATAACAGCTCCAGCTGCTGCAATGACGCCTCCCATTCTTTCTGTGCATCCGAGGCTTCTTCTGTAGTTTCGGAGGAAAGGTCGCTGCTGTCTATAGAGGAGGGAAGGGAGTCTACATCGTCGTGGTCGGATGTTGAGGGGGATTCGGTGGGGAGGATATAGGAAGAGGAGGTCGACATTGTGATATTGTATCGGGGTTCCTTGGAGGTTTATTGGGAGGTATATTGTATGCACTATAGCGCTACCAATTCAACAGAAGAGGCATTGAGGACTGCGCAAAATTATTGTGGTTGCAGACTGCAAGTTGTACCTTGAATAGATGCTGTCGAGCTATCATTACTGCCGAGCTTCCAAATGCCGGTCCGCTTCCATCGCCGATTAATCACGTGCAATATGCGGGTTGTGAGTCAACGGGTTCAAGACGTCGAGAGGCAACTTAGCATCGTGAGAAGATCTCTACTACAAAAGCACAAACTCAGCGCAATATTCAAGTCAACGAAGATCATTTAGAACTACACAAATTTACCTGCACGTGAAGGCGCAAATCTATCAACCGCAATCATGGCGAGCGAGGTAGGCTATTTCAAATCTCTACGCATCTCACCCCACCTCATTCTTCCGCACACAACGATTTTTAGTACTAACAACATCAACGATTAGGCAGTACCCATACCCGAGAGGAAAGCCCGGAAATCAGTTGCTTTTAGTGAAGGAACATCGATCGTAGACGAGAACGGTGTGGTCACAATGAAGGAAGACGAGCATGACGATACCAAGAACACGGCTTTGTCGCATTCCGCAAGTACGTTTGTAGACTCCCAATTGCAGGCGGGTTTTGCTGACAATTTGAAGGCCACGATGATGCTGCGGATGCCAAGGAAGAAGACGATGTCGCTGATATGTTGAAGAGCATGAAAAAGAAGAAGAAGAAGGTTAAGACTGAGGATGCGGAGGAGGGCGAGGGCGAGGCTGCCGCTGATGGTGGGCTCGATCTTTCTTCGATGAAAAAGAAGAAGAAGTCCAAGAAGCCAAAGGAGGGAACCGAGGAGGATTTCGCCAAACGTGTTGCTGCACTCGAGTTGGGTGACAATGCTGCCGAGGGCGAGGAGGCCGAATCTGCTGAAGCGGGGGAAGTCGATGAAGGAGATATGGAGAAGGGAACTGGAATATGGCAGCACGACGAGACGAAACAAATCGGCTACGAATTGCTCCTCTCCAGATTTTTCACCCTCCTCGCACAAAAGAACCCAGATCACGCATCCAGCGGCTCAAGGAGTTACAAGATCCCACCTCCACAATGTCTTCGTGAAGGAAACAAGAAGACGATTTTCGCCAATATCGCTGAGATTTGTAAGCGAATGAAGAGAACTGATGAGCACGTTACATCATATCTGTTTGCGGAATTGGGAACGAGCGGTTCCGTGGACGGTAGCAGGCGGTTGGTCATTAAGGGTCGTTTCCAGCAGAAACAGATCGAGAACGTGTTGCGAAGATACATCAGTAAGTCATATCGTTTGAAGCTAGTTCAATGAGCCATGCTAATGTTCTACCAGTGGAATATGTCACTTGCAAAACCTGCAGATCCCCAGATACTGAACTCAACAAAGGAGAGAACAGATTGTACTTCATCACTTGCAACTCTTGCGGTTCCCGACGAAGTGTCACCGCCATCAAGACTGGTTTCTCTGCCCAAGTCGGAAAGCGTCGCAGACAACAAGGTTAAACGATTATTGGCAGGCCAGATTTGATAATCGTGGGGGCCGAGAATTGCTTCGCGCTGTACATCAGACATTTCCTTGGAAGCAAGGTCGCGTTCTTTTGCGATGATGGGATTCTTTGGTATAGCATACAAGCACATAGGTGGTAGACATGCGGGAAATTGAGGAACCTCTACCAAAAGTAGAAGAGATGATGAAATGGGATCACATTTTGTAGATGAGGTTTCTAGGAACTCAATGAGAATTGAAGACAGTTGCAAAATATAAGTGAGGATGAAAGGCTGTCTCTAACATGATACTTTAACATTCCCCAGGTCTCATCCCAAGTATTCCGAGTCACTAGATTAACAATATGTCCATGCTTGAGTCTGACCCCACCGCGCCAAGCGGAGACACAAGACTGTATTTAAGCGCCCGGCTCCCATCAATCCAACGAGGACCCCTCGATTCCACTCCTGACGATGTTCCGTCCACGCCTGCAATTGGCCGAACAATCTACAACTGCACGACGCACCACCTTGATTGGCAACAAGATGGAAATAGACACAGCCCCCAAGTACGTATTGGCTGGGCGCGCTAGGTGGGTTGATCCTGGAATCTGGAGGTGAGCTGTTTCTCGCGCGCGGGAGGATTCGAGCTTCCGTTTTCTTTATTTCTAAGAGTTTTCTTGCTTCTTTGGTATATTTCTAGCTGCGTCTGCCTTTGTTGTGAGTAAGTAATTCATGAGAAAGGAATAAGCTTGGGATCCTACAGATTTAAACTGTCAGACAACGAGGTGAGTCGAGTCAATTGAGAGTGCGGGGTCCTTGGTTCCAGGCTGACTTCTGTTTGCGCCGAGTGTAAGACGGCCTTGGATTTGCAATATTTCTGCAAAAGAACTATTCAGCTGAATTCTAATATTTAGAGAGTAAAGAAGCTCTAAATCACAAACATGTCATACCAATATCCTCGTGAGTGTTACCGGAGTGGTAAATAGAGCTCCTACTCACTGTTTTCAGCCCCTCCAGGTTCTGGCCAGCCGGCGCAACAGGCACCACAACAGCATTATGCTCCTCCTCCTTCAACATCACCGCAACAAGCTCAATACTCATACCCACCTCCACAGCAACAAGGTTCTCCAGCTCACGCTACTTCGTACCCTCCTCCCCCGCAACAGCATGGCTCTCCTCCGCAAGCTCAGTCATACCCACCCCCACCGCAGCAACAACAACAAGCGCCTCAGCAGCAGCAATACACTTCCCCACCAAACTTCTCACAACACCGCACGTCTTACCAACAAGCTCCAGCCCAAGCAGCTCCACAACAGCACCAACAGCAACAAGCAGCACTTCCTTCTTATCAGGAACCGCCCCATAGCTCGGGGTACCCAGAAGAAAAGCCAGCCTTGGACGTGAGCAAGACGAGTAACCTGGATCATGGAGCACCAGCTGCTGGCCATTTCGTGGGCGCCAGCACGACCGTAGATGACATTGGAACTTTCAATGGAGGTAGCTACCGCATTAGCCACAGGGACTCGAACAGTATCGTGACGATTCAGCTTGCTATGGGATGTCCTTTGACTGCTAAGCCAGGTAAGAGATAATTCCTTGGGATTGACGATTCTCAAACTCTGACTCCAATTAGGTGCTATGATTGCAATGACCCCAACCATAACACTCAAAGGAGCAATTAAATTCTCCATGAAGAAGCTCCTCGGCGGCGACATATCAGTTTCCACATATACCGGTCCTGGCGAATTACTCCTCGCGCCAACTGCTCTTGGCGACATTACCAATATCCGACTTTCAGGCGATGAGCAGTGGTCTGTTGGGAAGGATGCGTTTCTTGCCTGCACTCAGGGTGTGGTGAAAGAATATAAGCGACAAGGTATCGGAAAGGCTATGTTTTCCGGAGAAGGTCTGTTTGTATACAAGATAAGTGGAACTGGTATTCTGTGGATTACTAGTTTTGGCGCAATTATTAGGAAAGATGTAAGTATTCATTCTGCGCGGCTGTATCGTTCATACTGACGGTTTCATCAGTTGGCGGATGGTGAGAAGTATATCGTTGATAATGGCCACCTGGTGGCTTGGAACACAAAGTATATACTCGAGCGAGTGGCTTCGGGTGGCATTATTTCCGGGCTCTCTTCTGGGGAAGGATTGGTGTGCAAGTTTACTGGGCCCGGAACTGTATTTTTACAGACTAGGAATCCTGTAAGCCCATCTTTTTACCACATTGGTGGAACCGTACTAAAAAATCCAGGCTGCTTTTGCTATGTGGATGTCTGCGAATGCTGCAACAGCATAAAATGATCTCGAGTGCTTTATTGTTAGTGGCGTCAGTGATTGATATCGGGAAGTTTGGAGTAAGAACTGGGGTATGTAGCGAAATCGATTACGCATGTATGAATCAAAATTGAAATCAGATCATATTCTCCCATCTATTGTTGATTCTTGGTCGTTTGAATCGCTTCGTGGCCTGTCCCGAAAGTACCTTCCTCTTGAAAGGACTGATGGCCGTCGCACCCAGGTGCCGCCTTCCTCATCCTCGGAAATGCTAGCATCGAGCATTCTCAACCCAACCAGACTGTCTGTTTTCTTTTCTCTCATACATACAAAGCGAACGCATCACTACTTGTTCCTGAGAACAACTGCCTTTGGGCACAATTTTGGAAGTGGAAGATTTTGGAAAGATCATTGTTTTTATGGTGACTTCCAGAGTGACCAGGAACACCTCCCGCTCCGACTGAATCTGAGAGATAAGTCAACACGGCGCAAGGATCGTCACGGACAAGGTCAGTACTCGGTTCTTTTATCATGTAAAAGTAACTAACAGGCGAGGCCTACAGCAAAGAAGGACAGCAATCGCACACCATCACCTCTCCCTTAGAGGTTTGATGCCTACGAGAAAGATTTCTAGCTAGTCGTGTTCATCGTCCATCTCTGTGTAGGAGAGGATATCGCAAAAGAAATACATCTGGCACCCACATTTCCTGGCAAACCATGCCTCAAGCTTCTGAGAATCGTCACCCGCGGATCGCTATTCGGTCAACACTAGCTAAGAAACCATCTCGTGTCGCTCTTCGAGAGCCAAAAGCTTCACCGGTTAAAGGAGCTGTCAATGCCAAACCAACCGGAAATGTTGGCCGTGATTCTCCAGCAGGATCCATACGAACCAAGCAACCAGAAAAGCCAAACCTGGGATCACCTACTAAGCGACCTACCAAGGGCTCAGTCGAGACTCCTCCTCCCACCAAGACAAGTCTTCGTTCTACAAAGGCTTTCGTGGTGAAGACATACGAGGTAATTGAGGATGATCTGGCTCCAAGAAATCCTACCAAGGGGTCCGACAATGGACAACACTCTGATCATAGCAGTCACAGTCATCCGGTCTTGGCTATTGGTGGCCTTTCCGAGTCGACCAAGAACATGTTCATGGCACACCAAGGCAAAAAGCAAGCGACACCACCAATTCCGTTAAAAGATCCTCGGAGGAGGCTGCTCGGAACAAATAATACTGATGCTGATGACGAAGGAAGTGAGACCTTCGAAGATTCTATTCGATCCGCCCTCGCCACTCCCGGTACTCACAACTACCACCAGAGAGCCCAGACTCCTACAAGTGTTAAGTCTGTCAGATGGGATCCTGCAGTTGTTTCTGTTGGCCGTATCACTTCAGGAGCGAAGCCGGCATTAGATGACTCGCCATGGGTCTTTCCGCCAAGCACTACCAAGGAGCAGACTAGTATTACAGATGTTCTAAAGACCCTTTCACGGTTGAAGAAAGAGGACCAACAAACGTTACGCGACTACTTGCGAGACTTGGGCTCTCCGGAAAGCGAGGATCGTAGCTCCATTACACAACGGCCAAGCCGAGAAGAAACCAACGAGCGATTTGGTCTGGACGGCATGTTTGCAAAGAAGCTCAACCCAGAGGCCTCAGTGTTTAGGAAGGTTTTAGGCCCAAAGAAGCAGACTGAGAAACAGGAAAACCCAAATACGAATCCTCAATTGGAATCATTGGGTGAAACGAAGCAAGCCCGGGAACCGAACGAACCAGTGGTTGTCACGTCCACACCCCGGAAGGGCCTCAAGATGGATATCCCTCACCGACAGAAAGTCGAGAGAAGCTCCAAAGAACCAACTTGGATCAATATCTACAACCCACCATCTGCCAAAGACATGCCTGCAGGGTTTTCCAATTTTGCCAGCAATCCATTAAATCGTAATGGTCCCGAGTTATCTCAGCCATTGCCGGCGCCTGCTTCCAACCTTATGCCGTTGACCTCTGGGTGGCATGGTGGTCTTTATGATCCACAGCAAACAGTCTGGGTACCGATGCCAATATTCCCTACTCCACATGGTTTTCAGGCTCTTCCAATGATTCCGCCACACCTTTGGAATAACACTTTTAGTCATCGAAACCAGTTGCCCTTCAATGACCAGAACGGGGCAGCGCACAAACGTCCACCATACAATCCACGACGACCTCCACACAAGTCAAAGTCTGCAAATGGTCCTCTCGTGGATGTGTCTCTTGCTAATGTACCTCCGGAATGGGGACCGGGTCGAGTTGCTCAACCCGTCGATGAGGCCTGGGGTCAATCACTGATTAATCAGTTTTCGTCCAAGTATCCACGGACTGGAAAGGTAGACATCAAAGCCAAGTACCAAGCACCGGGTCAAATGAGACAAGCCGCCGCAATCCAACAAGAACTCGAGCTTCTTATCTACACGGAGAAGGAGAAAGCTGCGGCAATGGGGAAGGCTGGCCTTGCAAGACCGAAGCCCCCAGTCTCCAGAAAAGAACCTAAAATCACTGTGGTGGAGAAGGGCTCATTTTCATCCGAGAACGAACCATTATCCAGCCAGGCTCAACCGGAAGTTTTGGGGTATGAGCAGCCTAAGAAAGAACCCGAACTCACTGTTGTGGAAAAGCGTCCATCTCCTGCAATGTCTAATCCGTTTTCTACCCCGGAGAAGAAGCATGTATCGAGGAGAGAACCTAGTGTTACTATTGTGGAGAAGCGGTCCTCTTCAGATGATGACCCTTTCACTTGTTCCACAAAATCAAACCTTTTGGCATCATTCGCATCCAGCACAAATACTGTTCAGAAGAGCTGGGAGCAATGGTAAGCTTCTAGGAGTGACAATAAGAATGCTATGAAGGCTCTGTTCGTGAGAAGTTGATCTGATGGGGGTTCGCAAGTATCGATTGTACTAATATTACTTCGAGGAGAACTGTGATCAAGTATGGGTACTTGTGGTTTGAGAGGAGCCATCGTAAAATTGGTTTTGTTGTGTTCTGTTGTGTCTCAATGCTTGTACCTTTTAAAAGTCTATAGCTTTAGTTTTCTTATGAGATATTATCAGTAAAGATGGTTTGACGAGATGTGAGAAAGATGCTTAGTCTGAACCTTAACGCCTACCTTAGGTACTTAATGGGATTCAAGCTTAATGATTCTAGGCCCTTCCCGCTCCCGTTCTTGTCTCCAATCGTCGGCACTCTACAGGTGAATTGTTACCTTACGAAGGTTAAGCGAGGTCCCCCTCGGCTTCACCCGCGGTCATTGTTCTAGCAACGGTGGAACTTCCTGTTATATCCTCTATCGTTTTCATAATCGGTCTATGCAACGAGCTTAACAATCACAATTAATTTAGATCACAATTCAAAATCCTTTTTCATAAAATAGCCGCCGCCTTGGCGATTGGCTATAATTCAGTTCGAAAGTGGGGTTTGCATTTCGTACGTCCCCAGGAAACACCCGAAACGCGGACAAGGAAGAAAACAAACCCTCAGCGGCCGTCTCTGGCCCCCAATACTGCAACAATCACCTTTCGCGTCCATCCACTGGCTAGAATGGCCTGTGAACCCTGAATGTACCCCGTAACACGACATCGAGGTCGCTGTGCATGCGGCTGAACGACGCTATGGGGGGTGGAAAGTTTCCCCCCGGACCCGACGTCGTTCTTCTTTCTAACTGTCATTTCTATCTTCGACGTGTCTGATAATTGAGCTTATATCGTTATCCCCGTTTGACTGTCGTATATCGTAATCGGAGGAGTCTGGCGCGGCATTCTTGTCCCACTTGATTGATGACAAGATGTCGAACTCCACAGGCAGCGGCCAAGCCGACAATAGCGATAATGTCGTGACGCTTCAATTAACGATTGCAGCCCTCGCTATCTCTATTGCAGCTATCTTTCTGTCGACTCTACAGGCGCTGCTCGCGTATTTGCAGTTTGATAACAGTGAGGTGGGGAGACGACGCTGTTCGGAGGAGGTGATGGGCAAGTTGTGGGCTACCAGGACGACGAGGAAGTTCAAGTGGCGGGAGTTTAGGTATCAGGTGTTTTTTGAGGTGCCGGTGTTTTATACGGCTAACCCTGGGTGAGTTTTGGTCTAAATTGTATGAGAGTGGTTGTTAAATGAAGATAGGATTACCGTGGGTCCACTTACCAGGACGAAGCCAGAGTCGACGTTTTGGGATACGCTTTTCCAAAACAATCAAAAAGAGACGTATTCTGAGAACGTGAAAACATTGGAGCCGGAAGCGGAAGCTATGGAGGTGATTGAGCTTCAGAAACACATCCATCCTATCTACAAGATCACTGGTACCAAGACTTCGTGTGCGCACACCATGACTAAGTACCATGAGGTCGACGAGAAGTGGGCTAATGTCCATACCGCCGAAGACGAAGGTTGTTCTTGGGTGCTTCTCCTCGACGCGCTTCAAGGGCAGGAAAAATCTTCCAGAGATTGGGATAATTCTAAAGAGCCGGGCAAGAATCACACTATTTCTTACTTGATCCAGAGGAAGCAGCGGTGTTGGGATTTCATGCCACTTAACATCACCAAACCATTTGCAACTACCACGATTTGTCATCTTGTGGAGATAATCTCAATGCTGGGTCTTGTCTGGACGGAATTTAACTTGCAGCAATCGGTTCTGACAGCAGAGGGAAATGGGTATATGGTCAAGAGCGAGTATATGCAAGGTCTGGGCATCTTGACCAGATTCTCTCGCTTGGGAAAGCCTCAACACAAAGAGGAACGGATGATTCCTTGTGCAGAGATCAAACGACTTTGTTTTGGGGATGTGCCTTCGATATTTGATCAACCTAAACAGAAGCTGCTATTCGGTCCTGGTCGATTTGAAAACACTCTTCGGAAAATCATGCCACGGCTTGATGAGGAGTGCCAAAGAGACTTTCTTGATAACACTGAGAAGCCTTACGTGATCGCGAGTAAGTCGAATAACATCCTGAACACTCATATCAACTGCTAACCGCCAAATAGGTAGTTTTGAACTGCTGGGTATGGTTGCCAAGTCTGTCCACATCCTAGGGTCCCGGTTCCGCAGACTCCCAAACCCTTGTGCAGCTACATGGAATCCAAATCTAAACATGATAGATTGCCTGCTTGCATTGAGTCAGCAATTGAAAAGCCCGGATGGCGCCAGCCTAGGAGACCATAAATTGAGAAATGAAATCCAAGACTTATTCACAAACGGCAGTCTTGGCAAGATTGATTTAGACAAGAGGATCCAGACATATATTCGCGCCAACAAAGAAAAAAATGATCCTGGAGCGAGATCAGGATGGGCTTACACTGCAGAGGCCGAACGAACAGCCCATGAACAGCTAATGGAAGAAAACTATGATACTGCACACCGAGACCTCCTCGATTCTCTCCACGACAACATCCTTTCCATCGACCGCAAACTAGAAGACATGATCGACGACGTCCGAGAAGTCCTCGCCTGTCACTTCAACGCAACATCCAAACTCCACCGCGAGCTCGAAGACCTACTCGCCGGCGCAACCCTCGACAACACGAAAGAGAAGATCTTAATCAACTTCTACTTTGCGGAGGTTCTCCCTAAAGTCACGGCTGGATTGCCTACTTCGGCCGCCAGCACACCTCAAAGATCGGCGACGCTGAAGCCGCCTTCGATCACGGTGACGAGCAGCCAGTCGTCGACGCTGGGGTCGAATGCGTCGGATACCCGGAGTGCGGTTTGGTTGGCGTTGATGTTTAAGATGTGTTCGTGGTTGTTTCTGCATGATTTCAATCCGTATGATCGGATGATTGAGCGGAGCGAGTTTAGTGATAATAGGTTGCCTGTTTATATTGGGTAATGTGGGAAAAGTTGAGAGGATGGGGTTATACTTGGGGCTTCATGGATTGGGGATTGGGAGTATGGGTTGTGTCGTGTATATTCGACGTAAGGACATATACTGGGTATTGTTTGGATTTTGTCATCCAAATGGCAACGAGGTTATGAAGGAGGATGACGATGATATCAAGAGGAGAAAGCTGGGATGACGGAAGGATCCATATGAAACCACACAGATAAAGCAAGCATACATGAGTCGACACCTGATAGTATGTTTCCTGGAAGAAAGCTAGTTGTGCAGTTTATCACTCGATTTCTGCTTGATTTCATTCTTTTTGCTTATTAGCTATTCATTCACATACCTAGATATCCATTTAGGTACTTCTCTACTTGTAGCTGGCATTAGTTTTATAGAGCCGATGCGGCCCGTTGAGCGCCAGGCGTGAAATGTGGGGCTCTCCGTCGCGTCCACCCACCACGCTCTGAAGCTCGACAGAGCTTCATCTGGTTGGGCTCCAACCTCTCCAACCTTGAACACTTGCGATGACACTGCGGCAAGCTCTAAACCCTTAGCGCATGACAGAGAAACTTCCACATCAACAAAAATGGCAACACCGACCGCTTCAAAACACCCCCAGGTGGTTGCGACTCCGCCAGTATCAACGCCCTTTTCAACCCACCATCCCCAGAACCCAGCATTCTCTCCTCACGGCCCCCGCTCTGTCGTTCCGTCGCCCCAGCAAGTCAAAAAGAGCCCCGCGAACTCTTCGACGCTATATGGATATGGTAGTGGAGCAGGTGGTGGGGGTGCAGGCGGGTTTGGAGGAGGGTACGACAGTCCATCCGCCGCAATGGCGTTGGGAGGTGTGGACTTGGAGGGAATGGGAATGGGCCATGGCCTTGGTGGTGTATTGGGCGGTCGACAGGTAGAAGACGAGAGGAGGAGAAAATTAGAGGATGTTATTTCGATACTGTCAGTCAGTAAGGGCCGTTTGAGTGCTGCGGGCGTGGAACGTTTAGCACAGCGATTGGGGCTGGAGATCATGTGGCAGGATAATATGAGAGATGGATCGAAAACGCTGATTATTGCTGGTCCTGCGCATTTGGCGCTTGATATCGACTTTATGAGTGATGTGGTTCAGAAGGTTGCGCTTTCGTTTCCTGATTCGCCTGATATTGTTACGAGGCATACGGAGAAAGCTGGGAATATCTTGTTGGAGGATCTGAAAATTGGGCCAGAGGAAAGCACGTTGACGAAATCGCTGAACCGGTTTGCTGCGAATCTGGAGAGGCTGGCTGCTCTCGACAAGTTGAGTGGGAATCCGGGGCTTAATTGTCATGAAGCTATCGCGGGTATTTATGAAAATCTTGAAAAATTACATGAGTGGGAGGTTCAGAAAGTCAAAGCGGACTCAGATATGGCGAAGAAAGATCATGAGTTTGTGCAAAGGGCAGTAATGTGCACACGGAGTGGCAAGCCGGTTATGCACTCGAGAGACCGCCTAGGACTGAGTCTGGATTATTGGCAGAACAAAAGGATGATTACTAGGAAAAGACTGAAGCATGAGGAAGAAAAAACTTGGTCTTTGTTGGTGGAATGCGCGCCATTACCTTCACTTACCGTCTTCCCGCCACTGAGAGTTTCGCAAGAGTGGATTTCCCAAAAGATTGTTCGAGACACTGCTGCAAACGACATATTTGCCGAGGCCCTTCAGCCCCAGCTCGACTGGCAAGAGCCAGATAGTACGGTTGTCCCTGCGAAAGCCGACGCCATGGGAGGCGTTGAGGGTTCAAAAGAAAAGGTTCTGGATGTTATCTTTATGGCCAAATTTGACCCACCCCTAATCGTTCCATATTCCATGGCAATGACCATTTACAACTCAACAAACGCACCCTTTGACATGTATCAAACTAGCAGGTTTGACGGTCTTATGTTTCCGCACTCCGGTGACTTAGTGGACAGTAACGCGTCGAGGACGATCAATTCCCAGACCACAATTCAAATACCTGAGAGGGAGGGTAGGGAGGGCCAGACTCGAATACACAAGAATACGCTCTTGATCGATAAGATTGGTTATGGTCGTACCCTCACAGAGCTGCCGTTTTCACATCCCCAGCAGTTGGTAGCCATGTTGCCTTCTCTTCGCAAATATGCGTTTCTCTCTTCACTCCTTTTGAAAACTTTCGGACCGGGTCTGGAGCCGACACCCATTTCTGCGGGACCTCAAAGCACGATTCTGAGTAAATCGGATGAGTTCTCCAAATTCATGAGCAACGAATTCAAGCCCGCCACTACGTTTACCAAGTCAGATCTCTCACTAGACGCAATGCTACAAATCGACTCTGAAAAGGTGAGATTGCGAGTAATCTTTCCAATGCGGAAGGAGAAAGCCGATCTACAGATCCAGATCAAGCTGAACGGTGCTGTGGAGATCGAAAGTGAAAATGTGTTAAACAAAGATGAAGGAACGGGGAAGAGCCTGAAGAAGGAAGATCTGGCTAGAGCACTTGAAGTCTGCGAGGACTTAGGGATATGGGCTGAATTCATTAGGTGGCGTTTGGCTTAGCATATTGGGGGACAGGTTGTTTTAGGTTTTGAATATGATACCCTTTTGCATTTTATGAGGTTGCTGATGTTCCCACAGTGCTTGTGAAGTGACAATATCTGTCTGGTGTTTGCAACACCCCTGATCTAGCCGAGACGGCTTCGACCCCACGTTTTGCTTATCACCGAAGATTTCCATCTTCGCAATATGGATAAAACACTTCAAACTTAGCAAGAGCAACCAAATGCCATCTGACCTTCAAAACATATATCCGCATTCGTACTGGAACATCATACTCCGTCGCTGCATTCGGGTCGGTCGTTGCTAAAGTGACGTACTCAACTCATGAATGGTTTCCATTCGCTGAAAAATACACTTCCTTTGTTTCCACGGATGATCAAGCTTCATGTTATACTGCCAAATATTGAAATAACTGTTTTCATTCGTTCTAGCTGCCGTTGTTACTATCCAGCACAAGTCATGTCTGCTGTTCTGCCGGCCATGCTATTTCTGTCATTTGGAGCCGAAACGTGATGGGTCGGCACATGGGTCTGTTGGGCTTCTTATATATATTCTTCTTCTCAGATTTCGATACTCGATGTCAATATTGTTCGAGTAAACATAGTACATCATGAAGTTTCAAGTTTCATGCTCGCTTTCTGTCCTCGTTGGAGTGGCTTCGTCTCATACTATCTTTACTCAGTTGACTGCTGGTGGAGTTACAAATGGTGAGAAATCCGAGATACTGACATGTATGTATTTCGCTAAATCTGTCTAGGCATTGGTGTTGGTATTCGAATTCCATCTTACGATGGCGTGAGTTTCGTTTTTCCTGCTGTCACTCTTCATATTGACAAAAGTAGCCGATCACAAACGTAAACTCGAATGATATCGCAGTAAGCATTCAAACCTGAATTCCCACATCCGTTATTTGATTCTGATACAAATTAGTGCAACGGCGGTCCAAATCCAACAACTCCGTCCTCAAAGATTATCGATGTGCAGGCCGGCTCAACTGTCAAAGCGCGATGGAGACACACCCAGCAGAGCGGTTCAAATGATATTATTGATGCTGGGCACTCCGTAACTAGCCCTTCTGTTTCCCAATCTTGAGGGCTTAACTGATTCTATACACAGGGTCCGGTCATGGCGTATCTGAAGAAAGTTAGCAATGCTGCGACTGATCCTGGCTATGGTGGGTATGCTCTAGTGTTTTCGTCTAGGTTGCTTACTTACGTTTGAGTTAGGTGGTGGATGGTTTAAGATTTCTGAAGCCGGTCTTATTAATGCTGCTTGTAAGAAATCTCGAACGTTCCTTAGGTGCCAATCTAATGATTATCAGCAAAGCAATGGGCCGTAAACGATCTGGTAAGACGCGTCACATCATCTCATCATTCATCCAATAATAAGAACTCAGATCAAAAACCTCGGCGAACAATCAATCCCAATCCCATCATGCATAGCATCCGGTCAATATCTCCTCCGCGCAGAACTTATCGCTCTTCACGGAGGTAAGCATCCTCCCCACCTATCCAGAATCACACACTGACGATATCTAGCCGGTTCATCTGGAGGAGCGCAATTCTACATGGAGTGCGCGCAGATCAACATTACAGGTGGTACGGGCGCGAAGAGTCCGGCTACTGTCAGCTTGCCGGGTGCTTATAAGGTATGTTCTTATGTAGTAGAAGGGAATGGAGGAAGTGACTGATAGGCGATAGGCGAATGATCCAGGAATTTTGGTTAATATTTATTCTACGCCGGCGATTTCGAAGTATACTATTCCTGGTATGTGTTTCTATGTGGCAGTAATACGTGTTGTGGCTAATCATCCGTGCAGGTCCGCCAGTGTTTACTTGTTAAATGAAGCGTATCTTGGCGGTAGGAAGATGTTGGAGGTCGAGGATGTGTTTGGATAGGTGTGAGCATGGTAGAAAATTGCGATGTGGACATATCTAATCATCACGGTGATAATCTATCAATATGAAAGTCTTGACCGTTGCAGTTATCTTTAGGTTCGATATTTCATTTTATGTTCCCTCCACCTTTTGGATGAATAGTTGCACTCGCGCCTCACGATTGCGCTCTTCGGTTTTTGAGCGGTAGATCACTGGGCCACTAGAAGGGAACTAGAAATGGAAGCCTGAGCTTGAATGATCCCCAATCCGAGAGATTAATCCAGAGTCTTCAACTTTTTATGACTGACATGTTGCTAGCGCACCTGTTATATCTAGGGGGGAGGAGGTGGAGCGGGTGAGGGCGGTGATACATGGTCATATTCTTCTACTATTTACAGCCACTCGCATAATCTTCCTCCAATATAACATCTTTCTCGTTCTTACATAACTTTATCAAAGTTCCATACCTAGCACGACGCAACTGGTGGGCCTGGGACGGTATAACTGGTGAACTAGATCCATCGTCAGCAAGCACTCAATAAAGTCTCGACGGCGTATCCCGCGTTCTATCAATTATCGTCAAACTTACCCCGCTATAAATATTCGCAGTATAACCCGGATCCGTCTTCTTGAAAGCCCCAGGAATAGCAACCTTGGGTCCCAAATCCGTGCTTCCACCGCCAGTAATCGTCACCTGCGCGCAAGAGATGTAGAATTGTGGGGTTCCGCCTGGGTATGGGTTATGGATCGCAAGAGATTGGATTCGAACGAGGTAATCTCCGCTTGGGACACATTTTGGGAGGTTGAATGTGTATGTTTCTAAACATCTATCAGCCTTGCAGATATGAAAATGGACGAGTACTTACGTTTCAAATCCCAAGTTCCTCCTGGGAACTTTGGACCGATATCAAGGATTTTGAACCACACGTTTCCGGAACCGTCGAAGTCGGCAGCGGCGCCCGGTGCTTTGGCCATGTATACTGAGATGGGTCCTTGATGGTACACTGCTGTGTCGGTTGTGAAGGATACTGCTGATCCTGCTGCAAGAGAAACAGTGCCAGTTGAGCCTCCAGTCGCTCCTCCTACATTACAACGAAGGTCATTGCTTGCTAGATCTTTGGAATGTTAGACGCGAGACGTTGTTACGGTATGGAGGTACGTACCAGTTACGGGCGAGTTGTAGTTGGTGTTCTTTCGAATGTATGTGAATGTCGGGTTTTTGACATTGTTGGCGGTGAGCTGCTGGAAGATATCTGATTTCATTTAGTCTTGTGTGGCGCGGTATCAGTTCACCAAGGTAGAACCTACAATGTCCTGATACTTGGCTCGACAGAGTCAAGAGACCTGCTGTTAAGATTGAAAATCCCTTCATGATGTGCTGATGACGAGGTTACGATAAAACAGAGAGGTTGTGATAATACAGAAGAAATTCTGAAAGTATCAGAACTTGCAAAAAGAGAAGTCTTCCCTTATATTTGCGAGAGAGTGGTTAAAAATACTGCCTCGGAAATTTCCAAATTTGTACCCGAGAATCTCTATCTTGGAACTACGTACATTGCCAGCAACCGTAGGCCAAATATTTCAGATTTTGAAGTCTAGAGCATCTGATTACTGCAAAGTTGTGGATGAAGAGTAATATAGATGACTTTTCTATCATCATTTGACCTCATATGTTCCATACCAGGTCATTGATTGGGTGAACAATATGGAAAGCAATATATCCTAATTGCTTCCAAACTCGAGACAACCTTTTGTCGTGCTTTATTCCTGGGGCACGGATCACCAGTTCCTGGCGTGGACAACTCGATACCTCGATCTGATATATTGCAAGGAAAAGTAACAGCCTTTTCAGAATAAATGGATTAAGGCTTCTATTCGACCACTAAAACAATATTGGACTTTTTGGTTTGCTTCATCTGAGGCCCTGTTATTTCGGCTTGGAGATTCTAAACTTAAATATAGCATACCTTCTGATAAACTGCCAACAGGTAGTTGATCAAGTAGAGTAATTTGAGGAGTATATATTAAACTCGACAATAAAATCTCCGCGCTCCTAAAGGCGTATTCTGAGAGGAGCGCATAACACTACGAACCCTCCTGTTTGTTGCAGCCTTCGCCACACGGATATCAAAGGAAAACCCTACGGTTACCTGCTCAAACGGTCCGAGATCAATGACTTTTGAAGTCGTTTGATTTTGGCCACTTCGTTTCATGAGGAAGTATAGTTTGATTCGTGGTAGATTCTTGTTGCGTTGGAAGTGCGGTCCGATCGCATTCGTCAGAACCTTATGAGATTCCTAGATTTTAATCTAGTAGTACCGAAAATAAGTCAGGTGGAAGAAAGTTTGCGCTGTAGCAAGGAAAACGGGTTTAGCCTGTTGTAAACCCCTGATGTGAAAAATACTAGATTCAATTGAAGGGAGCGGGAGGTCGTCGTTAGTGAGGGCATTGTAGGCCGAAAATTTAAGCGAATGGTTTAAAATAGACATGTCGCTTCAGACAACACTTCAGTCGCAGAACCTGCCAGAAAGCAGAATTTAACGACTCGTGACCAGACAATCGGTTATCCTACCCTCCAACAAGATATTGCACTGCTATCTTCGACCGGAAGCTGCCTGAAAGCCCACGTTCCCGTTTATGAGAGCCATATTACCTTGTTTACGCTTCCATGTTGATGGGTCAAATAATGGCCATGTTTGGGCGATAAGAGGCTTGCTGCAGGTACTACAGAAATCAATCGTTTCGCCCATTCAACTTTCTTAAGAAAGCTGATATACCAGCAAGGGATACAAGGACAATGATCGCTACCGACAGGGGCCTCCGGCCATCCACATGTTTCTTCGAAGAACCAAAAAGATGGCGCTCTTCTCCACGTCTAGACTTGGCTCGCCCGGGCAAGAATTCCGCTTCCTTGTGGATGATCAACGACAAAAGTTGTCACAGAGACGCCAAGTACCAAATGGTCAATAGAAGTTTACTGCCGGCCCGGAATATCCTAGAATCAGTGGAGATTCCCCGGAGTCTTTCCTCGCGCTTGTTCAAGGCTCCCAGAATGCCGTGTACTTTGACCAATGGGAATACTCGTTGTTGAAGATCGAACCTGCATATTCGCTAGTTCACGATAACTCTATTACTTATCCATTGTTTCAATGGGAAATGGTCAATCTATCGTCGGCAGCAGCCTCTTTCATGCAATATCTGTTCGCCACAAGATTGGCCATAATCCGCTAACATTGTCAAGAGACCAGTATCACTGGCTTCCTTGGAGGTCTGCAAGCATGTTCGAAGTGGCTTTTGAACGCTTGACCAAATTGGGCTTCTCGGAGTGGCTTGCCAGTGATACTCACGGTTCCGTCTCCGTGCTACTAGGATTCAGATAAGTGACAATCAGTACCAGCAACGTAAGTATAAAAGGCCATACCTCGGTCGTGGATAGTTTTTGGATGTACAAGACAGCTAAACTCATATTCAGGATTACTACTCTTCTACAAATATGGGATTCAAACATCTTCTTGTTGGGGCTTCTTCCCTAGTTCTGCTAGCAGCAGCTCAAGAAGCAGCGTATGCTCAATGTGCGTAGAACTTTAAGGATTTCCAAATCATTACTAACAATAAACAGGTGGTGGTACCAACTGGCCAGCATCAAAAACAACCTGTGTGTCTGGATATGTCTGCAGTTACGGAAACCCATTCTATTCTCAATGTCTCCCCGGTTCCGCTACTCCCTCCAGCTCGAAAGCAGCCAGCACAGTCCCACCCACTGGAAGCAGCACCAAGCCCCCACCAACAAGTACGACAGTACCTGCAGGCAGCAGTAGCACAACAGTCTCTGCAGCCCCGGGGACAACTGTGGCCCCCGTTGCAGGAAACCCTTTCTCAGGAGTAGCACTCTACGCCAACCCATACTACGCCTCTGAAATATTGACTCTAGCGGTCCCTTCGCTTACCGGTGCAATGGCAGTAAAGGCGTCAGCCGTCGCTAAAGTGCCTACTTTTGTTTGGTTGTAAGTAGTAGCGTTTGTCGCTTCCTTTGCATTGAACTAACTTTTTCTAGGGATACCGCTTCTAAAGTTCCGCTCATGGCGACCTTTCTTGCAAATATTCGTGCCGCAAACAAAGCTGGTGCGAGTCCTCCTGTAGCTGGAACCTTTGTCGTGTATGATCTGCCAGACAGAGATTGTGCAGCTCTAGCTTCTAACGGAGAGTATTCTATCGCCAACGGCGGTGTCGCTAATTACTACAAGTACATTGATTCCATCAAGGCTCTCCTTGTGACTTATTCAGATGTCAAAGTCATTCTCGTGATTGGTAAGTTCAAAATGAGGAATTTCGATTGTGCATTACTAATCTTTTGTTACAGAGCCTGACAGTCTGGCAAACATGGTGACAAACATGAACGTACCCAAGTGCGCCAATGCAGCGGCTGCATACAAACAGTGCACCCAATATGCCATTGAGCAACTCAACCTTCCTAACGTTTCCATGTATCTTGATGCAGGACATGGAGGTTGGCTGGGCTGGGAAGCAAACATCGGTCCAGCTGCCAAACTCTACGCAGATCTGTACAAAGCTGCTGGAAAACCTGCCGCTGTCAGAGGTCTTGTGACCAATGTGGCCAACTACAACGCATGGAGCATAGCAACTTGCCCTTCGTACACTCAAGGAGATGCGAACTGTGATGAGAAGCGTTACATCAACGCTCTTGCTCCGCTTCTTACCGCTGCTGGATTCCCTGCGCACTTTATCGTTGACGTTTGTAAGTATTTGAAGTTTTTCTGTTTTCATACTATTAGCATTTTCTAACATCATCCAAAGCGCGTAACGGTGTTCAACCAACTGCCCAGCTGGCTTGGGGTGACTGGTGTAATCTCAAGGGGACTGGATTTGGTGTTCGGCCTACTACCAACACTGGTGACGTTTTAGCCGATGCATTCGTCTGGGTGAAGCCTGGAGGAGAGGGCGATGTAAGTGACAAACCGATTGTGAATGTGCGCCCCAAATTAATTCAGCTAGGGAACTTCTGATACAACCTCAGTACGGTACGATGCCCACTGTGGTCTGGCTGATGCTCTTACACCGGCTCCCGAGGCCGGAACTTGGTTCCAAGCATACTTTGCCCAATTGTTGGCGAATGCAAACCCATCATTCTAAGTCATTGATCGGTGAAGCTACTTTCCAAGAAAAGTTTCTTTTTTGTAAGATGGATCTTTAGACGGACTAGGGGCTGGTTTTGAGATAGCTTCCATAGCACCTCGCACTCTGCATCAATACCAGCTTATTTTATACCATTTTGCTCGATGATAGTGACTACTTTATTGGTTGACGTACTGCGGTTGAGCCTCTATTCTTGGCTTGCTTCCAATTACACTAAGATAATTAACGGGTGTGACATCTGTGTTCCGAGTCTTTGGCAAGGTTCGGATCATGAACCGAGAATAGATTGTTCTGACATAACTAATTTAGATTATCGATACTGTAACATGCAGGATGTGATGATGTCCTCTTCCTCTTCTCAAGTGCCTGACGCTAAGTGACGGCAAGAGTAGCACAAAATGGGCACTGTAGATGTGTATGCCTCAACAACAATTGTGCCTGTTGAGTTGCAGGTATTCCTTTCTTTGTTTCCTTTCTCTGCTGTACAACTCGGATTAATATACTTCTGTAGCACTCGAAGATTCGAGACAGTCTTGAGTGTGGGCACCATATCTCACATCGTTAAAGTTGCTGCCGAACAGATGAACGACTGAAATAATAGGTCGCTATTAGGGACTTACAACATCTTCTGTATTCCCAATACTATAACTCCCACAGGAAAGCAGTCAATGAGTATAACATTTAAGTTAACACCCACCTTGGACAAGTCAGAGCAAAACTCCTGACCACTTTGATTTTGGCTTGTGAAGAAGTGCAGCCCATGTTCTCCAATAGATTTGAGGTTAATTTCTCCATAATACTATGCACCCCGCAATCTCGGGGCGCTGCCGCCGTCACGGCAGGTCGAGTACCGCCTGCCTCCCTTTTTGATGCGGGAAATTAAGCGAGACGTGGCATTGTAGAGACATGCGGGACATGGCTGTCCGTTTAAATACCCAGGTTAATAGGGAAATTGGAAGAGGGGTTGCGTGAGCAGATACTTGGCATACTGCTCTCATGTACCCCACATATTGGCGTAACAGCCGACATTAAAGCTCATCGGGTATTGATCAAGCTTTACGGATGCCTCTCCCTGCGATCGATATACGAAATTTGGCCTCGGCGTAGCAAGATACATCTTAAATACGCCGAGTCGATTCCCAAACTCACGAGGACTTCATCGTAAGCCAGTTGTTGTACAAGTGATGAATGGTGCGCTTCTTCCCACATAGATCGACATGTTCGATAGCTCCCTGAAAAGCGGACCGATTATACATACAAAATATTTCCCGCCTGTTGTAAAATGTAGATGAACACTATGTTAGCGTTCTTTTTCATTTGTGGGAAACTTTAGTTTGATACTGTTTCACATAAATCATGCTTTCAAGCCTGATATTTAGCGTTCTCACTCTGTATCTTGCTCTGCCTATATAAGCTGTACTCGCCAGTGATTCTTCCCAGAAACAACTTACTCCAATTCAAGACCACCATCTGCGACAATGAAAGCACATCTTGCTTTAGGCGTCTTGATTGCAAGGGGAATATCGGCACTTCCCAGCAACGTTCTGACAGAAAGAGCGGCAGCTGCAAATGGGACCGTAACATATGGTTTGCTTCTACATTGCATAATTTCTATTCAACATACCTAACAACTGCTTAGCGGGTGTGAATATTGCGGGTTTTGATTTTGGGTGTTTGACGGATGGATCTCAAGACCCCAAAAAGGCAGTACCTCCTGTCAACGGCCTCGGTGGCCCTGATGGCGCCGCTCAAATGTCCCATTTCGTGAAAGACGATCATTTCAACATATTCCGTCTGCCCGTTGGCTGGCAATACCTGACAGGCTCAACACTATCATCCACCTCGACTCTCAACGCTGGTAACCTACAGAAGTACGATCAACTTGTGCAGGCATGCTTGAGAAGCGCCAGCACCACCGTCTGCGTACTCGATATCCATAATTATGCAAGATGGAACAAGCAGATTATCGGCCAAGGAGGGCCTACCAATGCACAATTCGTCGGATTGTGGACCCAACTGGCTGCGAAATATAAAGGGGAGACGAGAATAGCGTTTGGATTGATGAACGAGCCTCATGAAGTTGATATAAACAAATGGGCAGACACTTTACAGCTTGTTGTTAACGCTATAAGGGGAGCTGGTGCAACTACCCAAATGAGTGAGCCGGAAACCTATCTTGCTATATGTCTCATTGCTGATCTGGAATAGTTTACCTCCCTGGAAATGATTACACATCAGCTGGAAGATTCATTTCAAATGGCTCAGGCGCTGCGCTCATGAAAGTAACGAACCCAGATGGTAGCTTCACGAACCTGATATTCGATGTCCACAAATATCTTGACAGTGACAACAGTGGAACACACACTGATTGCGTGACCAACAATATCGACTCTGCCTTTCAGCCTCTTGCGACTTGGCTGAGAACCAACAAGCGCATGGCAATTTTGACTGAGACTGGTGGCGGTAATACGGCGAGTTGCACCACGTACATGTGCCAACAGATTGCCTTTTTGAAGTGCGTAACCTTCTAAAGTTGAAGGTCGAAAGAACTAAGCTAACGTTCGCCTAGTGCAAACTCAGATGTATACTTAGGTTATGTCGGATGGGCAGCGGGGTCCTTCGATGGTACATATGAGCTGACCGAGACACCCACTGGAAGTGGAAACAATATGCAAGACACTTCACTTGTCAAAGCATGCCTCAGGAGATGATCATTGCCTGCGGTATTGCAGCAATGAATTACTCTATTGTAGTGAGGGATGTCACTTTCTTGCCGCTTTTCAATCCCAATCGTATGATCTAGCACGAAAATATAGAATACGACAGTAAAAACCTTCTTACAGATAATTAAGCGTTGTGAGCTCAAAGGTGTCGTCCGGCACTGGAAAGGACGACTACCAATGAACCAGCTATTCTGCATCAAGCGTCCTCGTTCGACTCTGGCATGTGAAGATGCAAAGTGCGGAGTAGACCATTTGTTACTATAAATTTAAGACGGTCCCTAAAACTTTGTCCTATGCCGATGAATGAATTCGCTGCGCCTTTGAGAAATGGCATCTTCAATCCAGAGAGCTACTGGAAATGTGATAGCATATTGGTGTAGCTAAATTTTGTGAGAGACGGGCGCAGTAGTTCGAAACAGCTCTTCTCACTCATCTTTTATTCGCAGAGTTCGAAAGTGACGAATTATTTGCCAAAGAAATTAGTAATTTTCTGACTGCCTGTTCCCTTTGGAGGGCTTGCTGTGTTATTGCTTGTGGCACTTCGGGTCTTCCGTGCGGATTTGTGAGGAGAGGATGACGGTTTGGAATTGGCGGAAGTTTTGGCGGACTTGTTAGGCGTCCCTTCTACTGGCACATCCTCCAATTCTCGCTTAACCCCTTTCTTGACATCTTCGGGGACAGGAAGAGGTGCATTATCTTCCGTTCCAGTATGATCAATTGTCTCGCGAAACTCATCCGAGTCATGCTCAATCTTAATATCCTTTGCTTCATTGCTAGGTGTGTTGTCGTTTTCCTGGGCCTTGGGAATTGCCGGAACTAGCGTTTTTGAGACTGCTGATGTGTCATTGGCATTGGCTTTAGGCTTTGTGAAAAAGTTGGCGATATTAGACTTATTCTCGCTACTAGCCACGGGGATGACGAATTTTGGTGAGTTGTTTCCAACTTTTCCCACTTCCTGGCTGACAGGATAGCATTCCAATTCACCTTTGAAAGGCTGTAGTAATGCTTGGAGTTCCTTGGACCAGGTGTACCGCTTGGGATCCAGCCAAGTCCGTATGTCCTCGGAGCCGTTTTCGAGTATAACGGGCATTCGATCGTGTAAGAATCTCAATTGTGGATTGGAGTCAGTAGTGATAACAGTATAAGTATAATGTTTGTCCGTACTTCCTGGACATATTCGTTAATGCTTCATTACTTTACGAGTGTGGAGGCGTAATATACCTTCATATTTTACACAGTCCCAGAGTCCAGCAAAGCACATCAACTGCCCGTCTTTTCTCTTGGTGTAATGAGGGATTTTAGTCTTGTCTTTTTTGAGCCATTCGTAAAAGCCTTCTGCTACGACGATGCAACGCTTCTTCTGTTTCATGGTATTCCACATACCCCGATTTTCTATCAGCGAATCATCTCGGCAATTGATTGTCTTCATCATAGAACCATAATCTGGATTGCGTTTCGTCCAGAATGGAATCAATCCCCATTTCATTGACTGCAATTTGTATTTGATGGGACCTGGATCATATTCCTCCATCGAGTCATTAGGATTAGTCTCATGTTCTCGATCACTGTCAGTACGCTGTGTAGGACCAGCACCAGTATCTGGGGTGTCTGCTCGATACACAATCCCATGGTACCCCGGTGCAAAGTTGTAGCTTTGCCGGGGCGCGTTGGGTGCATCGTCGTCTGGAAACTCATGTACTGGCATGTTTTCATTTTCGAGGTAAGCACGTACCTGCGCCGGACGCTATTAGAATAATTAGTAAAGTCATATTCAACCTGTCAAAGAATCTTACCAGATGCATACTATAACGTCCGCACATCTCGATCGATTTACCGTAGATAGCGTGACAACTGATGGTATAGACACGTCAGATGCAGGTTACCTGCTCAGTAGACAGGCAAATTGCGCGATGGTGGTTGCACAGATGAAGTCAGTTCGGTCTACTAGTAGTGGAATCTCTCCTCCCTCTGCTAGACTGTGATGATAACTGACATCAGGGAGTCGTGGAGATTGTTCCAGAGCATTTCATTTTGCCACTTAAACGCCAGATCATGTGATAACGTGAGATGGGGGAATCATGTGACTGATAAGAGTTGTCGACGCTAGCCTTATCGCCGCAAAATTTCCTGGTCGGCAAAATTTATTTCTTGCCGGGAGGTCGAGCGCATTCGAACATCAACACTTTGAAGTACAACTGGCCACCATGGATTCTTCCGAATTGCAAAACAAGAAGCGCAAGAGAAAGCATTCGGCGTCGAAAGGCGAACCTGCAGAGGCTGCTCCCAAAAATGTTGAAAATGTGGTGAAGGATAAAAAGTCCAAAAGGTCCAAGGACGATAAAGCAAACAAGAAAGCTAAGAAGACCCACGAATCCGACGAAGAGGAAGAGACTTTCGAAGGAGGCATTTCGAATGAGGCTATAGACATAGCTGAAGCAAAAGACAGCGATGGGGAGGTTGTGAATGAGACGCCGGAAGATGAGGACGAGGTCAATGGAGATACAGATCTGGTGGGGGGACCCACCACGGGCGCTGGCACACTCGCCTTACCGTCGACAGGAGTTGAGGCACAGAAATTCTCAGAGTTGAATTTATCAGAAAAAACAATGAAAGCATTGGTGGAAGATATGAAGTTTGAGACGATGACAGAAATCCAGCGCCGAGGCATTCCACCTCTTCTAGCTGGTCGCGATGTCCTTGGAGCTGCGAAAACAGGATCTGGAAAGACTTTAGCATTTTTGATCCCAGCAATTGAAATGCTAAGCGCATTGCGATTTAAGCCTCGTAACGGAACTGGCGTTATTGTCGTATCGCCAACAAGAGAATTAGCCCTCCAGATTTTCGGTGTCGCGCGCGAATTAATGAAACATCATTCGCAAACATATGGAATAGTCATTGGTGGAGCAAACCGACGAGCAGAGGCGGAAAAGCTTGCCAAAGGTGTCAATCTTATTATAGCTACGCCGGGTCGTTTACTGGATCATCTGCAAAACACTCAGGGCTTCGTTTTCAAGAATCTCAAAGCACTGGTAATTGATGAAGCCGACCGAATCTTAGAGATTGGATTTGAGGACGAGATGAGGCAGGTCGTCAAAATCTTACCTAAAGAGGAGCGGCAAACTATGCTGTTTTCTGCGACTCAAACAACTAAGGTTGAAGATTTAGCCAGGATATCGCTACGTCCTGGACCTCTATATATCAACGTCGATCATCAAAAGGAGCACAGCACTGTAGAGGGCCTTGAGCAAGGTTATGTTGTGTGCGATTCCGACAAACGATTCCTTCTTTTATTCTCGTTCCTTAAACGCAACATCAAGAAGAAGATAATTGTTTTCCTCTCGAGTTGTGCTTGCGTTAAGTATCACGCCGAACTCCTCAACTATATCGACCTCCCAGTCCTGGACCTTCACGGAAAGCAAAAGCAACAGAAACGAACAAACACTTTTTTCGAATTCTGCAATGCAAAGCAGGGTACGCTTATATGTACTGATGTAGCTGCCCGTGGTCTTGATGTAAGTCTCAAGATTTCGCTGTTCATCATCTCGTCGCTAACAGGTTCTTAGATTCCCGACGTCGACTGGATTCTTCAGGTTGATCCACCAGATGATCCCAGAGATTATATTCACCGTGTGGGTCGAACAGCGCGTGGTTCCAATGGCAAAGGAAGGTCCTTGCTCTTTCTCCAGCCATCTGAGATTGGCTTTCTTTCTCACCTGAAGACTGCGCGTGTTCCAGTCGTGGAGTTTGACTTCCCCGCGAAGAAAATCGTCAACGTTCAATCACAACTTGAGAAGCTGATTTCCCAGAATTACTACCTGAATAAAAGCGCCAAGGACGGCTATAAATCATATCTCCAGGCTTATGCTAGTCATAGCTTGAGAACCATATTCGATGTGCACAAGTTAGATCTAGTCAAGGTAGCGAAGAGTTTTGGATTTACAGCGCCACCGAGAATCGATCTCGCATTGGGAGCTAGTATGAGTAGGGATAAGAAAACACAGGGACGGAGAGCTTATGGTAGTCAGCCGAAGCAAGGTGGGAGCTTTAAGAAGAGGGGTACTTGATATTTGAAGATAAGAGATTAGTCGTATTTATACCTGGACCACTATGCAGCATTGAATGGCGTTTTGTGTCGGATTATTTGTTCATAGCAGATGCGGCGTAGGGAGGGAAAATGGAATGCTACAATTGTTGAGTCAAGAAGAACATCTTTCTTCACATCATGCTCATCCTATCACTGTGGACCACATATACCAGAGTGACATTGTGCCAGGCTGCTGATTACATTGTGTTGTGTTCTCAGCTGGAAACCCACCAGCAATTATGATAAGTTTAACTTACCAATGCACACTGCCCATCATACCATGTTGATACTAAAATGAGATGGATCATGCTGCTATGTATATAAAAGCAAAGAGGGAATGAGCATCTGAAGATAATTATATTGAGCAACGTTGTTTAGCTATTGTTAATTTTATTGTATAACTTCAGCGCTTCGAGTTTGTACTTTTCCATCTCAAAATTCTGTTCAGATGCGTGGGTCGTAGCAAATGCTTCTCTCAACTGTTCAGGATCAATATTTGCTCCGGTTTTCTCAAACAGTATGGCATCAATCATGACATTGGCCTGTGAATATGCCTGTCTCCGAGGTCTCCTTGCCTCATCATACGATTTAAACACAGCCTCGAGCTCAGTAGACTCCCTAATTTCGGCGAGAAGAGCCGACAAGACCAACACATCTTCTATTTCTTGGCTGGGGCCTGACCCATCCCAGTGCGAGCCAGTATTTGCTGCTTCGCCTACGACACAGACGCGGCTCTTGATATACGATGCGATTGGATGTGTATGATGGTAAAGCGGGAAGGGTGGAGTGATTGGATGTTGCAACAATAACTGCCGTTCCAACATTAGCTGGAAGGGCTGTGTAACCATAAAGTGACTTACCGAGATTATTGTATTTTTGACAACTTGATTTCCCCACCCCTTAAAAGCCTTCTCCAAGAATGTGCGATCATTAGTTTGCCTCAGGTCATGGCTAACACCAGGCTTTTCGTCAATATGGCTCGCAATACAAAACGCAGTTCTGTCTCTATCAAATGTACCAAGCCTCACGAGCCAACCTTTTCCCATCCACGTGTACTGTCTGTTTTCAGTTAAACCAATTGCACCGAGAAGCTTCCTCGCTTCCTCAATAGGGACTAATGCTCTGTATTCCCGTCCAGCAGAAAGAGCAGGATAGTCACTGCCAAGGACATGCTGTCGAGTATACCCTTGAAACCCGTCAGCGCCGACTACAGCATCTGCATACGAGGCCGTTCCGTCCTGGAAATGAAGATGTACGCCTCCATTCTTCGAAGGGTGAATTGAAATGACTGATCTATGTGTGTGTAAATTGGCCGAGGGCACTGGCTCCAGTAGCACATCGATAAAAGACGACTTTCTAACCACATGTACTGGTAGGTCATTTGCGAGATCAGAAATTTCCGTGTCAACTGAAATTGACGTCGATGTGTTTGACTAAAAATTGGTCAGTAAATTGAATAGCTTGAAGAACGGAGGTAGGCGTACAATTACCATTCTAGTACTTTTCAACGACGAGGCTCCCGCGTTCTCCAAAACACTAAGTAGCTCTGAACCGATTGTTTGAAGAGCCTCCTCTCCTGCAACCCCTATCTCAATAGCGGTGTCTTCTTCCCCAAATTCTGCGCCCGCTTCGTAAAGTTGTAAATCGAGATTTGGGCAGTTCATAAGTGCTCGAACTAGAATGGCGCCTGCTAGCTCTCCGCCTACAACAGCGATGCGTACACGCTTCTCGACTCCTGAAGCTACCATGTTCTTCTATAGATACTCCTCAGTAAAATAGAACAAATGCGAAATGGGTTGAGAAACTTTGTTCAAGTCAGGTGAAGAAATAATGGCTCACCTGACCACTGTCGTTCGCTTGGGGGGATGGACGTGGGGGTGGGTTTTGACATCTTACGGTGCTGCTGAGGTTGGTATTGAAGAAAAACACCACTTAGCTGAAACATACGAATCGTAGTGTCATACTGTTCTCAATTATATGCAACAATGCCTTGAAAGATTTCCTCACTACTTGGATTCCTCTTTCCTCTGACGTTTAGCCACCTGGGTCTAACAGGTACTCGAGGATCCGTCTTGTTTAATTGACTGTAGTAAGGCGGCTTGCGTGAAGCTCTGACAATCCGTAAAAAACATATAATCATTTGTATGATACAACAATGGCCTCCATTCAAAGGTCAACTGAATGCGAACTCCTCCCACGGTAATAGCGCATTTCTATATTATGCTCCGTCAAATGTGCCCACCCGAAAGACCCAATACTCAAACAGAGAGATAGCTGCGCACTGCAATTCTATCTGAACCGTAAACCATGTTCATTCCTGAACCAAAAATCTAATTGTATGTCGCACACCCAAATTTCTCAAAGTCCCTTGTTCCTTATAACGATTTCGTTTCCTAACAAGGTATTTGAAGCGAAGTAGCTGGAAGTAAACTTCACACTTGTTGTTGTAGGCAGAGTCTGCTGTGGATGGCCGTGGCCTATGCAACAGGTGAAGGGGTCTGCTGCGCCAATTCTCTCTTCGTTTTAACGTGCCCTATTGTGCCCTGGATATCTCCCAACCCGATTGCTCCAGCAAGAGGAGTAGCACCCAAGGGCCAGCCTCCAAGAGCTGTTGCAGCGAACGTTTGCGTAAAGACTATATTGGTCGCTGAAGTGACGCCGTTTATTGTGAAGAGGGAAGGGGCGTTCGTAACGACAGGATATTGTGATGCTGCGATCGAGCTGACGACGCCAGCTCCACCGCCCGCCGCGACTTGTGCAGTGACGAGAGAGGTGAAGGAGCAAAGGAAGAGGAAGGCCGATGTGGGAATTGACGGCTGCATCTTGCGAGAATTCTAGCACAGCGGCTTGCGGGTCCCGAAGCGGCTCTCCCGAAGCTGTCCAGGCGATGCGACAATACGGATGCGTAGAGGTCGTGTCAATGGATGTGTTATTTGATCTGACCCCCTTTCTCAAATGGAACGACGGTTCCGACGAATCGCTTTAGAATTGCTGCTTGGATTTGAAGCGTAGCGTCGAGTAGAGAGACGCGATGCTGATCGATCACGGTGCGTAGTATGTTCGCGAGAAGGTATCTTCGCGTGTGGTGAGTAGATGGAACTGAGTGAGGATGTTTGTCGTTAATTGAGACCTCACGAACTCGCAAAGTATATTCCAGACCCACTCACGGAGTGGCAACCACTCATCGGGCTTGATGAAAATAGCAACATCTAATGCAGGCATGTCCGCTTAAATATCGGTATCCTTTTTTCGGTCACGGCCCGAGCCAGGACTGCCAACTCACCGGAGCCGGAAGCCGAGCGGCATCGACTTCAAAGCTTCAATTTCTCAAAGATGCAGGTGTCCCAGACGTCCCGCCAGTGCATCGCGCATCTCATGGATCCTCGAATCACTCGATCAAGTGCCTCACGATTGTAACGGTCAGTTCTCAGAGGTTCTCGATGACTCAATTGCCGCCTTAATCATCAATCAGAAGGGAATGAACCTCTCGACACCGGTTGGGAGAGCATGTCGCAGGTCGGTGGCTGTCGCTCGCAATCGTCCTTCCAGCGTCAACCCATATATCCCTAGAGCGACCTTTCTCTCTCTCACTCGCGACAATCCGCGTCGAACGACTCTAAAGCAAGGGATAAAGGGAGGAGAGGGACGGAAGCAAGATGAATCGGATCCGCCAGATGATTTCAAGGACCATCTCGTCGCCAACGCGCGACTTCCCTTGCCTGAGAGGAAGCGAATACCCAGAGCTCCACACCGCAGTCCAGGAGACCTTCTCGAGTCTCTTTTCGAACAAAGCTTAGCGCCCCCAGATGTCGCACATGGCTCACCAGTCACTAAACCCTCGCTCGACCACTATAAAAATGTCGAGAAACTCAAGTCCATGCTGGCGAACACTGGGGACCCTACAGCCTCATGGAACTTTTTCGTACAGCACTTTGGTCCAGAGATAACAACCAGTGGGCGCCACAACTTGCCATCCTACCTTCAATCTACAGCAAGACTACTTCAGCGACAAGTCATTGATGCGAAAGTCCAAAACCCTTTTTCTCAGACATTACCATCATGTACAGTAATATCGACCACATACGTACGGCTAGGAGCACTGCATGAAGCAGATTGGGCGGATCTAATGCTAGGTCTCCTGAATGGTCTCTTGAGAACCAAACACAGAGAGGGAAGAAGAAATGAGGATGTGTCGGCCTGTTTCGATGATATTCTTGGTTCTTGGAATGTGGTTTGCACACAAGTCTCAATGAATACGTTTGTGGACTCGCCTGTGCTGGACTGGTCAAATCTGCCTGAACTTCAACTTCCAATGCGAACGGCCAAGGAACCCTGGCGGACGCTTGCTCGACTTACTGGTCTCCTGAAAGGCCGCCGAAGTGAGAAACTTGGCCTTGTAGCTGTGGCAACTTATATTCTCCTGGCTAGACATTGCCCTCCAGGCCAGGTTTCGCTCAAGCAGTCTGGCGAATTCGTTGATGCATTGCGAGTGGTCATTGGCTCTATTGATGATATCGAGACAGTCGTACTGAAGGCTTTGTCAATGCAGGCGCTTCACTCCGATTTGATTGAGTTTGTTCGTGATGAGTGGCCCAAATTGGGCGTTGTTTCGGATAGGACCCCATCTTTTCCAACTGCGTCTCGCACAAGTCAAGACGCTTCACCATCTCTTGCGTCTCGCGAGTTCGCCGGCTACGACATATTGAAGAGAATCAAAGCTGCTTCACGAGCACATGACATAGCACAAATAGATCTTTTGTGGCTAGACGCAACTCACTTACCGATAGATGTCAGTACACATGAGTATAGACAAGGATTTCTGACCTCAGGATTATGTGACACGTTCATACAAACATATGTAACGAACAAAACAGTAAGAGGAGCGATAGACGTATGGAGCCACATGATAAGCCAGGGACTCGTGCCAAGTATTTTGACATGGAGTTCAATGTTGAATGCCGCAAGTGTATCGCGCGATGCGCGAATGATGGAGGCTATCTGGCAAAAAATGGAACATTCTGGCGTGAAACCCGACGTTGTATGTTGGACCTCACGCGTCCACGGGCTGATTGAATGCAACAAAGGAGAGGCAGCGTTGAGGGCTTTGGACGACATGGGCCGAAGATGGGTCCAAGCCGTTGTCAAAACTCATGGAGATCTGAAGAACAAACATATGCAAACGATTGGGGATATGGATGACATACCAAAGCCTTCCATCGAGACCATTAATGCTGCTATCACAGGGTTTATTCGTAGGAAGGACCCTGAACAAGCGTACCGTGTCCTCGGTTGGGCTGCAAAATTTTGTATCAATCCTGATGTAACGACTTACAATATTCTTCTAAGACCTTTGATTAAGGAAGGACGGGCTAAGAAAGCCGCAGCACTTCTAGGGCAAATGCACAAGGCTGGATTACAGGCGGATATCGTAACTTTCACTATCATCCTAGACGAGATTCTTCGTACATCTGAATCGTCCACCCCCGAGGCACTGAAAGAGACAATATCGGAAGTTTTCAAGTATATGGACGAAATAGGAGTGCAGGCGACACCACATACGTATACTAAGCTCATACACCATATGCTTCAGGCACCAGCGGGAGGGTTTCTAGCTGTAAATGCGATTATGGACCGAATGAGCCAGCAAGAGCTAAAACCGTCACCGTACGTATATACGACACTGGTGCAACATTATGCCAATGAACAGCCCCCGAATCTTGTGGGCATCACCAGCATTGTGGAGAGAGCTCGTCAAGAACATGCAAATCTTGATCAGATTTTTTGGGATCGAGTAATAGAAGGATATGCTAGGGCAGGTGACACAGCTTCCGCGATGCGAGCCCTAGGTAAGCTCAACAGCCAAGGTGGCTTCGCTGGGTGGTATGCCCTCAGAACTGTATTGAGCGCACTTGCGGAGGGCGAGGAATGGGAAGCCGCAAAAACATTGGTGAGGAATACAAAAGCTGATCATGGTGGTCCGCTGCCAAACGATGTCCAGGGCAGAGAGGGACAGCATCAGTTCTGGAGGCTGGCTTTCGACTTGATGCTCATAGAAGGGTAGTTTGTAGATTATTTGTACATTATGTATAAAGGTAAAAGTCGTATTACTGCACATCTACAGCAGCTGTACAGTCTTTCTCGTCATGGTCTTTACACTGGCTGTTGCAGATACTGTTCCTGGATGTAGCCATACAGATGCTGTAACGTGAACTCGGCTCATTCTTTAGCCCATAGTCAGACGCTTATATCCGAAAACTACTTGTTTGACAAGAATAAGGCCATCTTCAATGCCATTTATTAGGAGTGCTTGAACTTGTGTGACAAGCCCTTCTCTCACTCACTTCATGGATTGCAATGCTACTCTCCACGTATCGATGTCCAAATGCTAAGGTACCAATGATTAGAGCCGGCAAATACCAGGATTTTCGAGTTAAGTAGCCACATGAAATACAAAGTGCAGCAACATACACATCTTTCATGTTCAAACTACTTAAATGCAAAGTATAAACGCCCCGACCTCAATCCCACCTCCGAGACCGTACCAGGTATATCTCCAAATGCCCCAAGACGCCAAGGTAATATCCAACCAACAATGCATGTTCATAACCAATACTAGAACGCTTGTTACGTTTGCTCATCTGTATCTTTGCCATTAGGCTTGCCGTTGACCATACCAACGACCGCCTCCAAATCCTCTACCTCCTGCTTTCCAATCTTTCTTCCTTCTCCCTGCCAGTCGCCATCCCGAATCTCACCCATATCACCCAGCTCAAGCCCTCTTACATTCTCTAGGTGCTTTCGAGTTTCATTTTCTACAAATTCTACCCTTTCACTTCGCCAACTCTTCTCAGCTTCGCCGTTGATGGCCGGGTGCGGTGTCGAGAGCTTCTCTAATCGTGGCTGCAAATTCGCTAAGATCGCCTTCAACGCTGGCAACTGGCTGAGCGTAAACGAGGTAGTTGTTGTGACCGGTCGCTGAGCATCCCCAGTAAGCTCTCCTTTATCCTGGAGGAACGCGAAAGCAGGATACGGCTTCTCTCCCTCGTCTCCATTCTCCATCTTGTCCCCTGAGATCGAAAGCAAAGCCTTTAGACTTGCTATAGTTGCCTCGTTCTGGGATTTCTCCGTCATTAATAATGTATTTAACTTCTGCGTCTCCCTTAATTTGCGCCTCTGCAAACCAATACTTTCGACGTCGGGCGCATCTTCGTCCGGAGCAAAATTGAGCCCTTCATAATGGCTCAATCGCACCCAGTCCCTCACGTCTGGAGGGACACTCAATATGTTGCGCAGAGCATATAATTCTAACTTATCGAAGTTTTTATCAATTTTGGCTTCGAGCAATGTTTCGAGCTGATGGACGCCATTCTCGATTTCGTGCTGTGCTTTGTCGCGGATTTCTGATTCCGCTTCCGACGCGTCGGGTGCATTGGGAGCTTTTCGAAATCCTATATCCGCTGGATCTGCTGCTAGGAGACCTTTTTCGACTGCTTCCGTGGCGCGGAAGGCGAGAATATTTATACTATTCACTATATCGTCAATTAATGCCTACAGCAGCTGTTAGTTATTATGGAAATCAACAACCTTATGACAGAGCAAAAATACTTACAGCTGGTCGGTAAGTCAAGTGCTCTGTCAACAATGTGACATCTGAGTTCACTGGTGCGCTCATGGTCTCTTGTTGTCGACTATTGTCAAGTTGCGCGGGGGAAAAGCCCGCGTTAATAGGCGATGATAATTATTATTTGCTAGAATTTTTGAGCCGCTAGCAATCGTGCCCATGGAAGGTACATCTGTCGGCAAGTCTATCTTTTGCGCTGATATGGAAATGCTGTCAATTGAGATATCGATATCGTGAGGTTGAATGCGACGTTTCGTGGGGCACGCGTTTCCAGCGCGTCCATGTTTCTAATGCGGGGGGAAATGCTCGGCCCGAGGGGTCTTGGGTTGATGGCTCTTTCGGTGGACACCCTCCGAATAACAACCCGGCTGCTCATCTACGTTTGGGTATTTTTAACACGAAACATTGCCATCCTCAAGCCTACTCAGATAAGTCCGGGAGATCCAGGCTTCTATACACTCTTTAACTTCTAAGCAACAGTCTTTTCTTCTGTCACAAACAGTCCGCATCGGAAGCTGGACAACTAGATTCTATCCGCCCAGAGCCTCGTCTATGGGCATGCCATGTCAGACCCAAAGGTCTGGTTCACATATGATTCCGAGTCTCAGCATACGAAGATACCTTGGCAGCATCTCACTCAGGCCATGTTGACATAAATTACTCACAGAGCCTCTCGTGCACCGTGGACCATGGAGATCCGGTTTCAAAAATTACCGATCGCGTGGGTGTATGATCTGCCTCAAGGGTTCACCGAGAGATCATAACTCCATGTCTAGATATCATTCCCTCGTGAGGGCCCTAAATAAGCATAACCAGGGCTAAAAGGTTAGGTATGCTGAAAAGTTACTATTCTGTGTAGCTCTGGATTGTTTGGAAACTATAGAAAATAAATAAAGATATGGGGACTATTTTAAAGCACGAGTCTCACTCAATCTGCTCTCAAAGTTAGAATTGATACCTCCTCCCATCTCGGCGATTTTCACAGAATACTACAAGCTAGGACACTAGGTCACGGCCGACGTGCGGCTAAAATTTGTTTACAACATGCTTAAATAATGGTTCCCTTTTTAGGCAAATCTATACGCATGCCCTCCCTCGTGTCTCGACGCATCATTCTTCTTTAGGTCTTGATCGCGCGCATTTATCCGCAAGAAGTGTACAGTCCGTGAAGTTTCAGGCCCACACATGAAGCTGGAGACAGGTCTATGCGAACGAACATGTGGCTCGGCGTCAGCCGCACGTCCGTTGGCTTAGTACCGTGATATGCTTGTAGAAATCAATGGATCAAAGAGTAATCTAGCTGGATCCAGTGGAGACAGCTATGAAGAGTCCTATTGAACATGAATGGTGTCTAGAGAGATGGAGTATGTGAATGCACACAGTAATAGCAAATGAAAAGAATACACCAAACTAGCACATTGCGTTGTCTCCAGAGTTGGGCTTGTCATGATATGTATTATTTTTACTCCATAGATACACCAGCTAATCCGGCCATCTTTTCTACTGGCTCGAATGCCAACTTGGTCTTCAATAATACCACTCAAAAAACGCCATGCCAGATGCAACGCCAGGGTATGTAGACAAATTAAAGCACTATATTTCAAAGATCCATTTCCAAATTTGTTTATGATTCGTAAAACCAGTACCTGTTTCTTGATTAGTCAATGAGCAGTAATATCACATAGAAATGACTTACTCAGCAGCGTATTCAACTTGGAATGTCTCTGGCATGCCAGCACACACTTTAGGGGGGCTTCCACCAGCAGTGTTGACTCTGTATACCTCTGCAAGGTCACCTGTCGCGCCACTTCGAGTGGTCAGCTTGAGCCATGGGACGGCACCAAGTCCCAGTCCGTTTTGACCCACGGGAGCATCCGTAGGTGCTGGAATGGATGAGTTCTTCTGGCAGGGCGCAACACCCAACTTCATTGCTGTGGTGTCCAAGTCAAATAGAGGGGTGGTAAGGTTTGTGAAGTAGTGTTGTCCACTAATTGCGAGGTTGGAGGGCGAAAGAATCTTTTGGTTGGCAGTCATGTTGAACTCTAAAGCGACTTTAGGAATCATTGCTAGTAGATCGGGGTAAGTTGAGGCTACACAGCTGGCGTTGAAAAGCGTGGCGACGGCACCGACAGCGGTTGGAGCAGCTGTTGCGTTTGTTTGCGAACATGTATAGTTTTGTGTTCCTCGGCCGATGGCAACATGCTTCAAAGACATGCCTGCAGATGGGAGTGGTAGGTTGGTGGGAGCTTTATATCTCATCAGTGTGGTCCCATGTAGGACGGGTTCATGGAACTCACCAGCAACTGGTAACACAGCCTTTGACAAGTCACACACAGGAACCATTCCCATCATCTTTCCTGCTTGCACCTTCGTCGCCAGCATCTGGAAGTATTGCGACAACACTTTCATTTCCTCGGGTCGAGCAGCAGCACCAGGCGCTAGTGATGGAGCAGCCAGAGCAACCGCGCACAGCGCCGAGGCCATCCAAATCTGAGAAAGCATGATGTAGAAAGTATAACACAACGAAGTTGATTAGATTAACAGGAGGTTGAAGGTAGCGTGGGCCGCGAATCGACGTAAGGAAACCAGAACACAATTAATCAAAACACCACACCAAACAAGAGAGATGTCCAATTAATATAGATGGTGAGAGGTAATGGAGGAGGGCGAGGACGAGAGAGGAGAAAATCGCACGGATATAAAAGAAATGAGACCGTTTACCATCCAGATGCAGCGGGATACCAAAGCGTCTTATACACCCGTCTAGCTCGACCATCTGTACTTCGGTACCGCGAAGGGTGTGGACGCACTCTAATCCTGTCACTGACGGCGTCAATGAGGTTGGTCGTCCTCGCTACCGCCAGAGCAAGCGGTAGGCGGAAAGGTCAAGAACGATCCCCAGCAAGTGCAATTATGGTGCCGGCGGCAAGGTAAGAAGATCTATAATGGGAGGCGCAGCTGGGATGCATCGAAGCGCTGACGGATGATAGATTGGCTGGCTCGCCGGACAGAACCAGCAAGCGAGCAGACGTGTGTTGCGGGTACAGGGGGGACGGTGGGCGATCTGCCACTGCCAGTAGTTGGAGGTGGAGGTGGAGGTGGAGGTTGGTTGGTTGGTTGGACCTTGGCGAAGCGGAGAGCAACGAGTGGGTGGTGGTGGCACGCGTCGACGGTTTGGCAGTTTGCTGTCTTTCAAGCTTTCCTACTCGCGCCTTTTCTCTAGTAATTCGCCATTCCGCCCTCGAGTGATCGTGCTGTCACTGTCGTCGTTGCCGTGAAATTTATGTTGAAGCTGTCGTAGCCTGTTTGACCGACAATTCTGCCAGCCAACCCCATCGCCATTCCCCAGATCTTCCACCCACACCAAATGAAAGCCGGCACGAAGCTGTGCGCACTCCAAACCCACAATGTCTGGAAGCCTGCACTCCGTCTATCAAACCTAAGAGCAACTCTGATCCTGGCCTAGAACGACCGCTAGGCAGTCCGTAGAATCCGTACACAGGCCGTAGTCTGAGAACACCGAGTGAGCGAATACAACTGTGCAACCAAGAACGCACGAGCAACATCTACGGAGGCAGCTTCTTGCGGCTCGGATGCGTAGGTAGACGAAGCAAACATCCATTCTCAAACTTTCTGCGAACACCAACCAACCTTCGCTTAAAGTCATGACCTTCTTTCTAGGTCTAACGCTGGCTCGAGAATAGAACTACAAAAGGCAGCTTTACAACATACTAGGTACCTAGGTACCCAGGTAGGTACTACCGGTCTGAGCTGTGCGGCTTGAGAGTCTGCTCGGGACGTGGCACTACTCGGGTCAAGTGTAAACAATACTCGATTAGTCTTTCGGCACGCCATTGCCTTTGCTCCTGACTAACATGCATGATCAAAATAAATAAAAGGTGCTGACGGCCCATCGACCGTTTCTCACACCGGACTCATTATAACTTTGACAGATCCTTCAATCAAACAGACATTGGTGTCTACATGATAGTCAAGCTACATCAGTAGCTAGCTCGCGAGTCCAAGACGTTGCCAAACCGTCCAAGTCGCCCTTTGCAAACGCGCGACAGAACACATACGACAGCTATGAAAGAACTTGGTATGACAACGCTGGTTGGCACACTGACCACGGCCGCTTCGCAAGCAGCCTTATCGATAGAGTAGATCCCCCATCAGGCGGCCCACCAGCCGTGGAAGAGTAGACCTGGCAGTTCAGTCCAAGGATTAGAAAATCTTCGGCGAAGATGATTCCATTCGGCTTCTTTGCAGAATGATTGGTTAGGTGTTGAGCATTGCTATTCTTAGACCTAACACGAGCGCTTACAAGCACCCCCACCATAGCATACATCCTGGCAAGCCCTGGTGCGGCTCTTGCAAGTTGCAACCAGAGTGAACCTTATTTGCCCGCAATATGCAAGACACCATCTCGTCGTCCGTATGGATAGAACACAAGCGCCCTTGGTATCAGGACGTGGCCTGACTCTACTTCATATTCTGGTAGTCTAGAGCCACCATAGCGGCCAGTTCCCGACCATACCCCGCAAATATGCATCAAGGAGCGGACACAACGAAGAGAGAGAAAGGGAAAGGGTAAAATACATGTGATTTATAATGTACAATAGTTTCTAACCAAAGATACACATCCGAGCGATCGATCGTCTGCCCATTCGGTGTGTCAGGCGCATCCCTATGAACCGTGTCTATCAGTCCTGGCCGCTAAACCGGTCTTGATGCCAATCATTGTCTTTGGCAGTATTCAGCGGCCCTGCAGCGGCAGCAGCCGCAGCCACGTGAGTTCCGTGAGAATCATCAACGCTCATGGTGTAGTACAAGGAGAAAAAGACAAGAACATGCAAGGCAAGACAATACCCAGCAAACAGATTGCGACTCGAGCGTGTTGCTAACACCATTCTTGTAATTGAATAGACCACACGTTCGGGCAGGCTCATGCGTTTGTAGGCCCGCGTCGATTCTCGACCTCTGAAAGCAGCGAATGGCGAGATGTTGGATTCGTACGCTGACCTATAACGATCCAATGCTAGACCTGATGAGCTGGTAGAAGACATCTGGACTGTGGACGGGTTGGGATTAGTGGCATATGACGATGCAGATGAAGCTGGTTGACCTCCGCGATTATAAGTCGATACATATCTGGTCTTCTCGTAAAGGTTAAGATTGTCCTTTTGCAGAGAGGCAACTTCTTGTCGCAATGACGACAATGTCCGATGGACTTCTGAAAGCTCGTTTTCGAGCTGAGTATTTCTCTGCTTAAATCGATCACGCTGAGCAGTAATCATGGGAAGAATCCCAGACCCCCCACCAACGGGTTCACCAGATCTCAGGGCTTCAAGGGAGGTTGTACCTAAGGATGCCTGCGACCTTGGGTCGAAGCCCGAGATGATAGAAGACGTTGGGGAAATTTGCTTTTTACGGCCTCCCAATAGATGATTTGCCGCAGACTGAGGATATCGACTAGCGTATGTACCCGCAACTGACGCCTCGGACGGGTACGCACTGGCGGTATCCTGTTGCACATTGACCAGGTCATTTTCTAGTGTCGAATTTAGATGCTGGGCTTTCTGGAGGTCATCTCGAGTGCGAGACAAGTCCTCCTCCATTGACTGGAGCCTGTTTTGAAGGTCTTGGTGAGACACGCGCAGAATCGTCAATTCGTCACTCAACTTCTTGTTTCGAGCCAAGAGCAATTGCTCTAGAGTTTCGCCTTTCGGTCGTGCGAGTGCCGAATCATCGAGATTTTCTGGGTTGTTTAGTCTCGCAGTCATTATTCCGTCTCCTTCTTCATCATCCCCTGTGGAGAATTCTATACTCTTCAGCACTTCCAGCTCCTGCTTGATATCATCGTAATCATTCCACTTGTGGATCTTTGCTTTGAGGGCATTCCGTTCCTCCTTTAGTAACCCTGTCTCCCTCTCAAGAGATCGTAGCTTGCCGTCTAGCTCTCTTTTCCTAGTATCTTTCTCAACCCGAGCAGCATCCAATTTCCTCAAAAGCGACGAGTTCTCAGATCGCATTCGCATGAACCCAGGATCATCCTCCAAATTGATTGCTGGCTGGCTTGGGAGCTGAGACGCTGCCTGCGCCAATTCCATACGAAGTTGTTCGTTGCGCGATTCCACTTCGGCCAAGCGTACACTCGTTCTCTCGAGATCCGAGTTTACCATTTCCAATTCAGCACTCGTGACATGCCCTCGTCCATTGCCATCCTCGTCATTATCTGCTTGGCCAAGTCGTTGGGTGACCTCGTAACTAGCTTTTATTTCGCTCAGTAGGCGGTCCTGTGATTCAACTTTGTCCTCCAAGAGCTTCTCCTTCGCTTCCCAATTATCTTTCTTCTCCTCAAGCACGGCTGCCCAGGAGCTCTCAACATCCTTAACTCGAGATTCCAATCCATCTTCCAAGACCTTGCGCGCACTTCTCTCTGTTGCTAACCGGGACTCTGTCTCCTCCAATTGCGATGTGAGCTTGCTGATATTTTTCTGCAGATGTTCGTTTTCTTGAGTAACTTTCGGTAAGGTATCTTCAGACAAAAGGAGCGAATCGACAGAAGCTTCAAGCAGAGGGTATGGATCGGGTGCTTCCGAAAGCGATGAATAGACCTGGAGAAAGGCGGAATTGGTTGACTTTGAGTGGTTGGTGAGCAAATCGATGAATGTTTGGTACGCTGTGCCATGTTAGTTAGCACCCTCCCTAGCATTCACAACAGCGATAACAAACCCTTGAGCAATCCCTTTACTTCAGCCAGCTTTCCAGCATCATCAAGCTTCCTAAAGTCTTTGGTCTTCTGCGCTAAGTCTTTTCGCTGGGTCGTCGAGTCCCGCTGATACTGTACAATTTCCGAAGCAGTGTTATCCAGGCTAGGAATCAAAGATGTCAAGTCAATATCTGTAGGAAGTTAGTGCAAGCACATCCATCCCGGTGGGCCTACTCACTCCGCCAGGCGGAAATTGCCTTTTGAAATTTGTTGTCCTCGGCTTGTACATTTAACGCCAGCGGAAGACTGGTCGCATCTTCTGGGGGGGAATCCTCAAGACTGGCCATTGTAAAACTATGTAAAGGAAGCGGACGAGACAGGTTTGTTTTCACACCCAGCTGGTAGCCAGCGTGTGCTCATGTCCAGGCTGGGAGGACGAAAGATTTATGCTGTCAAGCAAAGTGTATGCTATGGCGCGAATTGAGCGGGCTTGCTAACACCTTGGGGTCTAGCAATCGATGAGCTTGTGGTAGCTGGAAGCATTTGTCGCAACAGTGAATGTTGCTGCACTTCAACAGCCTCACATGCACAGGTGTTCTTTAGGCGCTTGTGAACCCTGTAGCAACCAACAGACGGTGACACGGGCTTGCAGAGGGCAAGCGAAGGGACGGTACATCGATACGACTATTTTCAGGGACGAAAAGACCTTTTCGACCCGGTAAAAGAATGGCTTCGATTAAAAGGGACAACATCAAGACGTGATGAATATTCGTTGCTCGTGGACATTTAGAGACTCTAATCATTGATCACTTCATAAAAGTCACTCTACAAACCAAACACAGAGCCCGCCCTATGCAAATTACCAACATTGTCTCCATGTCCCGCCGTACTAACCTTATGTACACACCATGACAATTCAAGTTACAGCCGGCCCGTCCCCATCGGTCTTCAGCCTTGCGTGCTGTGGGTTACGAAGACCTCCCTCGTCCGTCCGCGACTCATCCATTGCGACTCGAAGCATCACGATTCCTGGTTTCGGCTTGCCAACTGTGTTTACACGACGGGATGGCTCTCGGCGCTGTCTTCTGAGCTTTCTGCGCACATTCAACTGCTGTCGCCGTAGACATGCGCTCGAGTGACGAGGAAGAGCGTGTCGGCTCTCCTCCTGCTCAACCAGCCCCAGAAACCGGTCCCTTCGTTCTACGATCTTTGCTCGAAGATGTACCCCTCTCTGCTGATGGAGATGGGCACGACATTCAGATAACCTGCGTGGAGTTCTTGGGTAGGTAGGTACGCTCTGTTCTTTGCGGCGCAACTGCTAAATCCCATCTCAGACCAAAACCTCTACGTAGGTACGTCCGCGTCGGAGCTGCTTCATTTTGTCCAAATACCCCCCGACCCGGATGATGAAGCAGCACAGCCATCGTACATTCTGGCCTCTAGGCTACTGCCTGCCTACCATGAACCATCCAGTTCTACCAGACCCGGCATACAACAAATCCTGCTGTTACCACAAGTCAACAAGGCCTGTATATTATGCAACTCCACCGTGACTTTCTACTCCCTGCCGGAACTCAGTCCAGTGTTTGGAACGCAGCAAATTCGGCCATGTAATTGGATTGGTGGAATTGATTTGAACACTGATCTCACGTCTCGTGCCCGTCGAGATGGCGCATCTTTCGTCACAGTTCTGGTGTCACTCAATAAGAAAATGAGAGTGATCAAAATTGGCGAGGAAGATGCGCGTCCTCACAAGGTAAATTGCCTGGTATTGTCTACCTACAAAGTTTCCCAAGTTGACTGGCGTAGATCATCGATTTCGCAGGAAGCACAATATCGGTCAGAAGGGAATCTTTTGCATGTGTTGCCAACACACGCTCCTACGCACTTCTGGATGTTGAGAGATTGCTCAAGATACCTTTGTTTCCCATCTCCTCACTGGATGATTCGCAAGGTGGGGGTGGTCGAGTAGAAGACATATCTGGCAGTGGAACTGGCGGGATCTCCAGAAGTACCTCGTCAGCCCAGGGACAGTATTCAGGACTAGACGATAGGGGCCATGGTCGTAGTACCAGTCTAGGCGCGTTTATAAGTGGTGGTTCACGTCGACATAGTTATGCTAGAAGTACAGATCAAACGGGGCGAGAAACGCCGGACAGGCTCTTCCGAGAATCATCACCTGCCCCAGCTGTAGCTTCAATTACACAACCATCGCGCGAACCAAGTCCGGCAACCAACAAAGCCCTTCCTCCACCACCCGATGAATCTTCCGTTGATTCATCTGCTTCAATCGCAGCAGCTCCTCGTGCACAAACGCCGGTACCACCCCCTGTATACCTCAAGCCACATATTACCTCGCCTACACCACAGGAGTTTCTCTTAGTAACCGGAACAGGCAAGGAGGATCCGGGGGTTGGTATGTTCGTCAGTCTTGAGGGAGAAGTTACGCGGCCGACCTTAGAATTTGGCATATATCCTGAGGAAATTGTAGTTGTTGGCCGTGGAGTTGGCGTTGAGCCAACTGCTACAAGTATGGACCAAGATGAAGAGGGCTTCGTACTGGCGTCTATGGGAAGGACGATCGGCGACGAGGTGCGTCACGGCCTTGAAATCCAGAGGTGGGATATGAACCCTGGCGAAAGTGCCATGGAGAAATTCTGGCTGGAGCCACCGGAATGGGCGAGAGGCCCCAAACCTATTGGTATCCGTTCTATAATTGGCACGAATAAGGTAGCATTCCCTGAGGTCACAGAGAGGCTTCGCTTGAAGCGCTTTCAGCCTTTTGCGACGCGCTCGATCGATGCATCAACGCTTTCCCTTAAGAATCTGGATTCGCGGACTGCGAGCTCGTTGGAGCGTGTATCCGGCGAAAGAGAGCTCTTTGAGAACACCGACTCTCTGTCCAAAGAGTGGGAGAACCAGCGAAACGTAGAGGAGCAGAAATTTGCACAAAGACTTGGTGAAGCACAGACAGGCGTAGTGGTTTGGTCTGGAAAAACTGTATGGTGGGTGGCTCGGAATCCTTTGGCTTTGCAGCTTGATGCAGTTATCACCTCGACAATGAAAAGTGAAGGGTTGGCTCCAACAGCGTACGGCTCAGTCGATAGGCAAAAATTGATCGAGCTGCTAAATTCTCTCCGTGGCCGAGAGGCAAAGACGGAGACAGAATTCGTCAGTCTTGGATACCTTAAACAACGAGTGGGTTTGATCATTTTAATGAGTATCCTCAACTCCGAGCCTGAGGACTGCTCTATATCTGATTATAACGTGTGCGAAGAAGCTTTGCTCGATGGCTCGCTTGATCCACGTGTAGTATTATCAGTTGTTCCATACCTTAGACATGAGATTATCGAGGGCAGCACCGGCATATGGGTTCATGGTGGTGTGAGAGATGATGCTTACAGATTTATTGGCAGCATGCGACCTGACTCCGCTGGTTCCGAGTCGATCAACGAATCCAGGCTATCAGCAGATGTTCTTCGGTTTTTGAAAAGATTTCTATCTGCTTGGCGGAAAAAGAAAGGCTTTGGCAGTATAGGAAATGAGCAAGAAATATTTCGCAGCATTGATGCATCTCTCTTGTTCGTTCTATTACAACTCGACAAATCATCTCCACCTGGCCATGCAAGGGGGAAATCGGCTCGCGCCGACCTATACGACTTGGTGGACCACGGCGTTGACTGCTTCGAAAGAGCGGTCTCTATCCTAGAATCCCACAATCGCCTGTATGTACTGAGTCGTCTATATCAGAGCCGCAAGATGGCCGGTGACGTTTTACGAACTTGGAGGCGCATCGTCGAGAGCGGTGCTGATGAGACCGGAGAGTTTCGAGATGGTGAACAACGAGTGAGAGAGTATTTGACCAAGATTCGGAACGGAGCAGTCGTGAAAGAGTACGGCGTCTGGCTGGCCGCCCGTAATCCTAGACTTGGTGTCCAGGTTTTTGCCGAGGATCGTAGTCAAGTCAAATTTGAGCCCAGCCAAGTCGTTCAAATTCTCCGAGAAGGTGCTCCGGGATCTGTAAAGGAGTACCTGGAGTACCTAGTATTTACAAAGAATCATGCGGAATACATCAACGAGTTGATCGCATACTATTTGGATATTGTAACCACCAAACTTGAAGAGTCGCCTGAAGCTAGAAGCTCGTTGGCTATGACCTACGAGTCTTACCGAGCTCTTCGTCCCCCGAAACCTACATACCGACAATTCATCACTGATAACACTATCGACGAAGAATGGTGGCACAGTCGGCTTCGGCTTCTACAACTTCTTGGTGGAAGCCAAGGTTCCGCATCTCGGTACGATGTGGCCTCTATACTTGAGCGAATAGCACCATATACGAATGAGCTTGTGCCAGAGGTGATCATACTTGATGGACGCCAGTCGCGTCACGAAGAAGCACTTCGTTTGTTGACTCATGGTCTAGGTGATTACGATACAGCGATAAATTACTGCCTTTTAGGCGGATCAAGTATTTACCACCCCATTTCTGGAACTATGGCAAGAGAGAAATTACCTTCACGTGAAGAACAAGCTAAATTATTCGATCATCTACTTTCAGAATTCCTCCGAATTGAGGATATCAGCAACAGGGTAGAGCAGACGAGCAGTCTGCTTGAGAGATTTGGTGGCTGGTTCGAAGTTGGGCATGTCCTGAGTCTGATACCGGAAACGTGGTCCGTGGAGCTGGTGTCTGGATTTCTTGTAAGTGCGCTACGGCGTATTGTGAGAGAGCGACATGAGACTATGGTAGCTAAGGCCTTGAGTGGTGCTGAGAACCTGCAGGTTACTGCTAGTCTCATTGGGGAAATCGACAAAGCCGGGCCTTCAGTTGAGACCTAACAAGCTTCTTCTGGCAGCAGGTTACTCTCTCAACATGTAATTCAAATATAGTAGTAATGATACAAACCAGTAGCTCCTCGGTCTATGCATAACGTGACAAACTGAGGCATTATTTGTTGATGAGGAAAAGCCTTTCCTGAAATGGAGATGATGCTCAGAAACAAGCTGTTTTTCTATCACAACGAGGTTTAGTGTATTTATACGTACATTACTGGTGTGAGTTTTTTGTCAAGGGAGCCAAGGAAGCTTCACGGACATGTCTCTAAAAGTGGGGCATCCAAACAACCTCATATGTCAATCGTGAATATTGATTGCCATGTATCATTCGTCCTCACATCCCTCCACCCCAACCATTGCTTTTATGATCAACTAAAGCGCGAACCTTATTAGAACTCAGCACGACGCCAACCTCGCAAAGAACTCAAGACTTATAACGCCCTTCCCTCCAGCCTACAAGCGGTCACCTTTTGCAATTCAGTCAAGCATCTTAGAACCACGTCAATCCTCAAAATGGCAAACGTAACGCCTCGCAAAGCGCGCCGAGGCCATCAGAATCCATCCGCACAAACTCATCCTGTCGCGATACAAACCTCAGATTATGACTCGGAGGCGTTCTTCGAATCCAATGTTCCCAGCCGCTCCAACACAGAGCTCAACCTCTCCGTCCTCCGTCGCTATCGGCCCTCGATCCAAACCATACTTTCCATCGCCCCGTCTGCGCAAATCTATACCTACTCTCCCTCTACCACGTCCTGGCTCAAAACGGACACGGAAGGCACTCTCTTCGTTTGCCAGCTGTCGCCGGCAAGCGCAGGGGCTGCTGCGAACTACTGTATTGTAGTGCTCAATAGAAGAGGACTGGAAAACTTGATGTTGGATCTGAGCACGGTCGAAAATGTGGAAATCACGGACGAGTTTCTCATGGTTGGTGTGAAGGGAGACGGAGAGGAAGGTATGAAGATGTTGGGGTTTTTTATTCACGCGGATAAGTCAGATACCAGGGAGGTCAACTGCAGACTCATACGGGAGAAATGGGAAGAAGTCAATGCTAAGGATACTGGAGAGAACATGCAAAGCTCGGAAAGAAATGGGCGGAGGTTGAGTTTAAGTGATCTGTTTGGTGGACAGATTATACGAGGGTGATCTGGGACGACCGCCCAACAAGAGAACGAGGCCAGGAAGCATTTATGTCTAAGGACATTTGTGAAGGGGATGATATTACTCGGGGGATGGCAGTGAAGTCCTGCTCGGACGGGCCCATATTGTTCAGCTCCATCTCCCCAGAGCCCGCAATGTCGAGGCACCGATGCTGTCATGCCGTACGGTTCTATCCTCCGGCTCGTATGTGTATGCCTTAGCAAAGCCAGACCATGCTCAAGGTGTGCGGGTGTACCTAGGCCGCAGAATAGCAGGGCCATGCCTTTGAGATGCATTTCGGATGCGGGAAGCGACGATTCGAGATAATTGACCATGAAAAAACATTCGGATATTGTTCTGTCCCTACATATGTCGTTGGTATTGTGTCGTTTCCGAGCATGTCCGGACCCCTCGATTTGGGATTGCGAGTGATATTTTCGACTGACATCATTCTATTGGTGTGGTGGTGATTCTCCATGGTTGAAAGCAATCTCGGCAAGCAACACAACATTTGGTACCAAAGCTGGCTAGCCAGAACGACTCTTCCGCGACAAGTAGCCCTCCCCGCGTTTACTACCTCAGTGCTACTGTACCACTATGTTGCTACTCAACATTCTGTGCCCAGCAATGCTACTACTAAGTGCTGTTTGTTGTGTATAAGCTTTTATGCAGGTGCGCTTGCTAAGAGCGGCTGTTTGCGGGGCAAGGATGAAATCGACGATGCCCCCAGACGCAACTTGGAAGGCACTGAGTCTTTGTTACTGTAAGGGCTTGTTAAGTGCCGATGCTGAGGTACCAAGGCTTGCATCTTATACACTTCTCATGGACACTACCTAGATCCCCAGGGATCCCCAGGTAGGGAATCATATGCAGGTCTTGTCTTGTGGGTTACTCTTGATTTTGTCTCTTCCCTCTAAAATCTTGTTTGGAGAACCCGTTCTGGCGAATAGTAGAGTCTGTGTTCGCAATGCTCTTGAAAGTTGTTGTTGCTCTATCAGCGGGGCCTGGGCGTGATGCGTGTTCATCCGAGCCATACTGACAGAAAACAGATATCACTATCTCCTAGAGTAACACGCAGTCGACACGGTAGGTACTACACCGTGCTCCTCCTCGCGTGTAGAGCTTCCGGGTACCAAGTTGGGGGCACCGGGGCAGTCGCTATCTCCGTCACGTGTGCGTCGTGTGGGAAGGGCCTCTAGGCTTTTACCCTCCAGGCTCCGCGACCACTGCCGTGCCCAGACCAGCCCTATCGGCATACGGATACCGGTGACGCTAGGTGCTGAAGGCCGCCTCCACCATGACCTGCCCCTGCCTCCAAATTCTCATCGACGATACGGTACTGTCCTGTACTGCACCGTACCACTATGTTACTCTCACTTTCCATCCTTATTGCAGAGACAGCGCCGACAGCACCGTGGTTGCGAGCGAATGCCATCCATGGCCCCTCCTCTTCTCCGCATTGCTTCGACTCTTGAAGGTCTAGACGGACGACTTTCGTAGCGACTCAGGGACGCCCGAGGGACTCGGCCTCAGCGGATCCCATTACGAGATCAGTCTCCCCAAGTGCGAAAAAGGGCCTGTACCATCCCCACTTGGCTCTCTCCAGTGACCTAATAGCATCGAAGTAGCATCGCTTCTCGATTTTTTTTACTTAACTCCTCTCCACCAGAACGTGTTGTGTCCTTTTCTTCCATCGTCCATCGTCCATTTCCTGCTCTTCTCCCGTCCCCGAACTCGGCCCCTCGACGTTTTGCTTGTATCGTCATATTATTGGCACTACTCGACCGCATTCTTGCCTCCAGCGTGGCACTTGGTTTCGACGCCGTCCTTGTGTCATTCTTCCAGACGGACCTTGTCATCTTGTGTAGTATCGCAGAGTAACGGAAACATCGAACTCAGTGAAAATTCTTACCATATCCTCGTGCGATGGCTGAAAAGTACGAACCTGAGAGGGATGGCATCAAGCCAGGGCCTTCTCCCATCGGGCCTGCAACGGATGATGTTTCCTCGACCCAAAGCAAGGAGCAGACCGAGTGTCTTGATGCCTTTGGGGACGAAGCCGGCGGTGAAGTTCAATGTATGTGGCTTCTTGTCCCTTTCGCGGCCTGCCCAGGTGGCTAACAATCGACAAAAGACAAGACCATGACTTGGTGGCAGGGCGCCCTGGTAATGATTGCTGAAAACATCTCACTGGGTATTCTCTCTCTTCCTGCCGTGTTGGCCAGAGTTGGGTTGATTGGTGGGTTGATTGGCATCATCGGTCTCGGTATTTTTACAACCTACTCTGGCTATGTCCTATGGCAGTTCAAGATGAGATATCCGCACGTAAGCATCATCATGGTGTCTGAAAAGTCACACGCTGAGAAAATCTACAGATTATTAACTATGCGGATATTGGAGGCGTGCTCCTTGGCCCTTGGGGTAAGGAGCTTTTTGGCATTGCGTACATCATCTACATGGTTTTCTGCATGGCCTCGCACATTTTGACTTTTACTATCGCCATGAATGTCCTGACTGAGCATGCAACATGTACCATCATCTGGGGAGTGGTTGGTGTCGTCATATTCACGCTTCTCTCTATCCCTCGAACGTTGAAGAACATCTCCTTCCTTTCCATAGTTTGTCAGTCTACTCCCCTAGATTTCTCGGTCCGAGCTAATATCCTCAAGCATTTGCTAGCATTCTATCAGCTGTGATGATCACAATGATTGCTCTGGGTGTCTCGCCACAGGCTGCAGCTGATGCGATGCGTGGAACCTATCCTGCGTCATTCCCAGCAGCCTTCAACAGCATGTCCAACATCGTCTTTGCGTATGGAGGCCATGTTGCATGGATCAGTTTCATCAGTGAATTGCGGGACCCAAAGGAATACCCCAAATCTCTCATACTATTGCAAGCAGTAGACATATCCATGTACCTTGTGGCAGCGCTGGTAATCTACCGTTACGCTGGGGTAGGCGTTGACAGTCCCGCTCTAAGCAGTAACAGCGTTATTGTGAAGAAGGTGGCCTGGGGCATTGCACTCCCCACCATTGTCATTGCCGGGGTTATCTTCGCCCACGTATCTGTCAAGTACGTCTACGTACGTATGTTTTCAGGTACACGTCATTTGCACAGTCGTGGCTGGATCGCTACGGGTACCTGGATTGGTCTGGGCACCTTTTCCTGGATCATAGCTTTCGTTCTCGCAGAAAGCATACCAGTGTTTAGTGATCTGCTCGGTTTCATTTCAGCCTTATTTGCATCATGGTTTTCGTATGGTATTCCTGGTATCTGCTGGTTCTACATTAACCGTGGGAGCTGGTTCAAGGATGGAAAGAACATCTGGCTTACGATGGTCAACCTCGTTTTGATAATCCTTGGTGTTATCATTTGTGGAGTTGGGTTGTATGCATCTGGCTATGAGGTAAGCTTGATTTTCGTTTTCTTGACTCTACCTCTCCATTTACCTGGAGCCTGCCATCTCTGCCAGTACTAGACATATCATCGAATGTACGTTTTATGCGATGAAATTTACTAACATCTGGGCAGATGGCCGCGCATACGAAGTCAGGGTCTAGTGGCGTTTGGAGTTGTGTCGATAACCAGTATTAAGTTTTACATTTTTATCTATAAATTACAAGGAGATTTGCTAGAGGACATTACGTTCGGCGTATAGTCGTAGTTACTACTATAGACGTAGTAAGGTAAATACTTATCTATCTTTATTTAGACTACTTAAATAAAATTAGAGACTTTTATAAATAATAAACAATAAATAAATAAATACTAGATTTATTCTAAGGTCTAGAACTTAAAACTTACTTTAAGTAAGTATAATTACTAGAAAAATATTTAAAAATAACTTTACTAGTAAGTAATATATTTCTCTATATATTTAAAAACTTCTAAAGTAGATAACTTACTACTATAGTTATATAATAGATTAGACTTAAAGATAGTACTTAGTATAGTCTATACTAGAGTTATATATATATATATAACTTACCTTATCTCTATATATAAAGAGCTTTAGCTTTATCTCTCTTTCTTTCTTAGTAATTATAAACTATTATAAATAACTCTACTACTTTAACTAAAGACTTAGTCTATAATAATATAATTACTCTCTTTTATCTTATAATTAGAGAATATATAATAGTATAAGTTTAGAAATACCTAAACTAGAAACGTAGAAACTATAATAGTATCTTATACTTAATAATAATAATTAAGTAAGAAGTTTAATTAACTTACTAGATAATAGTATAATATTTAAGTAGCTAGTATACTACTTAGAAATATAAGTAAAGTAAGAAAACTCTAACTATAAAATAAAAGTTATTAAAATTATATAGTAAATTTAGTAGAATTAAAGTTTTTATTTAAAAGCTATTTATTTACTTAAAAATTCTAGATAATAGAAGAAAAGACTCTATAGTAGTAAATGTTAGAGAGCTTATTAGAGAGTTTTTATAGATTTATAGATAGTTACTATAATAGTAATAAAAAAGTAATAAATAGAAGAATATATAATATAGAAGGTAATATAGAAGAAGACTCTTTAAGAGAACTAGTAGTACTATTACTTATAGAGAATAATATTTCAACTATCTTTAATTAACTAGTAGTAAGTAACTAGTTAAGTAAAGACTAAGTTAGAGAACTAGTAGTCTAGATTATAGATATTAATAAGTATAATACTATAGAGTAAGCTTAGATTACTATAGCTTAATAACTTGACGTCTAGATAAAGAATATCTTAAAAGCTCTAGCTAGACTTTAACTATAGATTCTAGCTCTACTTCTCTCTCTAGTTATAATATTTAGCTAATAACCTACTTCTTCTCTTATAGATATATAGAAAGCTAGAAAGCTAAAGACTAGCTTACTAGATATAGAGAAGTTTAATAGCGAGAATAAGACTCTATATACTTAATAGATAAGTAAGCTTAAAGTAAAACTTATAATTAATAGAGCTATAATTAGAGACTTAGAATATTAAGTCTAGTATAAATTTAGTTATCTAATAAGTAAAATAGTATAAGCTATCTATCTATAGATTAAGTATATAAAGAGAAGTCTAGAGTTTATAGTTAATAGACTCTTTAACTAACTAAACTTAGTCTTTAAAGATAAATACTAGACTATAAAAGTAAGTAAAGTCTATAGATATATAAAGTGAGGCTTTATACTATTTTAAGAATATATTATCTAAATAAATTAATAGAGCTTAGAAGCTAGTAGTTAGAGATAGAAGAATATAGTTAAGAAGAATCTTCTAAGAATATTACTTAATAATAAGCTCTTAGACTAAATAGTTACTATTATTAAACTATTTAACTACTAATAGTACTATAAAGTACTAAGTAGTATCTAGAAAAATATATAAATAGTTAAAGACTTAAAGTTATACTACTATTACTAGAAGATATAAGTAAGTTTCTATTAGTTTTATATATAATATATAGTAATAAATACTTATATTATTCTCTTTCTATACTTAATTAGGTTAAGGCTTAGTAGTACTATAGTTTAAACTAAGTCTACGTATTCTTATTATTTCTATTCGTTAGAGATAAGAATAGTAATATAGTAAGCCTTAGTAATTTAGTCGGCATATAGGTATATATAGTGCTATTTAATCTAATAGGCTACTTTATATAGTATAGATATCGGTACTTATACTATAGGCTAGTTAGATATCTAAAGATATCGGTAGTTATACTATAGGTTAATTAAATCCCTTAAGATATTAGCAATTATACTATAGGTTAATAGTTTAACTTTAAAGCTTACTAATAACGTATTCTAAAGTTTATATATAGTTAGAAGTCCCCTATAGTTTTAAGTTCTTTAAGTTAAATATATACTTTTTATATATTATTAAGTTATCTAGTCTTTATTACACTTTATCCTAAATTTTACCTTCTATAATCTAAGATAAGCTTCTTTACTCGACAACTTTACGCCGACTACTATACTAAGCCTATCGGTAACTAGAAACCCCTATTAAGAGATATCGAATACTAAGCTATTTATAGCTCTTTAGGATATCTACTAACGCTAATAATAACTAGAGACTAAACTAATAAGGACGCGCGCTATAGGAAAAGAGAGGGAGGAAGTAGAGCCTTAACCGAGTATATTAGAGAGCTCTATATCTATAAACGACCTACTAAGGGCTCTAATCGCTTTACTCTTAATAGTAAATTAACTATAGTCTAATAACTAACTATTAGGTCCTAGAGACTAGAAGCCGTCGACCTAGGACGGCTAAGTAGACACTTTTCGAGATTATATCTTAAGGCTTAGAAGCTCTTATACTATATACTCTATAGTAAAACTAGCGCTCTTTAAGGATTACTACTAGAATACTACCTATAATACCCTCCCTCTACGCGAGTAAGTCTAAATAAGGTACTTTTAGGAAAAGGGAGACGCTATACGTAGTAAGGACTCTATAGTATTCTTCGCGTAACTCGATAAGACCTTCGCGGATAGTAATAAACGAGCTAAAGCCTTAAAAAGACTTACTAATATAAGATATTCTTTAGGTTAACCTTAGTATAAATACTAGCTCGAATTTAACGAACTTCTACTAAGTACTAGCGAAGAGAGTTAGGAAAATAATATAAAGATTAACTACTTTAAAAATACCTTTTCTAACCTTATTTAAATATATATAGCTACTATAGTTAAGATTATAGACTACTACAAATTCTCGAAGAAGGTAGAGTAGATTATAACTAACTTTAAAGAAACCGACTAGTTTAAAGTATTTAATAAGAAATAGAGAGAAAGGAATAAGGAGTCTAGAATAAAGATAACGGCGACTACGCGCTCTTAGGGCTACTCCGCGACGTCTAGAGTAGACGCTAATAGTAATATAATAATAGTACTAATATATATAGACGGTAATCGCGAGAAGAGTAATAGAGACTATAGGACTTTAAGCGGAAAGTAGAGAGTAAATTAGGTAGATATAGTAGAAAGAGAGAGACGTTAAGAGAAAAGACTCTATTTCTACTATAAAGCCTCTAGACACTATATTCGAGATTACCTATACGACCTACTTATATAACCTATTAATATTAACTAGATAGGTATAGGCCTAGTATTAAAAGACGATAACGAAAATATAGACTCTATACTCTTTATATTAGAAAAAGACTAGCTCTTAGTCGTAGTTAAGAACTAAGAGCTAAAGAAGTATTATATTACGAGTAGCGTCGTCCTCGACGTTGTAATACTCCTAGGACTAAAGGTCTTAGGATTAGATAAGGTTATAGAAATTAAGTAGTTTCTAGGACTACTATCTAGTAGTTTTATTTAGTTAATATTAGCTATATTTAGGTTAGCGGATAGGCCCCGGTTTAGGGTACTATTACGTAATAATAAAAGTTCGATAGAATTACTAGGTAAACTTATCGAACTAGGTAGGAGTTTAACGAGTTTAACTAGCGAACTTACTAAACTTAAAGAAGAGAAGTTCTATATATAATAGTTATAATTTCCTTAGATAAGAGCTTTATACTTAACTTACTATAGTAATAGTATATTATCTATTTAACTTACTCTTACTATATATAGAAGGTGAAAATTTAGGATAAAGTGTAATAAAAACTAGATAACTTAATAATATATAAAAAGTATATATTTTACTTAAAGAACTTAAAACTATAGAGAGGATTTCTAACTATATATAAACTTTAGAATAAGTTATTAGTAAGCTTTAAAGCTAAACTATTAACCTATAGTATAATTGCCGATATCTTAAGGGATTTAATTAACCTATAGTATAACTACCGATATCTTTAGATATCTAACTAGCCTATAGTATAAGTGCCGATATCTATACTATATAAAGTAGTCTATTAGATTAAATAGCACTATATACACCTATATGCCGGTTAAATTACTAAGGCTTACTATATTATTATTCTTATCTCTAACGAATAGAAATAATAAGAATACGTAGACTTAGTTTAAACTATAGTACTACTAAGCCCTAACCTAATTAAGTATGGAAAGAGAATAATATAAGTATTTATTACTATATATTATATATAAAATTAATACTAGTCTTAAAGTTAGTTATAGTATAAGGGTCGTTCTCTAGATAATATTCTTAGGTTACTAGTAGTTATATATCGTCTTAAGTTTCTATATAAGGAGGTAAAGTATTAGTACTAGAGTATACTAATACTAGTATAGTTCGAGCTATATAGTATATTATTACTATCTATTCTTAAGTAGATTAGTATATAAGAAAGTCTTTTAAAAATAGTTAAACTTATTTCTAGGTATTCTTTCTTAAGTAAGAGACTATATATATACTCTATTTAGTAGTTAATTTAAACTTATTTTTATTAAATATAAAGTATACCTTAACCTAGTAAAAGAAGGTTTCTAGCTTACTTTACTTATTATCGAATTTATTTAGGAAGGCGACTTTAAGAGATTTATTATTCTTAATAGTATTCTTAACTATAATAGGTAGTAAAGTATTAGGTATACTAATATCGTCTCTTTTGTCGTCGTTATTTTAGGCTAGTTTCTTTCTCTTTTTAGTATTCTCTAGTAGACTAGTTATTAGGGTAAGGTTAACGCGA